ATGACTCGGCTGGGACAGAGAATCTGCGATGACATTCTTCAACCCCGGTATGTGGTTGGCTCGGACTTAGATGTTGAGAGAGTCCACCAGATCGAAGAACTGTTGGGTCCACTGCAACACTTGAGTAGACCCCGTGGACCCCATCCTGTTGATATGCCAAACCACTGCTGCGTTGTCCGATCGGATCATGAGGGAAGTTGCTCGTAGGACATCCTGCCAGTGACTGATTGCAAGAATCACTGCCCTGAACTCCAGAACGTTGATGTGACAGGCGCGATCTACGAGAGACCACAGCCCTGCCACTTGTTGATTGAGAAGATGAGCTCCCCAACCGTGTAGAGACGCGTCCACATACAGGTGGTGAGACGGAACAAACGGCCCTAAACAAACTCCGTCGCAAACATTCAATTCTTCCATCCACCACAGGAGATGGGGATGGAGTCCAGAGGTAGAGTGATCAAGGCAACCGGATCTCCCACTGTTATGTAAGGTGCTAGAAAGAACTGCAAGGGATGAAGTTGTAGTTGACACCTGAGCTCAACGCCTGAGCCGACGTCAAGAGGCCCAGGATATCCTGCCACTGACGAAGCGTCCTGGGGTGCGCCAGTGCCAGAGACACCAATCGCTGTATCTTGCAGAAACGATCCCTCGGTACAAAGAGTTTGTTGACCTCTGTGTCGAACACTGCTCGAATGAATTGAAGACGGCGCGTAGGGACTAGTTCGGATTTCTGCAGATTGATTAACCAGCCTAATTGGCGAAGAAGTTGTATCGCAAACTGCATGTGACGAAGCAGAAGGGCATGATTGGTCTGCGCCTGAATGCAGTCGTTGATGTAAGCCTCACACTATTCCCTTTGGCGGTGAAGGAAACTGGTGATAGGCTTCATTACCCGTGTAAACAGCCACGGGGCCGAAGAAATTCCAAACGGGAGGACATGCCACTGATAGTGAGTGCCGACAAACCGAAGGAACTTGCGATGAGCCGGGAAGATCGGGATGTGCAGGTACGCATCCTGGAGTTCCAAACTGACCATGTAGTCTCCCGGCTTGATAATGGTCTTGAGGAGTGCCACTGATACCATGCGAAAATGGGGCGGAGGCTGCAGAAACCACTCGTTGAATATCTTCATGTTGAAGATTAACCTCAGTTTGTCCGAAACCTTCTTGGGGACCAGAAAGATTGGAGAATAGAACCCCGAGACGGTCGGAGCCTGACCCAGGGATTCGATCGCAAGTTTCTTGAGCAAGGTGTCTATTGTGGATCGAAGAACAGCCCTCTGCTGAGTGGGATACGTTCTGCGATCCAGAAGTAAAGTGAGAGGAGGATCCCCGATGATTGGCAGCTGAAACCCTGTGGATAACATGGAGAGGACGTACGGGTCTCCCAAGATGATCCATTTGGGAGCATAGGTCCCAAGCTTGCCGCCTACTGGGAAAGACAGAAAGGGCACGACTGGAGGCGGAAGAACCCAGTCGCGTTCTAATGTTATCGAGTCACTGTCTGTCAGGCCTTTGCGAAGTGGACTGGTCGGCAGTGGAAGCTGGTCGTGAAGCAGAGAATGCCCGATGTTGACGGCTGGACCGTCCTCTGCCAAAGGATCCCTTTCCACGAAAGGAAGCAGTAGAACCAGCACGCAGGTCCGGATTGACAGGAACATAACGGGCTGGTCGTTGTCGACTCAACGATTCCTCCACCTGCAAACGTTGAAATTTCAACAATTCCACTGACACTTGTAAGTGAGCATCTTGACCAACTCTGTTTGTGACATCTCTAATCGCCCCGGTGAAAAGAGACCTGCCAGACCATGGCTGCCGAAAGAGATCAGTACGGAACCTATCCTCCCATGAGGATAAGTGCAAAGGCCCCCTGCGAAGCATAGCTGTGACATACGAAAAGAAGTGAGCCAACTGATCCAGAATGGTCTGAAATTGCTCTTGCAATAAGAACATAGCCGCTCGAATATACGCTTGTTGATGGGACATAGCATGTGCAACCGACATAGCCACCGCTTCGGTCGTCGTCAACACCATGTTGAGTGGCGCCATAATCTTCCTTATGACACCATCCAGATGCAAAAGCTCACGATCCTCCACCAGGAACGGCAAGTAGGCTTTCTGTTTAGTTCCCAGCAACGTAATATCATCATCCACCGGAGGGGAGACGATCAGCATAGAGAAACCATGCACATGAGCAGATGCCAAGTTGAAGCGAGGAGCCGCAAATACCATCCTTAACCTTCCTCAGGTTACCAAAAGCCTCATCCAGAGATGCTGCCAAATGAGTAATACACAGTCGAGGCGGGAACGTGATGGAACCGAAATCACCTGGCTTCATATAAAAAAAGGATAATAAATCCGCCGACGAACTACTATGCTGTAAACGGAGGCTATCGGCAATCCCGATGAGTAGTTGAGGTGTGTCTACAGCATCCACGCTACCATCCGACAGTGCCATACCATCAGAAAAAGGAGTTGGCGTCGACAAACGACCAACCTCCTCTAAAAGTGGAACTGGATTGGTCGAAGGACCCGATGACTGAACAGCTGCGGAAGTTGCTGGTGCCTGATGCCGTAATGCTGACGCTACCGCTAGCACAATGGTGTCAAAATCCACAGGTTGAGAAGTCGAAACCTCCGACACCGGATTCCAGGATACTGGTAAAATAGGTCTCACCGCCAATCCCGTTGTAGGAAGAGCCGAAGACACAGACGCAGACATTAAGGGATGACGAGGCACCTCACTGAGAGCAGACGGACATCCAGCTGACTGAGGCACACCACCATGAGGCAACGATGAACCCGAAGGGTCCCTGGAATTGGAAGCAAAAGCTGAGCTGAGTGGACCCAGCACCGAACTAGACACATGAGAGGTGAGCGCTGAACCCTGAGGAAGCGTCGAACCAAATGCCCCACGAGTCAACCTTGAAGCCAGTGAACTGACTAAGCGAACTGGAAGCAAGCAGCGCTCTGAATGACATCATGGGATCGGTAACAAGCGGCGCTCTACCAACAGGTAATTGTCCTGATGTAAGCAGTGCTGGAGCAGCAAACGACGCACTAGAATAACGTGGTGGTCCATAACCCAACGGTACATGATAAGGGATATATGTGGAAAAAGGCACTCTAGGAATCATTGATACACCTGTCAACCCCACCAGAGGATGAGAGAGCCCGCCACCGAAACCATCCACTGCACCCGAAGCCATTGACACATTCGACACAAGCCCCGAATGGGAAATAGGTGTAGAATCAACCACCGAAGTGGAAAGCGCCGCACTGCAAGGAAGCGTCACTTGATATGTAATGCTAGGAATCACACCAAGCGCCGCACGAGAAACCCCCACCCCAGGAACAGAAGTGCGCTGAGGAATAGGTATCACCAAAGAGGGACGGGTTTGAAGAGAATACGTAGACAACACAACAACCCTTGGTGGTGAAGAGTCTTCTAACGTGATGGGGCTAGACGCATGCGGCCGGAAAAGTTACCGTAAATTTTCACTGAGGTAAGAATCCGACGCCTCCCCTAGGAAATCTTCAGCAGGACTTCGAACGTCGGACTGCAGTTTTCTTACGGCGTTCTGTCTTAGAACGTTTAGACGCAGAAGGACCCTCAGATGGTTGACGACGTTCTCTGTCTGACACACGTCTACAAGCTACCCCGCGATATTCAGAAAAAGCATCATCGTTGAGGTCTGCACAAAAAGTGCAGCGTTGAGACCACTCACAACGTCCTAAGCAATCAACACATAAAGCATGTGGGTCTGCCGCCGAGAAGTTGCTTTTGCATTTATCGCAATGTTTGCGCTTTTTAGCACTATTGCGATTCGATTTTCCCATTGTAGAAACACAATCAAACAATCATCTGAGCGAGCTGCACGCTTACGGAGTTGATTGACAGGTGCTGATGTCGGAGTGGGTCAGAGGTCAGGGTGGGTCAGAGGCCAGTAAGATTTGATTCAACTTAGCCTACAGCACGTTTCCACACATGGTCGTAGAGAAGAGAGGTGCATACCGTGAGATAGGATAAGTTTAAAAATTTAAGGTATTCTTAGTGTTAAGGTTGTTTTGTTCAACACCACCCAGGGATTCTTCACACAAAGTGATCTTCCAGCTTCTTGTTAGTAAGTCTCAACCTGGCAAACAACTGACTGCAAACATGATCCATTATGGCAGTGTGTCTTTCAGCATCACCAGCTAATCTAATCTAGTCATCTCTATGACCAGCAAAAGATTCCAGCAAGGTGACAGTGTCACTGACCTTTTAAGCTGAATGTATCAGTTGTGCTTCATTCAAGGTTACTGATGAAAAGCACATGATAGACACCTTATCCACGACCATGTTGGAATTCAGTGTGACCTAATTGATAGCAGTTATCTCCCCTAACCTGCTGACACTTTATCAGTGACGATAAAGGTCATCTTGATTAGTGTCAACACGTATCTTGTTACATGGATACCATATCACTTAGGATGTTGACATTAATTATCAGACTAAAGTCAAATCTGAAAAATGTGGATTTGGTGCTTGGGACCAACTGCTGCTACTACTACTACTGCAGATACTACTTCTACTGCACCACCAACTACAACTACTACTACTACTACCACTACTACTAATACTAGTACTGCACCACCTACTACTACTGAAGCAGCTGCTACTACTACTTTCACAACTACTAAATATATACAGCACATAATTCCAGCTATGCTGCTCACAGGAGCTTTACATGAGAAGCATTTACAATAATTGTAAAAGTGGTATTCACAGCTCCACAGAAAGGCTTTTCCTTGTACAGATCTGCCTCGTTCTATGTCTGCATGTTCTTGTAGTTGTGTGTCATATGGGAATAGGTGTGTTTCCTGCTCTATAGACATACAGAGAACCGATGACATCTGTATGAACAATAGGATCTGGCTTTGTGTTTGTAATGAATTCCAATAATATAATGTCCCTATACATCCATCTGTTACATATTCATATATCATAAACAATTCTGAGAATATCAGTTTATTTCAATTTTGGGTTCATTGATCTCACAGATACAGAAATGTTTTAGCAGATACAATATAATACCTGATTGTGTAGAATGTTTATACATCATATCTCCGCTGTAAGGGCAATGGTTTGCAAACTTTTGATGTCTGGGGATACTTGAACCCATAACATGGTGTAAATGTTTCACAATGTCCACACGATGGCTGAGTAAAAGTCTGCAATATCAGCCTAAGTTCTCTATAGACGATTCCCTATAGACCTTTTTTTCCCCAAGTGGACTGTCAAGACTTCTGGAAGAAAGCTGTCATATCAGCTCCAGTTCCTTATAGACATTTCACCATTGAATCCAGACGATAAACAAAATGTCCACCAGTGAACTGTCAAGACTTCCAGAAGAAGATTGTGAAATCAGCTCTGTTTGACGTTTGACCATTACTTTTGAACACAACAGACACATTATGCACCAGTGGACTGTCAAGACTTCTGGAAGAAAGCTGTTATATCAGCTCCAGTTCCTTAAAAACATTCACCATTGAATCCAGACAGTGAACAAAATGTCCAACAGTTGACTGTCATGTCTTCTGGAAGAAGGCTGTGATATCACCCCCAGCCCTAGCTCCTTGTAGACGTCTGACCACTGCCCTCTTCCTGGCCTGACCCGCAGTGACCTTTTGGTGACACACCACACAGAGTGTCCTCATGTTGTCAATGTCGCACATGCCGCCACCCTCCCACACGGGGGTGATGTGGTCAACATGCCAAAACTGAACCAAAACATGTGAACAAGTCATGAAAGTATTTCAATCAACAAAAACAGATATTATCAAGTTTTCACAGTGACATTGCTTTACCTCTGGGATCAATGGTTAGTGTGACAACCAACTTAATAGAGCATATCCACATTCATTGCAAGAGTAGTTAATGTTTGTTAAGGTCTAACTGAAGCAGACACTTTTTAAGTACTTTCAAATAAGAAATGTACTTCCAAGACCAGTTTTATTCATCCCAAACTACATCCTACAAGCACACTTGCATACTGGAACCAGTTGATGCGGATGCTATAGTCTTCAAACTCAGAACTGGGGGAAAACCAGTTAGAATCCTCCCTTGACTGCTTCTGCTAGATACATGCTAACACTCTTCTCTGACAGTACTTTTTTTTTTAGGGAAGGAGAGAGAGAGAGAGGAACTGTTTTGTCTGTGAGTTTCTAGCACACTTTCACCATCATATATATGTTGCTTCCATCTTGTACGGGTTAGAATTGGTTTCAGCAACCCATGCTTGTTGTAAGAGGCGACTAACGAGATCGGGTGGTATAGGGCTTGTAAAGGCTGCCCTAATGCATCACAGTTCAATGTCTTGGTTGACAAAACATGTCATCGTATCCCAATTGTGTAGATCAATGCTCATGCTGTTGATCACTGGATTATCTGGTCCAGACTCGATTATTTACAGACAGCTGTCATATAGCTGGAATATTGCTGAGTGGGGTGTTAAACAACAAACCAAATCCATCTTGTCTTTCGCATTCCAGTGGTATTTTGAATCTGAATGATTCAGTTGGAAACAATCTCTCCTCCTTGCTTCTGTCACGGGTTGACATAGCATTCATGACCATCTTTCGTTGATAGGGAATAAGGCCATACCACCATATGATAAACAATATTCAGTAATACAAATAGTTTAACCCACGCAACACATAGATGGTCAAACAAGAAGCAAACAATGCCATGAAACTCAATCGATAATAAATATCAGTAGTGATTTTGTCATATCAATATCCAGTTTATTTGTATTCGAGCACCTACTGGTGACCAACTGACCTGTCCCTCGACTGGTTTCCGCACCATGCTTTCCTTCTGCTTGGCTTTGAGAGTTGAATACTTGCCCTCTGACAGCAGTCTGGCTCGCTTCTGTACGTCCTGGGTGTTCCTGCAATAGATGAGTCGGGTTACTTGTAGAGATTAGACAGTAACTTGGACAATGTTGCACTTCAAATGAATATGTTGTAAGTTAGTCTGTTGTACAAACTGACCAACTCTGTGCCTTACTTGACTTGGATGTAGAAGGAATGAGCATCATATTTGCAGATTTGACAGATGCCATGTTCCACTTCATACACTTTGTCTCGGCAGTAGCTACTGTGGGTCTGCATCTGAAACACAGAACACTCGTACAGACAGATATACTGACAGATACACCCATAAGCAGACATGATTAATGTTCATGGCAGTCTGTTAATATCCGTTTCTGGACCAGACAAGCCAATGATCAACAGCACTAGCATTGATCTACACATTGGGATACAATGATATGTGTCAACCAAGATAGTGAGCCTGACCACCTGATCCCGTTAGTTGCCTCTTAGGACAAGCATAGGTTGCTGAAGACCAATTCTAACCCGGATCTTCATGGGTGAGCAGACTTGAAAACAGTTTTAGAGTCTACAGACAGATATATTCACAGACAGATACACCCACCAGCAGATATGAAGACTATTTTACATCCTACAGTTAGATTCACCTATCTACTGAAATATAGACTTATTCAGTGTTTGAAAAACACTTTTTACACTGCCCAAGGAAATGTATCCAGTAATCCAGCAATCCCAGTACTGTGCCAATTTTAAGCAATGTTGCGAATGATGCAACTTCCTGGTCATGACCCAGTAATCCAACTTACCCAGTACTGGTCCATGCATTTTGAGGAACAGAAACGAGTATTCCAAGCATTCTTCTCATCTGTGACAGTTGACTTGTCCAGGAGAGGGTTCCCGATACGGCTGCTGACAGTTAAGACACAGTGGAACACCTTCTGATGTGACAGCCTGTGTGACAGAGGGAAAGTAGGAGGATGAATTCAACCAAATATGGTTGCCTCATAACTTCACCAACTCTGCCTACCTTTACCAAAACTCAATATCATACCTGTAACACTCCTTTAGTATTGTGCGTCTGCTGTGTGTTGTCTTGTGACCCCTGACTTCCTGTCTGGCCTTTCTTTGATATAAGCCTGACAGTCCCACTCACTTCCACTGCTGCCTTCTGTGCCAGCATTGCTGCATCATCCTGTAGGGGAGGGACGGACAAAGTGATAAGTCATTATGGACGTGTTCCTAGTATGGTGATCTACCTTCAGTTGTTGGCAATCTAAAGCCCATTTTTACATTGTATTGTCCAAAAATAGTTTTGTACTTTTAAAGATATATGCTAGCTAGTTTTAACTCAATCTGTGATAATCTAGTGGTTTTACTGTCCTTTGCTGACAGGGTTTTATATATTATATGTATGTATTATGAATTTAGAACTAGTTTTAGTCATGATATGGCTGAAATATTGCCGATGTGACTTTAAATCTTAACTCACTGACTCACTGACTGACTGACTCACTCATTATGGACGTGCACAACATTTAATACTTGTACCAGTTAAATAGTTTGAGGTAATCAATTTAAGTTATATGCTGTTGATTTATTAGCTCAAAATTATTTATTGAGGGCCAGGCTTACTCAAGGCATACAATCCATGTAGTGATTTCAGAGGACAAGTTGGGCAGATAGCCTATCTCGAGTTGGACAATACCCCATATCATCCTGGGTAATATGAGTTGAGAATATCTCAGCTCTGTTATAGCACACTTAAAGAAAGGTTCCCCATGAGGGTCCAGGTTAGAATTGATCTTCAGTAACCCATGCTTGTTGTAAGAGGCGATTAACGGGATCAGGTGGTCAGGCTGTTGTCTGGTCCAGACTCGATTATTTACAGACCGCCGACATAATATTGAGTGCTGAGTGCGACGTAAATCTAAACTCACTCACTCACTCACTCAGTAAAGAAAGGTGATATCAGTTTGGTATCAAGCATTCATTACCAAACTTCTGTGAGAGGCATTTATAAGTTGGACCAGTAAGGAAGGATAACAATCTATGGATGAACAATTTCTTTACAGTGTTATCAAGCAACTGATGAACAGAATGAGTGAGAGGCATTTATACAAGTGTGAGGAGGTGTTCAATAATTCAAAGTTTTATAAATATACAAAGTTTTTGGAATTTTACATTATATATATATATATATATATATATATATATTTATATCTCCATCAATTTAATGTCTTGAATCCAAGCATTGGTTTGTTTGTTTTGTTGATGAACACCGGACTCAGCAATATTCTAGCAATATACATTGTATTGGCGGTCTGTAATTAACTGAGTCTGGACCAGACAATTCAGAGATCAACAGCATGAGCATCAATCTACACAATCAGATACAATGTCATGTGTAAACCAAATCAGCAAGCCTGACCACCTATTCTCATTAGTCGCCTTTTATGACAAGCATGGGTTACTGAAGACCAATTCTAACCCAGATCTTCACGGATACCAAGCATTGGTAATGTGACAACTATGTCGAATGATACAGTGCATGACCTTGTGCGTGTTGCCAAGCATACACAAGCCCTTTTTACACTAAAAGCCAGGTCATGTCAGTGATCTCTACATGGTGGAGATTAGAAAGTGTGTTGATATGCAGCTATATCTTCACCTGAGACGATAACATTGGAATATATAGATTGTCAGATAAGTTGTATATCAGTGACCTGAGTTACAAGGTTGTCAGGTCATGAACAAGTATGCTATATGACAAGGAAAGACAAAGGTTCTATTTTTTTCTTTTTCGTTTGTTTGTTTTTGTACTGATCTCGATGATTGTAGTTTGAGTGAGTTGGGCCGCTTTTAGCAATATTCCAGCAATATCACGACAGGGACATGAGAAATGGGCTTCACACATTGTACCCATGTGGGGAATCGAACCCGGGCCTTCAGCATAATGAGCGGATGCCTCAACCATTAGGCAACCCCACCGCCCCGATTGTAGTTTGAAAATTATTCTTATATTGAGAGAGAATAAAAAAGAAGTTCTGGTGCTTTTTCACATTAAGCAAATTCCAATTATGTATTTTTTGGATTAAAATATCATTGATACTTATCCTGACTTTAATATTCTAGTTTCTAATGTTTCATGAATATTGTATATTATGACTAAACACATAATATAGAAAGCTCCGTATATGATATTGTCGTCAAAACAAATGCTCTTAAATTATTATATATATTACCTCTGACCGTCAGATCCTGAACAGGAAGCGATGCAGAGAAGCTGTTGCATCTCAGAACACAATAATGACACAAACTTGAACCTAGGAAATATGAGGTTGCTGCTGCCATGTTGGTCTCACCTTGGTTTTGTGTCGCTGTGTATTGCTGACCTTGCCAGAACGGACCTCCTCGTAAGCCACCAGGGGGCTGCTGAACAACATTCCTTGTTTCACGATCAGACGCTTTTTGGTCTCCGTCAAACTAGGGATGAAAATACCCATTATTATAAATTATACATTGTTAGAAATCAATAGGGGGTTTCAGGACCCAAGGGATTTTGATACAGACTTTTAATGTTAAGCCTAACCTGATATTAATTTGATAAAGACCCCTTGGCTTAAATCTATTTTAATTTCAAATAAAAAACATATGTAATTGTTTATAGCATAAATAGGATCTAAAGATTAGCTGCTATGACTACAGATCTAAAATATATGTAAAATCTCAAATACTTCATTACACTTAAGTTTTAGATATAACAGACCTATTCCATTCCCTGACAAACTTTTGCACCAATCGCAAGTTGCCATGGTGATGAAGTACAGCTGGAAGTTGTTCAGTGTTCCCCATCTCTACATCCAGGGGCAGGAAGTTCTCATTGAGTGGGTCCCCATCCTGGCACAAACACAGTAGAACACACGAGCATGATTTCAGCTGGTATAACGTTCTACATTGCATGCATCTCCTAAACACACTATTGTCACTATTATGCATACTCCTGCCAGGGCCAGGTCAGTCATGATTTTATCCTACTGTTATAGATTTATATATATTGAAATACCAGAATCCTACAGAGATATTGAATATAATAATTGTTCACAGGAACCTATAAATAAGATATGTACCTGAATATAGAAACAAAAATATACAAAAGTAATAATTTCCAATTCTTAGAAATTAGATTTATGTTACAGTAAACACATCATTTGCAGATATTGCAAACTCATGAGCTGCTTTGAGAAGTATTTCAGTTCCATTACATCATTTCTGCTTAATGTGGGCAGTAATTCCAAATCAGTTGGTCTTAGACCACCTTGTTGAAACCCACGAGTGCAGATACAAACTGACAAATCTAGAAATACAATCATGTTTGAACCAGGATTCAGACCTATGTCCTGGGCTCTAGGTTTTTAAGCAAGGGATGCAACTCTGCACAGCAAATTGTGTCTGTGAACCACTGGGCCATCCATGCCCCTAGCACTATAGAGTTAACTGTAGCAGGACTGACCTGCTTAAAGAGGTAAACGCGGCCTGTGTAGAAGCTGCAGCAGTAGAGGAAGCCGGGGAACACTTGTGTGGGGGCACCTGCTCCTGTGTCACGGAAATCTGGGTAGCATAACGGGTACATCATCCTTCCTAGATATGTACTGCTTTGTATTGCTTACATAAATGTTTTAAACTGTTGACCCTGTTTACTGTAACAAACAGTGAAAAACTGAAACTGCACATGCAAAGATGCACATGAATTGTTGTGGCTACTAGTTATTCATTGCATTTCCAAAGTTGATGGAAGGTCTTACATTTCACTGTAAAAGGTTACTGATCTTAACCACACATTAGTTTGTGTACATTATTGTTTATCAAAACAGAAGGAATTTGGAAAGCAATATTTGAAACAAATTGAACTATTCTAATTTATTTTGTCAGAGGACACGTTTCATTTTCTATACACTTTGTTGAGTTAGACTTTTAACTGATTACTCTGCCTTTCTGCTACTGAAACCAATTAAAAATTCAACAAATTTTTGTTCTGTATGGATATCTGTCCTACCATCAGGTGAGATGTGTTTCCCAGGAGTCCTGATGTCGTTTGGACCGACACTGTGGGAGGAGCTGTCATCTCGGGAGTTCTACAACTCTGGTGCCTAGAATCAGAGCTGGACCTGTCAGCAGATTCTTCCAGTGACTTGTTACTTTCTGAAAGCAGACGGCTGGAGGATGTTTTCCTCAACACAGGAGACTCTCTGCTTCTTCTTCTTTTGGAAAGATCCAGGGCTGGTAGTCTTTGTTCATCATCTAGCACTGAAGCCTGGAGATCTGGATCTTCTGGCAAATGATTAAAATTACAATCACTGTCATTAACATGAGAGTTTGCTTGTGAGGTGTCTGTAGTTGATGCCACCGGAATCTGATGATCTCCTAGGTTTCGAGGTTCAGCAATTTCCACCCCACTCTCGTTGGACTCATCATCAGATGCGTCTAGGTTCAGACTGAAACAAGGGCTGTCTTTACTTAAGGCAATGTGGGTATGTTTGTGTCCTGACTCTCTAGCTCCTCTACTCTCCATGTTACTCATACTCTCATCCGACTGATCATCAGAGGAATCTAGAACCAAGCTGAAGCAGGGGCTGTCACAAGGCATGAGCTCCCACGAGGAGGTAACACATCGGCCATCATGACTCAATGGAGTAGACACACACTGGTCATCATGACCAACTAGGGGTTTCAAACACTGGTTATTACGACCCACTGGGGTAGATATACATCGGTTATCACATCCCACTGGGGTAGATATACATCGGTTGTCATGACCAACTGGGGTAGATATACATTCTTCATCATGACCCACTGGGGCAGACATACATCCTTCGTCATGACCTATTGGAATAGACACACACTGGTTGGTCACTTTGCATGAAACGTCTTCCTTATTACCAGACTTGGGTCTGTCAGATATTTCTTCCTCACTATCAGAGTGGATCTTAAAGCACTTCCTCTTCCTCTGTTTGGGAGTAGCTGTTGCTCCACTGATAAAGTCATCCCCAGACAAGCTTGAATCACTGAGTCCCATATCAATTTCCACACCATGTATGTCAGAACTTTCAGCACGATCTTCCAAAGGAAACTTCTCAACAGAGACACAAGAGGGTGGAGATTCATCAAGTACAACAGACTTACTCTTCTCTCCATCCCAGAGTCTACACTTACACCATTTCCAGTTGCTCCATCACGACAGACATGATCAGCGTCTACTGTCTGAGTGGAGGATCTGCTTGATACGTCAAGGTCAGCTATACCCGCCATTGTTCCAGTCTCATCATCATTCAACATAGAGTGTTCCGTATCAACTTTCACGACATTCGAGGTATCTTTTCTGCTTCTTACCAAACAATGGACTGCTTGGGATCAAATCTTCTTCTGTTTGGGACTTACATGAATTTGACCTAATGACATCTTTGGCCTTTCCTGGTGTGTCACAAATTTCACAGCGAGACATACCAGCATGGTTTAAGAATGTACAAGCACTACATGGCCACTTACTGGACTCTTCACACCTTAATGAACCTGTGTCCTCGTGTCTTCTCAAGATACTGTCTCTTTTCTTTCCAGCTGATGCTGTTTTCAGAATATGGAATGCATTTTTTACACTCCTTGGATTGGTGGGTGTTGTACAAAGTGTTTGGCTATCAGACACGTTTTCAACCTCGTCAGTCAGTTCCTTACCAGAAGGGGTTGATGGGATTAAGTCTCTGTTACAGTCATCAAGAGGCTGACCTCTTTCCCTTCCATCTGTTCTGTTTTTCCTTTTCTTCTCTGTTTGGAATTGTTCCCCTTCCTCTTCACTGTCCAGGAGAATTATCTCCCCTGTCAGTCTTCCCTCTGAGATTTGTTCTTGGTTGTTAAACTTCTGCTTCTTACAAAGCAGACCTGGTGCTTCTTCATCATCATGGGGTCTCTTTTTTCCAGGTGTCTCATCCAAGGTCTTACTTCTGTTCTTTGCTGAAGGAGGTGTAAAAAACTCCAGTATTGATCTTTGATCTGTTGGCTGATAAAACAAAAAGCAACTGAAAGTACAGAAGACTTTGCTGGTCCATGTGATACTGAACCACAATTTTAGCTATTTTAGTCTATTTAGCTATTTAGCTATTTTAGTCTAGATATCATTGGCATCAAAAACTCCCAAACAACCACAAACCTGAACACAAATAATGTTTATTAAAATTGTAATAATCAGTCATTTTACAAAGCACAAACTCTGTGCATGAACTTTCACAGTTGTAGGCCAGACTCTGGAATGTAGAAAATCTAGGAACAATTACAACGTCATATTCCTCCATGATAACTGGTTTGCACAATGTAGAAAACCCCAACTTAACTTGATAATTTCGTAAGAATAAATTGTTCTGATATTTATTTATCATAGCTGATCAAAATTACTCATGGTTCAATTTGCCAAGGTGACTGGTATGTATTCTTAAAATCTGTAAATGAGAATAAAATATAAATGTTCTGATAAATATTGATAACAATGAAAAGGGTCAGCTTGCAGCACACACTCACAATTGATTGTCTGACAATTGTTTGAAAAACACTTAACACCTTCATATGATTAACCTAAACACAATGTGAGATACCTTTTGTGACTGAAAGAAAGATGTTAAATCCATGTCCGTCTGCTCGGTTGGGACCCATGCATCAGCATTAGACAGCAACTCAACCTGATGATCGTCTCCCTTCTCAGCCTCCAGATTCCGCCGCTGACCACTCAATGCTGTGCTGGTGACCAGTGTCTACAGGGATCAGGACAACAGACGGTCACTCTGGCCTCATTTTAAAGATTCATTCAAGCTGGTGGTGGATATTGAGAATTTGACTTTGTTCCATGGAATGTATTGAATTTTTATAGATTCTGTATAGAAAGCTTCTAGTCTTCCAAGAAAACGTTTTGAAAATCCTAAAATAGGATAATGATACCATCTAAACACTCCTTTCAATGCCTCACCTTAGTTTGTGTTTTATATTAAAATATGTGTCTTACCTTTTTACACACAGTGCCCCAAACCCATTCATCCATTGTTCCCTTGGCAACCAGGTAATGTACAGGTAGACTTGCTGTTTGCCCAATTCGATGAGCACGATCCTCACACTGAACCATGACACCAGGTGTCCAGTACATCTCAGCAAACACAACCAGCTTGGCTGCTGTAAGGGTCAGTCCCTGGAGACATACGACATAACAACAGATCACAACAGGTGTCCAGTACATCTCGGCAAACACAAACAGCTTGGCTGCGGTAAGGGTGAGTCCCTGGAGACAGAGACATACGACAATACAACAGATCACAACAGGTGTCCAGTACATCTCGGCAAACACAAAGGTGTCCAGCTTGAAACACAACCAGCTTGGCTGCGGTAAGGGTCAGTCCCTGGAGACATACGACAATACAACAGATCACAACAGGTGTCCAGTACATCTCGGCAAACACAACCAGCTTGGCTGCGGTAAGGGTCAGTCCCTGGAGACATACAGAAATAACAACAGGTCACAACAGGTGTCCAGTACATCTCGGCAAACACAACCAGCATGGCATACGGACATAACAACAACAACAGTGGTCAGTCCCTAAGGGGTCAGTCCTGGGAGTGAGTTTAGTTTTACACGCACTCAGCAATATTCCAGCAATATTCGGTCTGTAAATAATAAGGTCTGGACCAGATAATCCAGTGATCAACAGCATGAGCATCGATCTACGCAATTAGAACATTGGGTTGTGAAGCATTAGGGCAACCTATACAAACCAGTGCATACGGAGCCGTTAACCACTGCTTACCACTCCTGCTGCTAGGATACTCAAGACGGCCACCTTTGTGTCTGGATCTGACTGAAACTGCTGGACGTACATCTGTAAATGGTGGATGGAAAAATCAGTCAAAAGCAATGATTGGCAACAAATCAGGATCAAATATCTGACACTTTCTCTCCCCAGCCTATCAGGCACATACATAATCATCGTTTTAGCTCAGTGTTGCTCACATTCATCACGTCACTTTGACAGCAGTGCCATGAAATCAATTCAGTCATGTTCATTGTGGAACATATTGTTTCTTTAGAAATAATACAATAAAGTGATTAGTTCGATCAAAACATTCAGTTAAAATACAAGATCAATGAAAATAGTCTAACCAGCCTGTCATCTGGCTTAACACTGCCATCTATACGGATGAATTTGATCTTCTTATCCCAGAGCGTTTGCTGGATACCGTTCATCATGACGTGGTGGTAGGCAAATATGAGGAACTTGAGTGATGAGTTATCACACAGCATTTCCAGGTATTCCTTGACTGGACCAATCTGACAAGAGTGAGTGAGTGAGTGAGATAGTTGTTGTGTTATGATCAATATAATCCTATCAGTGAGTGACTGAGATGGGTTTAATTCCACTCTGAACAGTATCACACTTATATCATTGTGTGGCAGCGTGCGGGAGGAATTATTTTTAGACATTTAAAAAACATTTGAAACCCATGAGCATGGGGCAAACAGGGTTTCAAACCCACATTGAAAGTTTTCAGGTATGCCCAAGTGATGCAGCTCTGGAGTGAGTGAGTAGGTTTTTTACGCCACTCTTAGCAATATTTCAGCAATATCATGGATGGGGACACCCTTCACACATTGTACCCATGTGGGGAATCGAACCCAGGTCTTCAGCGTGACGAGCAGACTCTTTAACCACTAGGCTACCCCATCCCCCCACACAACTCTGGTACCCCATGTCAGACAACATTTCTATAACAGGTGGGTCAATGACAGCCAGTCTGTTATTGTCAAATACTGTGAATTACAGGCTTCGGGCCAGTTTGCATCCATTCCAATACAAGAGTTACCTACCTTAGCTTCTCCGCTCAGTCTGTACAGCTTGGATATGAGAGAAAGTCGATGCAGGGATTCCCCGCTGATGTCCTCAGACTCCTGAGTAGCAGCATCTAGACTGAGGCTTGTCATGTTAGTGTTCCTCTGCAACATCGGCCTCAGTTCCTCAAACAGATTCATTATTTCCTGCATTGTTGAAAGAAAATTGATTCATTATTTCCTCCAATGATGAAAGCAAATAAAATCATTATTTCTTGTATTGATGGAAGAACATAAATTTTTCCTTCTTTCTCGTATGTACAACACCAATTTACCTTCTTCTGGCTGGAGTCTTTCAGTTCAAAGAGCACCTTCTGCCTCTGTTTGGGAGGCAGCTGTTTGAGGACCTCGCTCTTCTCTCGCCGGATCATCACCGACCTGCTCAGCTTCTCCTGGAGCTCCTCTAGGTTACTTGCACCACTGGAATGAGTGAGTGAGTTGAGTTTAATACTGTTTGTTAACAGTATTTCAGTTCTATCACAGCATCAGCCTATTCATGGAGTAAAGCCCTTAGTAACTGATGCTATTGGTATGGCGCTAACAGACAAACAAATCACAATTACAGAACATCCTGCAAGGGATACAACTCTGCACCATTGAGCATTTGCACCATTGAGCAGAGGGGTGCAATACAGTCACACACATTGCATCAATTCTTCTATCAATTAAATGATGTTAACTGATAAAGTTAGAAATATCGACTTTAGAATGGTCCTCATCACCTAACTGCAATATGTATTTTTTTTACTGACACACACTTACTCAACCTTCCTCATTTTCTGCCTGCCAATCCATTCCATCCTAGCATCACAGTAGCGGGCTGTAAACTGCCACCATGACCCAAACTCCCCCGGCTTCAAAGCATCAATCTGGGGGAACAGCTGGAATGGTGTGGAATAAATACTGCTGCACTACAGGTTCTAGGCAATAACCAGTGAATACATGTGTGTTTAGGGCACTCGTAATGACAAATATAGATCATTTATAGGCCATGGTGACAACCTTGTGTATCTACAGCTTCATGACGTTGGAAATGATACACATAAGGGAGATAATTCAGGGATGTCAGCTTCTTTATTTATTATGAGGAAGACATTTCAAAGCATATTCTTCATCCTAGGATACTAGGATACAACAACTAAATATGTACCTGTAAGAACAATCAAGTGATAAGATAACAAAGGTGGAAACTTACAGGGGAAACCAACAGTTCATAAGTGCTGATTTGTAATAAGTAACGCTGACGCTATTATGAATAGATTGATATTACATAAGATAACAGGTTCTTGTCATAGCGCCTGTTGAAAGATACTAAGTGCTTGAGAAATTAATTATCAGTATTGTTAGATTTCATCGTAAAGTATTAAGTTAATAAACTTTATGTTTTAATGTTTACAATAGATATACATGTATGCATATACCTTTTGTCTGTAAGCCCTACATACTGAATAACATCTTAAAATACATTGTCAGCAGTGTTGGACATTACAACTTCTCAATGATTGTGTCAGATTGCAAGTGACTGACCCTAAATAACCAAATGAGTCCCATGGAGCCATATTTTATATTCCTGGTCTTTCACTTTGACAGGTACTGTGGGTACTTGACTCAGCAGTATTCAAGTAATTCTGAAGCTGAAAGGTTTATACTGATATATAACCGTTAGCTGTTTACCTCCACAGGTTTGGCCAGTGCTGGGGTCCCAGACAACAGAATGCGTCGGCAGGCAGCTTTGATGAGCGGAACAACAGCTTTAGATGAAGCAGTCCGGCTGTTCTTGATGTAATGAGACTCATCACAAACAATCACCTTGAAATGTTGATTGGTGAGGGCCTCACGGACGATGCTGCTCGTCTGTTTACTCAGCAGCCCATAGGTCACGATGCTGACTCGAGAGTTCGCTATGCCACTGATGTTGAATGTATACAAAATATAGTTCACAGTTGGGGGAAATAATATTTTAGCATGTGCCAAGTACAAATGGTTTATTAACTATTTCCATCTTTCCGAAGACATGGAATGAGCACAAGTGTTTCACAACTGAAGTAGCCCTCTCCAAAAAATGATTAACCTCATACACTATGAAGGAGTTATATATGGCCACAATGGTAATTGTGTACATAGGTAAAATATTTGTAATTAATGTTCATCTGTTTCCACAATATCATATAAATGTATTTTACCATGACTCTTGCGTCTTATCATGCCTGCAAATGACAACACACAAAAAGAGAGAACAATGCATCAACATAGCTGCCAGAATTGATTTCACTTTGAGCACACTGAAAATGATCGTTTCCAAGAATTTGTAAATGAATCCTCTTTCTCGAAGCGTAAAAATTACAGGAACCATTCCATTTGTCATGTGTATGGCTATATATACTCTGCCAATTGTGCGTCATGTAAACATTGCCTAATTATAGTTGAGCATAATCAATCGTATTTTGAATATATGTCAACAAAATTCCATCACTACAATTCACCTTGCATCAGTCCCTCCTCTGATGAGGTTGATATCGTTGGGGTGTAAATCAGGCAACCATTTTTCTAGTTCCTCTATCCAGCAGAACCGCAGGGAGGATGGCACAATAATCAGCAGAGGCCACTCACAGTGGTAGTAGTAGGCTACAGATATTGCCTGTAGAGTCTTCCCCAGGCCCATCTGTGTGTGTAGTCAGGTCAAGTGTAGACAATCAAAACAATCTCATTTATCTTTCAAATTGATAATGAATAGGTATTTGTAACAGACTGAATGTTAGATGATGATAAGTCAAAGGTCCCGACATACAGTATCAATTAAAATTCTGGAACAATATACCCCAATCACCTTACAATCACCTTACACTCAACACACACAGAAGCACACACATCACACAGACTTACTATGCAGAAGCACACACAGTAACACATTCACACACAGAGAAGCACACACACCAATACACACACTAATGCACTCACACGCACACACTAACACACACACACACACAGCACTCACACACAGAAGCACACACACTAACGCACTCTACATGCACACATGCACTCTCACTCACACACACAGAAGCACACACACTAATGCACACACACACACACAGAAGCACACACACGTGGACAGTTTTACTGTTGCTCACCTCATCTGCAATCAAGCATCTGAAATAAAAGTAACATTCATTTCGATTTGGCTCAAAACAAACAGGAAAACACAGCCTGATGTTAACATTTGTCCATACACTATCAAAACAATATAAGATATTGATCTGTAAAACATGCTCAACTAAGTAACAGAAAAGAATATTAATCACTGAAAACAGATGGACTCAAGTTACATGACTACAGTGTCTACAGAGACATTATTACCAGTCAAGGAATAATAAACCATTCAGCCACTGGACTAGTTGTTCATAAACTGCATCAATTACCTGTATTAAAATAGCGACGGGTGCCAGTCAAATCGCCCCAGGTTTGGTCAAATTGCCCCAAGGGGTAGTCAAAATGCCCCAATGTATTTAAATTGGTTAAATATATGCCACAAATACATAAATATTATACCATACTTGTTATGATTACACAATGCCATTTGTTGACCAAAAACTATTTACAGCCAATAAACATATTATACAAACCTTTTATTTTACTCTTGTAATTCTTTACCAAATAATTGGTATTACAGTGTTGTCTATACATGAATATTACTTTCGTTCTTATCAATTTACTAATAGAAAATTTATTAGAAATATTACTATATAATATTATATATAGCATATAATATGGAAGTTGACAAAAACTATGATTTAAACATATTTATTTCCAAAGAAAGGACGGATTGGTAAACAAGTATAAGCTTATATGAATACAGCTCAGGGATACAATGGAAGGGAGGATAAACACATCATGATGAATGTACAATGTGAATGATATATAAATGTTGCAAAAATGAGAAATAACGACAATCATTGCTAAACAGTATATGTCATATAAACAAATTATTTTGGATCAAATCTGCCTGTTAAATTTATAAAAGAGTGCACTGAAATTAAAAGTTCTTTGTTTACTATTGAGGAGCAGCTTTGGTTTCCAAACAAAATTGATTTTAGGTCAAATCCTTTGGTATTAAAATACATAATATTGACGTATATCGTTGTAAAGAGTACATGAAAAGAAATAGTGAGCAAAACCTTCAAAGCTATGGCCACAAGAGCACGATGATGTAGTGGAGATAAAAAGCTTTCATATTTGTGCGCATTAAGGTCACTACATTCAAGTCGGAGACAAGAATGTATGATTTGACAAAATCTGCTACTGAAATTTAAGTCAAAATGACTGTAGATATTAGAATCGTTTAAAATTACATTTTAGAATCTCGATAGGTGATGGTCAATTGATGGTCAATTAGTGAATGTGTTCTTATAGCCTGAAATGCTCATACATTCGAGCCTCAACATTTCCTTCAACTAAACACAGCATTGAATGTCAATTAGTGAACATGTTTTAATAGCCTGTTTTTATCCACACTTTTTGACAAGATTAATTAACAAAAGCTCTAGATTGTTTTGATAAGCATTATACCATACTTGTTGAGAAAACCTGTGCATTTACGGCCTCACCTTTTGACAAGATTAATTAACAAAAGCTCTAGATTGTTTTGATAAGTATTATACCATACTTGCTGACAAAAACTATGCATTTATGGCCAATAAACATTCTATACAAACATTTCATTTTATTCTTGTAATTTTTTACAAAAGCATTAATAACATGCAAATAATTGGTATTACAGTGTTGTCTATACATGAATATTACTTTTGCTCTTATCAGTTTACTGAAAATTTATCAGAAATATTACTATATAATATTATCTGAAGTATATATAATATGGAAGTTGACAAAAAAAACTATGCATTTATGGCATATATTTAATCATTTTAAATACACTGGGGCATTTGACTACCTGGGGCAATTTGGATTAAACCTGGGACGATTTGACCAAAATCTGGGGCATTTTGACCAAATTGGCTGGGGCATTTTGTAGCTGGGGCGATTTGACTGGCACCCATAGCGACTACCATTATACTTTTAATTTATAGTCAAATTGTCATTTAATACTCACGGAAGCTGAAGGGACCTCATGAAATAAAAATTATCTTGGCGCACAAGTTAGTAAATTGAGCTACAAAGTTAGTATATTGAGCGCTGAAGTTAGTATCTTTAGTACAAGTTAATTATCTTATTGAGTGCACAAGTTAGTATCTTGAGCACAAGTTAATATCTTGAGCGCACAAGTTAGTTATCTTGAGTGCACAAGTTAATATATTGAGCCATTACAAGTTAGTTATCTTGAGCACAAGTTAATATCTTGAGCACAAGTTCGTTATCTTGAGCACAAGTTAGTTATCTTGAGCGCACAAGTTAATATCTTGAGCGCACAAGTTAATATCTTGAGCACAAGTTAGTTATCTTGAGTGCACAAGTTAATATATTTAGCACAAGTTAGTATCTTGGCTAGCACAAGTTAATATCTTGAGCTACAAGTTAGTTATCTTGAGTGCACAAGTTAGTTATCTTGAGTGCACAAGTTAATATATTGATGGCGCAGCACAAGTTAGTTACCTTGAAGCACAAGTTAATATCTTGGTAGCACAAGTTAGTTATCTTAGCGCACAAGTTAGTTATCTTGAGCTAAGTTAATATCTTGGTAGCTACAAGTTAATATCTTGGAGTAGCACAAGTTAGTTATCTTGAGTGCACAAGTTAATATATTGAGCTTAATACAAGTTAGTATCTTGAGAGCACACGTTAGTATGTTGAGCTCAACTTAGTATCTTGAGATACACTGCTTCATAAGCAGTTCATGTGGAAGCAAGGAGGAGTGGAACGCGAGAGTTGATTCATGCTTATTTCAGTCTTGGGTTCCAATACAAACACATAACACATCTTCTTGTCAAAATCATGGTATAGTATAGTGCATGCCACTTGAAGGCGTATTCTGAGGTGTATGTCCCACTTTTCGCACCAGATACCAGATTTGCTGATGTTACAGTGAGTGAGTGAGTCACGGTTTACACGGCTTTTGGCAATATTCCAGCAATATCGCGTGGGGAAACACGAGAAATGGACTGCACACATTGTACCCATATGGGGAATCGAACCCAGACGGCGTGGCGATCGGACGGCTTTAACCACGAGGCTACCCCGCCCGCTGATGTTACATACTTTATTGCGGACAACTTCCACGATCTGAACAAAGACATGGTTATAGTTGATGCATCAAAATGTACCCTATGCGGTTTAATCGTGAAACAGGATACTGTCACGGTCGTTGTTGGACCAGAATGGTGTTCAATTTCGCTCTGGACACTGTCTTCATCGACTTATTTATTCTTCAACTTCCTGTGTTGTTAAAACATGTTAAATAAACTACAACACACATCACGTATACATATAAGGGATTTATCACGGAAGAAGTGAAGCGGGAACACGGTATTTTAGTAAGAAATAAAGTCGGTATATATGCTATCGATGCACATACTAATGGATCAAATAAATCAGGCGGGTTTTATATGATATTGTACAGAGTTAAACTGCCATTGTACTCACGTTAGGAAACATTACTGATACATGCAAACCAAGACTACAGACTATAGTTCCTGAAAGTGGTCGACTTTACTTCCAATACATCAGACATTAGTTTTATAATTAACATAATTAAGCATAACACTCAATGTTTACATTTTTCATGGTCATGTAATGCTATAAATACATAATAAAGCCATAGCAAAAACAAGTTATCCAAACTGCGCGCGTGTTCATAATGTACCAATATAAGAAGTAAGTAAAACCACTATTCATCCCTGCAATAAACTCCTACTCATGTTTATGTTTTAATTCTTATTATGACATTACACATACCCAGGCCTGCTTTATGTAATAAAGCAAAAGTGGTAAAATCAGATACAAAGAATAGTATTGACAAAGCATAAAAGGCGATGAGCGTTTACATGATAAACATTATCAATGTTCATGATACAATTGCATACTTTTACATAGTCTCATCATAAACACCTATAGTTAACTCCGACTTTGCATCGTTTGAAATCTTCCAAAAAGGATATACGTTTGTACATTTTAGCCATCAGTCAAGCAAATGTGCGTTCCATTAATGCCATTAGATGCTAAACACGAAGTTGAGCGCTCAAGATATTAACTTGTGCGCTCAAGATAATTTTTATTTCATGAGGTCCCTTCAGCGCTTCCGTATTAATACAGTCTATATCGGTTAATTTCGGCCATGAAGTACATTGGACAATGATTGGTAAGGGTCATCTAATCTGGGTACGAGTCGTCCAAATTGTTCTTAAAGAATCTTATCTTATAGAATTTACATATGGACAGTGATTGTGATATGTGTATCACCTAATACGAAAATACCGACCGCATAACAGCATATGCTACATGCAAGTGATAAAGTTGTCTGTCACCAGAGACCATATTATATGGTCTCTGCTGTCACTGAGGTAGATCAGTCAAGATACAAAAACCTACCTTCCGTGTTTTTTCACTGCAAACTTGACTCCATCTTTCTGGAAAGGCATTAGTCGTTCGACCAGGCGCAGTGGTAATCTGGACAGCACGTAGTCGTCCTGATCTTTCATGTTTAATTTCTATGTTTACTTCATCTTTCCCGCAATCATGAGGCGTGCCAATTTCAAAGGGAGGTCACTCTCATGTTTCGTTATGATTAGCATACCTCAAAGGAAAATCTGAACGAGACATTTCATTGTGGATGTGATGTCACTTGGGTATGCCACTTTAATACGAAATAGTAAATGATAATCGGAAACAGTGACTATATCTGTAGAAGCAAATAACTGTGTGACGTTAGCGGGCTCATATGTCGATCTTTCACACAGGCTGACAAGTGAATGTTTAGTAATGGTGAATGTTGACTGCTTCAGGAGCACATTGTTATTAATGATGTCTCTACTTATATATGTAATCAGGACATAGGCACCAAATAGTTCAGTAAATAATCCCCTTTTAAAGGGAAACAAAACTCCATCTCTCAGTCGTCTAGCCAGGTCGTTGCTTCATTGTATTTTGCTGTTGTGTTTTTTTAGTACAAGGGCAAAATAAAACTGTTATGTTTTCAATGTCTGGTTTAACATTGTTTCAGTTTTGCAACCTGCATATTTCATATATAACTAAACACCTTGGAATCCAGTATGGCCAATTTGGCATGTAATTATTGAAACACTTTATACAAAGGTACTTATGCATTATGTTGTTGATCTCTCAGATGACCCTCAACCTAAGAGTTTAAACAAAGTACTGAAGGGGTCGTTGTTGGCAGATGTGTACCCCAGGTACATTTCTGTATAAATGTACCCTAGCCAAAATCAGAATACAGAAACGTACCCTTGGAAGATTCCATTCTGCATTGTGGAGTTTTCTTCATCAGAACGGTCATACTGTTGTATTAGATGCATTTGATATTGTTATATAAGAGCATACACAGTAACGAATATGTCACGGTGCACAACGTACACCACTTGCAATCAGCTGAACGGGAACAACTACATATGGTTTCGGTTTTGGGTTGCGGAATATGGACTCGTCCGTCGTTAAGGGTACCGGGTACGTTTCTGTAGTTTGTCTTTGTTTAGGGTACATGTCTGTATACAGAAACGTACCTGCGGTACATATCTGTAGTACCTGTGCCGACAACGACCCCTTCAGCCAAAGTAAACCTTGCAAGGTTAGGTTCTAAAACCAGTATGATGGCAACACATTGACAGGAAGTCACAGCATGGTGATGCAGTAAGTATGACCTCATCTTACATGATAAACTAGCACCAAATCTGATTCTGTTCCAGAGATACTCATAGCTGTACAATATACCAGTCACTGTACGTAGTTTCAGTGAATGAATTTGTTAAAGTGGAAACTGTAAGAAGTATCTGTTGTGGTATTGCAAGTTGAGCTGATACACATACATTTGAAACATTTATAGGAAAAGTAAACTGATTATTGTAATAGTTGGCGTTTAATACTCAAACTTTGTTGTATTTTAAAGAATTAATAGTTCAGCATCACAAGTTGTAATCTGTTAGTGTTGCCTTATACTTGGTTCATATTTTTTACTTCTCCTCTGATGGATTCGCCTGAGATTTTGTGTGGACACTTGTTACTGTATGGTTCAAATGAATATGGAATTTCAACATGACTGCCATCTTTGTTACACAATTTGAAAAAATATTCTCACCCAAAACATAAAGGGACAGAAATCAGAAACAATTTGTCCAAGTTTGTTCGAGGCATAATGATTATATATACAGTATACCACTTGCAGCAAAAATATAAATGTCCATTCCAATGAAACTGAAAGTTCTTTCTTCCAATTAATTATAGTACCCAAATTTATTGAAAAGATTTGAATCTGATAATTACTGCAGCCACCATGGCTATGTAGTTTGTATTAATTAAGTGTTAATTTCACCTTCAGACCAATTGCTCCTTAAAGGGCCACTGATCCAGAGCAATTTCTGTGGACTGGTTGTTGCTTTTGTTATTGTTTTTTTTCCAGTGAGTACCCGGATGATATCCCAGAATTCATGACTGGTTCGTTACCTCTGCTGCGCCACCCTCATGCGCAATTGATAGTATAAGTATAGACTGTTTAACAAAGATGAAATCTTTTTTACTCGATAATCTTATGCTGATTTTGTTGTAAAATTATGTAGCCTTTGATGAAGAATTTGGTTTCTTATAAATTAATATTCACTTTGATAAAAATGCTGATTTTGATGTAAAATTTTGATTTCATAGTAATGTTGACTTTATAAAAATGTTAACGTTAATAGATGTAGAATTTGATTTAAGAAATAGTTTGACCTTGAATTTGGTGAGAAGCCTGATATTATAGCATTGTTACTAAGTACATGGGGAGTCTTGGGGAGAGTAGTGAGGTCGGGTTCACTACTAGTCAATCTGAATGTTGTATTAAATGGCATTATTTTGATAACAAATGAAAACATTTTAAGTTTAACCATCTGCCAGTGGTAAAAATGTTAGGACTGAAATAATGAAGTCAAAGTATGCGTCTATATATTTTGTCTTATGATCTTAATTAGTTTACTATCATATTTTTATGCATTTTGAAACTTAATAAAATGCACACGATCTGCTTATACTTAGTGAATTTATAACATAATTGTAATATCTAGACATTTTATAGATTGCCAACGTCTATCAAAATTATTCTGTTGAATGCAATAACAAATAAATAAAAACAAAATGCAAATATTAAAATTAAAACAGACTAAAGTTATAGCAACAATATCAGGCTATTACCTTGTTCGGGAATGTATCCATCAATATCCACATAAAGGAATGAGATGCCATTCATCTGCAGCTGACAAAGTATCATGTTCCATGTCATGTGGATTTATTCCCACTTTTGGCAATCCCACTTTTGGTAGTCAATTTTCACACCTGGTTAACGAGCTAGAACAGTTGTCCCGGTTTTGGCAGTTTATGACTCACACCTCATAACTAGCCCTTTGACACCTTGCTAATGAGTCTTAATTGATTTAATCAACTCCTAGGTAGAGTGAAGAAGAGAACAGAATAACAAAGAATTTTATTGGTGATGATTATTTTATTCACAACACATTTGCAAAGTATTTCAAATGTTCTAATGACTGTACCATCAGTAGTTGTCGTCACTGTCGCAAGACAGTTCTCCTTTACAGCCTGGCACCTCCATGGAATTGTGCCATTCTTGTTCGCTGTCCGTCTGAGATAGCATAGCCATCCAAAAGCATGTCAGCACCTTACTTTCTTCCATCCAGGATCTGTCCTTTCTCTTCCATAGTGAGCAATATGAGTTTCAAATATATATTTGTTATCTAAATAAAACATCCTTCTTTTTTCAACTCTAACCTCTTTACTTTTACAAACATCCTCAGTGCCTAATTGATCCTAATTGTCCCAGTAGCAAATTAGTTACCACCTTACTGACGAGACCTAATTGTTCTTAATTGGTCACACCGGTTGTCCCAATTTTGGCAGTGAGATACAACACCTGCATGGTCCAGTGCACAACAGACTGCCAAAAATGGGAAATCACCATAATACATTTGCCACATCAGACCTCAATTTATAATGATGAGTATTTACTCCAGACACAAGAAATGCCAAATGGGAACCTTTGTCGGGTAATCTGAGTGGTGTTATCACTAATTATACCTGTTATAAGTTCATTAACTGACCATCAAGTGAATGATGACAAATAACATGTGTAGGTTTACCACCAAACAAGGGTTACAGCAAGAGAGTAGTAATCGCTGTATTGCATGCAAGTTTGATTGCCTGTTTGAAAACACTGTTTTGAGGATACGAACGGAACATCATTGTTACATAAGAAATATATATAAACATTTGCTGTGTACTTAGTTAAAAACTGTATATACCTATGTACCTAAGTAAAATTTCAGATTCATTTTGCAATGGCAAAGTGGGGTTGTTTAGTTTATGGATTCAAATATATCAAATGTGTGCTTTTGATATCATAGCATACGTAATAGACATCATATTTCTACATGATTAAATATTGAGGTAAAAAACACAGAAATAGGATCAAATTGGATCAGTCACTATACCATCCAAACATTTGAAAATCTGAAAAAGCCTACACTGCTGGGATACTTTATTACGATCAGACAAGAACTACCGGGGATATTTTCAAATAACGGCATCTGATGGGCATCCACCCTTCCTAATGTCCCATTGATTAGGTTGAAGAAATTCTGCCAAGGTGGTCACTAGTCTACTACTGACCAGTTTGCAGCTAGGTTTCGTAATTAGACTGTCGGCGAGAAACATTAATCGCTCTGGATCACTGACCCTTTAAAATGATGAATATGCACTTCCTAACACTGCAAACATCTGTTAAATTGCTACATTGAGAATGAATATTCGTACATATGTCCTGCAAATACACAGAATGAAGTATCAGTATCAAGTTTCAACAAATTGTCTAACAGCTTCAAGTAGTTTTTGTCAGTTTCACATAAGATCTGTCAAGTACTTAAATTTATTGTTCAATTTCCTGTTTATGTTTGGGAAAGTAGTTCCTAAATAATGAACAGACCAATATTGTTACGAGAGTGTGTTTTTCGTAATTTGTAATAACATCGGTTAGGTGATAATAATTATGAGTCACAATATTTAAAGTTTTGAGTGTTGGTTGTGGGTCACATTTTGAGTCATATATGTTCAGTGGCAATAGTATTTTAGCGGCACTCCATTATGATAGCGCTCCAGAGTTACCTCCCTTGACCAGATGTTTATGTGTTGACATCGTCTTGTCGTATGTTCAACATGTTTCGAGAAAGATCTAAGTGTTTAATGATACAGCCATGCTTTGCTGGAAAGTTCTAGAATCTGTGTCAGTATATATAAAGGCTGGCTGTTGTGTGGTGCGGCAAGGACTGACACATGGACTAACATACAGAATTACATGGATCTTTCACTGGAGTTGTCCATCGTTGTTTGCCTTCGTCCTTTGTCACATCGCCATCGTCTGACCCTTACACTTCGTGCCTGACTGTTCTCATCTGTAAACAAGCTTCATTTAGAATATCTTATCTCACTAAATATCAAGGCTTGTGGTGAGTTGATATTTTATATGTGACCCATTACTTTAGATTTGTGACTCAATTGCATTGTACTAGAAATCTGTATTGGGATTCATTGTATCTTGCTCATTGTTTGCTCAATATATTATTGAATATTTTAGACTTGTCTGTGTTATATTTTGCTGGTTCAAAGGGGATTCTTAAACCTTTTGTCACGGCAATATATTAACCGTAATAATATGATATATCATACCTGAATCAAGTGGATTCAGACATAAGTAATCCATCTGTGTGTATCTTTGTTAGGGTAATCTTGATTACTAAGTAACATGAAAGCAATGTATATATATGTTTGCAGTGAATTTCACTTTAAACAAAAAAGTAAATCAAATAAAGTGAAATCAAGATTGCAAATCCTCATGATTTTACCTTGCCAAACGAATATTTGAATGTGAGAATTTTATTCAATTTAGGATAAAAGTTGTCTAACAAATAATCACAGTTTCAAATCCCTATTATTGATTTGTATTACAATGGGGTATGCACATTAAATGAAACACCAAGAACAAGTAGGGTTGGTTTAAGTTAACACTCATCACATACCGCACATGCATTTGTTTCACTGTTCCAACTACTACGCATACCCCCTTGTAATTTGAAACTATGATTGTTAAACAACTTTTATCCTAAGTTGAATAAAATTATGAGTTTTATATGTTCAGTTGGCAAGGTAAAATTATGAGGATTCGCAATCTTCATTTCACTTTATTTGATTTACTTTTTGGGTTAAAGTGAAATTAATCAGTACGTTTTCACTGCAAACAGACTATAGGTACTTTAATGTGATCTTGTTTGATATGAATAGGGATAAGATCTGTTGTGATAATAATGTACTTGATTTCATAAAGTGTGGTGGCCTATCCTAATGATTCACAGCATGTAACCTGAAACAAGCTATGTCCTTCATTAATATCTCCTGCTGCACAACTGAAAAATGTTGGTGACAATCTTAGGATCATTTCACTGTGTAGTAAATATTTGTCAAGATAGTTGACCCATAGTATTGAAAGTGCTGGTTTTCCCTTCTCTGGTAGAAATGATAACACAACTATGAAATCAGCTGAAAAAATATTTTACTGCTTTTCTATCATCCACTTATATTAAAACATGATTAACCAACATATGGCACAGTGATCTCCAGTGGGTGTATAGTTTGCAATAAAGTCACTGAATTCAAGCAAGCACCTGTTGTAGCATGTCAGGAAATTATGGTTCTCCCTGGACAATGGCAGAGTAACACGACACTGTGAATCCTCATTGAACCCACTCTCCATGAAATGGGCTGCATGATATGCTTGGCTTAACTTGAATGCTCCTCTTAGTAGTTTCTTTTTTCTACCAAACTTTTCACAACACCTGACACACTTCATGCTTTTATATATGTCCAGTACACCCTTGCATGTGTTGAAATCGTGAGCTTAATACACCTGTTCCAGAATTCACTTTGGGGTGAGTGAGTGAGTGAGTGAATTTGGTTTTACGTCGCTTTTAGCAATATTCCAGCAATATCACAACGGGGGACACCAGATATGAGCAATTCACTTTGGACCTCTTTGTATGAAATATTTACAGCCTGGGAGAAGACGATTACCCAGTAGTCCTTACAACTTTTCTAACTTAACTTGGCAAACATCTAGTCTCTGAGACCCGTGAAGATCTGGGGTAGAATAGGTCTTCAGCAACCCATGCTTGCCACAAAAGGCAACTATGCTTGTCGTAAGAGGCTACTAGCGGGATGGGGTGGTCAGGCTCGCTGACTTGGTTGACACATGTCATCAGTTCCCAATTGCACAGGTCGATGCTCATACTGTTGATCACTGGATTGTCTGGTCCAGGCTCGATTATTTACAGACCACCACCATATAGCTGGAATATTGCTGGGTGCGGCGTAAAACTAAACTCAGTCACTCACTCACTCTAGTCTCTGAAATGAACATATTTTACTAAAAAATGGTTCCTAAATTATAATAAGGCCAAATAAAATAAATGTTGTGGTTCCGATAACACCTTTTTAAAATTTAGGGTAGGTAGGTAGGATTATTTTAGAAGCAAAGTACAAACTAATAACACATTTATCAATGTGTAATTGTTTATTCAATCAAGCTTGCAGTCATCATGCTGACTTTCACTATCAGAATGACCAATGTCCATTTGTGCCAAAATATCCAATGGTATCTGAAAGCTTATTTTATTCATACTGCTCAAAACAAATTGGGTCGGCACCAGAATTCAAGAGTCAGTCAGGTAATCGGAACCACAACATTTTGTTTAAAGGCCAAATAAATTATAATGAAAAGGAGCCTTGAGACTTTTCTCATTTTCAGACCTGAAACTGGGTAATCTAGAATTCCCACATATTCTAGACTTACGTGGGAATTCTTGGATATATATTTCAGGGTCTGTATGACTAGGAATGAATCTGCATTTGTTTTTATTGTGTACAGGTCACAGCAGCAGTGTCACAACCAGCAGGAAGAGTGGACAGTCCAGGACATCACTAATGTCAATCTGAATAACTCTACATCTCCAACACCATGTTATTTCCTGTCCACTGTCTTCCCACAGATACATATCTTGGGGAAGGGATTAAGAAAACTCAATAAAAAACATGATAATACCACATCGTATTGTCAACTTCTATTTTTGGACAAATCCAATGAATCACTGTCCAAGAAGATGAAACTCTCTTCTTCTTTCATGATTAGTATTGATTACATGTTATTTTTTTTTATCAGATTTTCCTTGTACAAAGTCCACCATTGACTGCAGGTCCTCCTCAGCCATCTCAAATATGGTTTTGTTGGAGTTCTTCTGGAAGATACCCAGGTCAAATAACCGAGAGGTTCCAAGTAGGAATAAAGCTGAAGAAAAATCAGAAGAAACCCATCAGAATAGTAACATGCTTTGGTTAGAAACTTCCAGGTTTAAGGTTATATTTTGCATCAAATGGGAATTTCCAAATTTAACTGTGTCCACCAACAAATTTCAACTGTGAAGTTAAACCTATGTTGAAATGATACACCTAACCTACCAATGATTAACTAATTTTGGTATACCAGTTCTAAAGCATGATCTCTGATTCACAGGGTCAGACATATGCTCCTCAGAATAACCCCCAGTTTTCTCTAAACACTTGTATTTTGACTTGAATATCAGCAAAGAAAAGTGTTAAAACAAGAACAAAACTGGAGAGGTTCCATTTTAGATAGAATGGAAATAATAAAATGTCTCACCAAATGCAAAAGATGAATAACTTGCTGTTGCCCATCTTCTCTTGAATCCAGTAAACTGCCGTCTGAACTTCATCCCCCCTCTAAATACAAACACAGATGCTGCATAGAAAGTTGTTGTACCAATCAGTTTACAGCTGAGGCAGTCATCTTCCTCAAGGGGAATAACTCTTCCTATAACATTCCGTACATCTTGCCCAATCAGCTGCAGTCTCTCACTGGCAGTTGTTGGTTCTATTCGACTCACTGTGTGTACCTCAGTACCTGTCTTAACTGATGATTTGGGTGGATCATCAGATTCCGGGAGAGATTTTTGCTCCTGTTGATTGTAGACAAGTGGAGATTCATCATGTTTTTGTATACCCAACCACGATTTTAAATAATTCATCCTCTTTATGCATTCAGTTCCTGAAAAATTTAAACAGATATGCTTCATCATGTTTCTAGGTGTAAACAACATCTTCAATATTTCATGGTAAAAAATACCCAAAATATGTTCCACTGTTATCTCTACATAGATTTTCTGTATTGTGAATGTGTTCTAAAACCAACTATCTAAAATAGTTATTTTAATTAAATGTGCATGACCCTAAATTCAGTTGTTTTCGAAAATGACAAGCTGAGCTATTTCACCTTGAATAAGAACTCCAGACATTCAAACTAATCAAGGACAGTTTTAAGAAGCGTAAATCTTAGCTTTGACTTATTAGTTTGAGACTCTACTTTCAGGATGAGAGCAGAACACACAGTTTGACTTCCCCGAAACATCTTCTTCAGCATATACAGGGGTATGATAACAAACTGATCTTGAGGGTAACTTTGACCTTTTAAAACTGTCACAGGCATGTCCTACAGCACCAAGACATCTTAGAAAGATGTACACAGTTTCCTTGAGACATCTTATGGTTCTGACATATGAAACAAGAATCAGGACAGTCTTTATAATTGGGGCAATGATTTATTGCTAAATTATCATATGATTATTACATCACTAATGTAATTAATGTGTGTGTAATCTTGCTTCTATCTCCCAAGCTGTAGGGATTGATTCTGGTGTAATTGAGATGGAGAATTAAAACAATAATCAAACTCTTATGATGTCTAATTTATATACAGTCAAATCCCGATGAGTCGAATCGCTGGGGACCAAGTAATAAATTCGACTTATCAATGTATTCGAGACATAGGTATGTCTATGAGGGTAGAAAAAAAGATGATCCAGTCCTAATTCCTCTGCCTAAGCATTTGTTTATCTAATGATTTCCCTATCACTAATAGGGGCACCTAATCAGTTCCAGTCTGATTAGCACAGACAGTGATTTCCGTAAAATCACTCATCTGCCTTTTGAACTCACCCGTCAATGGCGGAAAGGTGTGAGCCCCGGTGGTTTGTTAATTGGATCAGTTTGCTACACCAATCAACTTCTCATTGACTGACTTCGGCTTATGTATACAAGATTGCTGTTGTTTGAATCTCATGGGACCAAATTTCCTTCTCGAGTCATGTGTATTTATGAGACGAATTCGTGTAACCGGTATTCAAATGATGACAACTATAACAGGGAATGGTCCGGACTGACAGGTGCTTCGAGTTATGCATTGACAGTCAATGTAGGTATATTGATGTACAATCATAATTACTTGTGAAATGGTTGGACAAATGATCATTATACATGAAAACATTAATCAGATACTGTTAAATGCGTACGTCCTATCTAAGCTGCTTCCATCTCTTCAATGTCTCTAGGGCCTGGTAACCAGCTTAGTCATTTGTTTTATGGGATACAAATGATACTCAATTACTATGTAACACAGTGTGACCAACAATGTACACACATTTTAGTTTTGCAGTCCACTGTGATTGCCATAATATGCCTTCTCACCCATTTAACGTACACCATAGCAGTAGACTAACATGAAGTTACAGTATGACCAGAAATTATTGAGAATTTTAGGAATATGTTTAATTGGATTTCTAGTATAAACAAACCTTGACCAGCTATCAAGTGCTTGGTTTCATTCAAGAGAGACAACTCAGTTAATCCTTTTTCATTAGTTTGTGAAGAGTTATCCCCCTTTGTTTACTTGCTAGCAGACGACATATTCAGTGATCCTCAGTATGGATAATTTAGAGAAGAGGAAGTTGATTTTAGAGTATTATAAAAAGGACATCAGATCAGCTAAAGTGATTTCAAGTAGAACAGGCATCCCTTTGTCCACTGTTTATCGTGTTTTGAAAATGGATATGGCATTGAGCACCAGGGAGGTGCAGGTAGGCCCAGAAGGCTGTTTGGTATTCTTGTTTCTAAAAACAAACGAAGGAGTTTAGAAAACTTAAGGCTAGATATGATTGATAGAGGAACTGTGGCTGTCTGTAAGGAGACAATTAGAACTGAGCTGCATGTAATGGGTTGGCAGAAAAGTTGCGGAATTCCATCACCGATCATGAAACCTGAACAAAAGGAGCGAAGGTTGAAATGGTGCTTACAGCATAGAGATTTTAACTGGGACAATGTGATTTTCTCAGATGAAAGTTCTGTGTGGCTGTTTCCTAATACACTGAAATTCTGGACCAAACAAACTGAAAAACCTTTGTATCAGCGACCAAAGCACAGTCCGAAATTTAACGTGTGGGGTGGCATATCTGTGTTAGGGGCAACGCCCCTCTGTGTATTTGAAGGGAATATGAACAGTGAGCGGTACACAGATATTCTCGAGGGACATTTACTTCCATCTGCTCACGTGTTCTATGGAAATTTTTGATTTTCCAGCAGGACAACGACCCAAAACATCGTTCAAAGCATTCACAGGCCTGGTTTCGGACCCAAAATATGACATTATTAGATTGACCAAGCCATAGTCCTGACCTAAATCCAAAAGAAAATGTTTGGGGACTTATGAAGGAAAGTGTCAATAAGAAAAATCTGACAAATATTGCTGAAATGAAAAAAGAGGTGGTCCGATATTGGGACAGCATGGACGACTTTCTAACTTCTTTGATCAGTAGTATGCCCCGCTGCATTGAAGCCTGCATTGCTGCCCATGGTGACTTGACAAAATACTAACTGTTCACCTGTCTTTGAATCTGGAGTAATGTTCTGCTAATATTCACATTTAATGCGTGAGTAATGAGTGAAAAACATAAATTTTTTACAATCTTTAAATTCTCAATAATTTCTGGTTGTACTGTACATTTGAATAGCCTAATAAACTATTCTGTCAGTCAGTTAAGCTCACAGAACGTAACAATGCAAGTCATAAATATAGCTGAAAGTAGGTTAAGTTAGCAAGAAAGCAACCCCTGTCCTCGATACATCATGACATTCTGATGCAATCAGTCAGCAAGGAACAATTTGTACAGTTGCATCTTTAATTGTCACTTCCTCCACAATAGTTGTGGGATTCACATTAAGCTGTTGCTATAATTTAGGTAAGTTTTTCTTAATTATCTTTGGGTTCCTTTTCAGGATATGTTGGTGAACAATGAACTGTGTATTCAAGGCAGTTCTAGAAGGAAGTCACAAGCACGTCATATTTCAATCTGTAAGGAACTACTGTACTCAACACCAGTGGTTTCAGAGGAATATCTGGATTCGAAAACAAATACTAGTCCAAGTATTTTTTAGTATTAGAGGTAATAATTGTTTGATATTTGTATGTCCATATCATGAAAGAGACATAATATATCCACACAGATATAAGATGCATAAAAGATGCAAACAACCTGGATTTCCAATACAGTTCTAAGAAAATGAAAGACCATTTTTCTTATGAATGCTTTTCTTAAGAACGCGTGATAAGACAACCTTGTGAGCTCTCTCAAGTCGTCACATCAGATCGACCCGTTATGGTCACCGGGCACCTGCTGTCTGCTAATAAAATGAATGGATGATGAGCTCGGATGGAACGAAATATTGTCGCATAGAAGTACTATCCTAGCTAACGCAATACATTGACGTTCTAGCTGCTACCCTTTTATACAAAACTAGTTTAGGGCTCAATTTCTATTCAGTGGCACCTGTCAGAGACCGACAGTTCAAACTAGAGGGTATGATATGGTTCATATTCCGTTTTTGATTACTGGATGCCAGTTTGTACTAACACAACCCTTCTGAGGCGGAAGCTGAACGGGGTCAGGTCAAAGTAGCGTTTCTGTTCGTTTCAGGATATAAAACAGGTTGCAGAATGTCCGTGTCACCGTATGGCAGTTGGAAGTCGCCAATAAGCAGCCAGCTGGTCACTGCTAGTGGTGTCAATCTGCAGGAACTGAGAATTGATTTCAAGTCGCAAAATTCAAGTAAGAACCGGTGTCCGGTTGTCCCCCCTTTGATATGTGGCGCACCCGGGTCGACGGCACACCCCCTTATGTGAGGACCTGCACGCATAGATCACACACTACTTAGATATATTTTGACTGTCACCTTGTTAGGTCAAGACATATCTTTGTCCATATAGGCAGCTGATAAATTAATAATTTATTTGTTTATTATGTTTATTTTTTTCCGGGTGGTGGGTAATGAAGCGTGTTAAAACCCCACCACGTCATCGATAAAGACACTTTACATTGATAATAAAGCAACAAACGATTTGTATAGAAGTAGTTATTCTTTATTCATTGATGACACTGACCACTTTTGTCAACACAATGTCATGTCCAACCTATTTCATATAACACAAACACCATTGTTATTGTCACAGCACAATGTAGCATTTCTTAGTTGGCTTGTCACACAACAGATCCATGAAGCTCTAACTCCACCCAGGCTTGTCACACAACATATCCATGAAGCTCTAACTTCACCCAGGCTTGTCACACAACAGATCCATGAAGCTCTAACTTCACCCAGGCTTGTCACACAACAGATCCATGAAGCTCTAACTCCACCCAGGCTTCTCACACAACAGATCCATGGCTTAACTTCACACAGGCTTATCCATGAAGCTCTAACTTCACCCAGGCTTGTCACACAACATATCCATGCTCTAACTTCACCCAGGCTTGTCACACAACAGATAAGCTCTAACTTCACCCAGGCTTGTCACACAACATCCAACAGGCTTCACCCAGGCTTGTCACACAACAGATCCATGAAGCTCTAACTTCACCCAGGCTTGTCACACAACAGATCCATGAAGCTCTAACTTCACCCAGGCTTGTCACACAACAGATCCATGAAGCTCTAACTTCACCCAGGCTTGTCACACAACAGATCCATGAAGCTCTAACTTCACCCAGGCTTGTCACACACCAGATCCATGATGCTCTAACTTCACCCAGGCTTGTCACACAACAGATCCATGAAGATCCATGTCACACAACAGATCCATGAAGCTCTCTTCACCCACTTCACAGATCCATGAAGCTCTAACTTCAGGCTTGTCACACAACAGATCCATGAAGCTCTAACTTCACCCAGGCTTGTCACACAACAGATCCATGAAGCTCTAACTTCACCCAGGCTTATCCATGAAGCTCTAACTTCACCCAGGCTTGTCACACAACACCCAGGCTTGTCACACAACAGCTTAACTTCACCCAGGCTTGTCACACAACAGATCCATGAAGCTCTAACTTCACCCAGGCTTGTCACACAACAGATCCATGAAGCTCTAACTTCACCCAGGCTTGTCACACAACAGATCCAGATCCAGGCTTGTGATCCATGAGCTCTAACTTCACCCAGGCTTGTCACAACAACAGCTCTAATCACCCAGGCTTGTCACACAACAGATCCATGAAGCTCTAACTTCACCCAGGCTTGTCACACAACTCCATGCTCTAACTTCACCCAGGCTTGTCACACAACAGATCCATGAAGCTCTAACTTCACCCAGGCTTGTCACACAACAGATCCATGAAGCTCTAACTTCACCCAGGCTTGTCACACAACATATCCATGAAGCTCTAACTTCACCCAGGCTTGTCACACAACAGATCCATGAAGCTCTAACTTCACCCAGGCTTGTCACACAACAGATCCATGAAGCTCTAACTTCACCCAGGCTTGTCACACAACAGATCCATGAGCTCTAACTTCACCCACTTCACCCATGAAGCTTCACCCAGGCACAACATATCCATGAAGCTCTAACTTCACCCAGGCTTGTCACACAACATATCCATGAAGCTCTAACTTCACCCAGGCTTGTCACACAACAGATCCATGAAGCTCTAACTTCACCCAGGCTTGTCACACAACAGATAACTTCACCCAGGCTTGTCACACAACAGATCCATGAAGCTCTAACATCACCCAGGCTTGTCACACAACAGATCCATGAAGCTCTAACTCCACCCAGGCTTGTCACAGTCAGAGGTGCATCTTCAACAATGCTACCATCGTACTCATGGTGTTCTCTCTAGTGCCTGTTTCTCTCCATGAAACTTAAAACAATCAACTGAGTGAGTTAAGATGTCTGGTCACATTGGCAGTATTTCAGCCATTTAGTCTATATAGTGACCAATCAACTGCTTTGTTACAATACAGCTAAATCATAGTTAGCTGTAAATTAACATGTACAATTACACATGTTTGTTTGTTGCAACAATATTATATATTATTATTTCTAGAACTCGCAATTTGAAGTTATGTTTACTGTTGGTTTTTATTTTAAATGCCTTTATGTTATTTTGAATGTAGAAAGATATTTTGACCAAAGATAAGATTGCGGTCCAAGTCTTGTTTCTCTCTCTACAATGACAGCTGATCATTGTCATCTTCATGCTTTGACAGATGTAGTGTACTGGACTGAGGCCCGTCCAGAAGAGAAGGGGCGATCGGTCATCTGTTCTGTTGACAAGACCTCCGGGAAGGTACAGTCATGGACACCAGAGGGGTTTAATGTTCGCAGCACGGTTCATGAGTATGGTGGTGGCACTTACTTTGTCAATGATGGAGCTGTGTACTTCTCCAACTTGGCTGACCAGCAGCTGTACATTCAGAGGGGTCCTAGCGAGGCGCCGGAGGCAATCGTTGATACAGCCCGGAAATGGCGGTATGCAGATGGGACATATTCTGAGCAGGTAGGAAGAGATACTTTGTTTCAAAACTTGTTTATTAAAATAATGATTTAGGACAATATAATTTGTGACCATTTCATCATCATGATCATGAAACAGTAATTTGTCAAAATAGTTTTGGCTCACTGGGCATGTTAAAACATAAACAGATAGGTTCGCATTTGGTTCTGCAGTAGCAGCAAATACTGTAATGTAATTTAGCAAATGTTATTAGACAGTGTGGCACAATGAATTTTTGTGTGAATGATATGTTCTAGTTTCACCTCTTCGTGTTCACAAACCCCGTGAAGGTCCGGGTTAGAATGAGCCTTCAGTAACCCATGCTTGTCGTAAGAGGCGACTAACGGGATCTGGTGGTCAAACTCGCTGGCTTGGTTGACACATGTCATCGGTTCCCAATGGCGCAGATCGATGCTCATGCTGTTGATCACTGGAATGTCTGGTCCAGACTCGATTATTTATAGACCGCCACCATATAGCTGGAATATTGCTGAGTGCAGCGTAAAACTAAACTCACTCACACACTCATGTTCACAAAAACAGTTTGACTTTTTCAAGGTGTGATGAAATTGCAGTTAACATGTTTGTAACCAGGGAATAATTTCAGTTTTCCATAACCCATACTTGAACTATTGTTGGTATCCAAATATGAAATTACTGTTGCTATTTTGTTGGTAGAAATCCCGGATCTTCAGCATCCGAGAAGATCACGAGGCTGTAGAGGAGAAGAAAGCAAAGGAGCCCACCAACACCATTGTGTCCATCAACCCTGCAACAAAGACACAAAGTGTCCTGGTAGGTGGCAACATTGTCTACTGGTAGGTGGCAACATTGTCTACTGGTAGGTGACGACATTCTCTACTGGTAGATGACAACATTCTGTACCGGTAGGTGATAACATTTTCTACTGGTAGGTGACGACATTCTCTACTGGTAGATGACAACATTCTCTACTGGTAGATGACAACATTCTCTACTAGTAGATGACAACATTCTCTACTGGTAGATGACAACATTCTCTACTGGTAGATGACAACATTCTCTACTGGTAGATGACAACATTCTCTACCGGTAGGTGATAACATTTTCTACTGGTAGATGACAACATTCTCTACTGGTAGATGACAACATTCTCTACTGGTAGATGACAACATTGTCTGTCCTGTACTTTCTGCTGCACATTTACAAATGTTGGAAATTAATGAATTGTGAATGTGCTCAAGCAATGTTAATCAGTGACAGATGAATCATCAGACTCACAAATATTTGACATGCCATGCAAACCATTAAGATAAACAAATATTTTAGGGTGTCCCTTTTGATAATGATCCCATTGTTTCTTCATTCAGTCAGACATTGTGCATTGTCCTTGTTGGGACCATGTGTAAACACAGTGTATGTTTGACTGTTATGTAGGTGAGCGGAAGTGACTTCTACAGCTGTCCTCAGGCGTCCCCAGATGGGAAGAAACTCTGCTGGATGGAGTGGTGTCATCCCAACATGGTCAGTATCTCATCAAACACACACCAAAAACATGGCCTGTATTGCTTCATACGCCATTAACACATCCCAACATTGTCTGTATCTGAACATACTCAGTTACTACATTGCTTCAGTTTGTAATGTCATGTTGTATAACTATAACATATATTTTGTACCAGCCCTGGGACAGTACTGAAGTGTGGATAGCTGACCTGTCCGATGATGGAGACTCCATTGTGGAGGGGTCCAAGAAAAAGGTCTGTATACCTAAAAATATAGTAAAAACATATATATTTAATATTTTGTTTAAAGTTGAAAAATGCCTGACCTGAAAGACCATTTTGCACATGGATATCATTTCTAAAGATCTTTTCATAAAGCATGGTCAACTGATGCCATCGTTTCAATGGGTATTTCCATGTTTTCATAAATTTCACCATTGTTGATCCATGGATCACATGTTTCACCACTGTTTATCAAGGAATGGTAGGTTTCACCACTGTTTATCAAGGAATGGTAGGTTTCACCACTGTTTATCAAGGAATGGTAAGTTTCACCATTGCTGATCCAGGGATGTCAGGTTTCTTGATAGTTGATCCAGGGGTTGCAGGTTTCACCATTGCTGATACATGGATTGCGGGTTTCAGCCATTGCTGATCCATGGATTGCAGGTTTCACCATTGTTGATCCAACAATTGCAGGTTTCACCATTGTTGATCCAGGGGTTGCAGATTTCACCCTAGTTGCTTCAGGGGTTGCAGATTTCACCCTAGTTGCTGCAGGGATTGCAGTTTTCACCCTAGTTGCTCCAGGCTTGCAGATTTCACCCTAGTTGCTCCAGGGATTGCAGTTTTCACCCTTCTTGCTCCAGGGATTGCAGATTTGACCATTGCTTGTCCACAGATTGCTGGTGAGACTGACCTCAGCGCAATCACCCCAGGCTGGACCCCTGACAATGAGCTGTTGTACATCGGAGACCAGACTGATTGGTGGAACCTGTACCATGTGACCTCATCAGGTGACCAGGTGAATGTTCTGCCACGGGATGTGGAGTTGGGCGAGCCACACTGGATGTTCTGTACACGAGCCAGAACCTACTGTTGTGACCCGAGTGGAAGTGGCAAAGTTGTGACAACATATGGAGGGGTGAGTTACCATTGCTTACCACAGTGTATATGAAAGGTTCGAATTTATGGATGTCAACCTCTTGATTTTGAGGATCACAACATTTATGAGTATATTCTTACTGCTTCATCAGGTGAAATGTAAGGAGTGAGAAAATACTGCAAAATGTTGTGGTCATCATAATATAGGAGCTGACATCCATAAATTCTCACCTTTTATGTGTATCTCTTCTAAATGCTGTTAAAAGACTTCATGGTGAATATTGACTGGTTTGTCATGTGTATTTCTATTTTTGTTATTAAGCATACTTCCAGAATATACACATAAGGCAACATAAGCAGTTGGCCAAACTGTATTAGTTACAGAAAGACAGAAAGGGTACTGTGGTTTGTTAAATGCTTTTGTACCTAAGTGTCTATGTCTGAAGTAATAGTCCTAGTAATGATTTAGGAAATTATTAATCAGTGACTGATGAATACATGTTATGTAACTGGTGGTCCCAGTGGTAACAGAGGACATGACATTGGGGATAGCAGAGTGGTTTTAATGGGACATACAGGTACAGTAGTGAAAGTAATTGTTGAGACAAAGCAAAATGTCATGATTCTCAAATGAGTTCCACAATTGGTGTACATAGTATACAGTGAACAGTTCTCACAAGTGGCACTTTTCACTTTCGGAGTGTAAATCTGAAGCTACATGCAATTTATGGAGCTCTGGTAATAATAATAATAATATAATATTATATAAAGCACCTAATATCCACCATAGAGATGCTTAGTGGCGCTGTGACAATATTGGTGAAGGAAATAGTTCATATAACTTTACAGAAAGGCAGCAGTGAATAGATGGGTCTTTAGCAGAGATTTAAAAGTTTCTTTCGATGAAGTGTTCCTGATTTCCTTTGGAAGACAGTTCCACAGTTTAGGGCTGGCACAGGAGTAGGCTCGGTCAGACAGTTGGTTTGGAGATCTGTGTTGGGTTAGGAGAGAGCCAGAGGAGGATCGGAGACTTCGCTGAGGTACATACACAGAGATGAGATGTTTGAGATAGTCAGGAAAGTTATCACTGTAGAGGCAGTCATGAGTCAGAATGAGGATTTTGAAGGTAATTCTTGCAGAGATGGGGAGCCAGTGTAGAGACTGTAGAACTGGGGTGATATGGTCATGACGATGAGTGTGGGTGATACATCTGGCAGCAGAATTTTGGATTCTTTGAAGTTTCTGGAGTGATTTATTTGAGAGGTTGGCATATAGTGAATTACAGTAGTCGAGTTTGGAAGTGACAAGACAGTGCATCAGAAGTTTACCGTGTCAGTATCAAGGTAGTGGCGGACTTTGCTGATGTTATGGATGTTGTAGTAGCAGGCTCTACTGATGGAGGTGATGTGTGCATCCATGGACATGTTGGAATCAAGGATGACACCAAGATTCCGGGCACTTTGTGATGGTAGGATGTCTGTGTCACCAATATGAAGTGAAGGTAATGACAAAGCAGTCTTCAACTCTATAATCTGATGTTTGGAGCCGATGAGAATACAATTCTAGATGATCCAAATGATGGACTCCCATGGACGAGAGCCTTGAACTGTTGTCTATGTAGTGTTGTATGTGGGCAGGAGCTGGGCATCCTGGATCTGAAGACCAAGGCCTATGAGAAAATAACTACAGAGTTTGAGTCCCACAAGTACGTGGGTCTGACCACCAGCGGTGACCTCTACTGCATCGCCTCCAGCCCCACTCGCTTCCCCAGCGTTATTCGGGTGAACGTTGCCAGTAAACAGGTCAGGGAAAAGTATATCACAGTCTTATGTATTTGCATAAATCTTAGTATCCTTGACGTATTTTTTATCATATATCCTCTGAAGTGTCATGTCAAAGTATCATCAGTGAGTTGCTATATGCTACTCACACTTTGCTAAGGATCACAAAAAAATTACAACTTTACTTACATGTAGATTCATAATTTAAATTGTATCCATTTAAAACTGGATAAATAATAATATGGGCAAACAGTTACTTTAATCTAACCTTATGCACTTGATACATGAGTAACCATCAAAATGGTTTTCATGGCACCAACCAGCCATTTTGCAAATCATGGAACGAGTCATTGACAAGTACACAACACCTGTCAATAGCAGGTATAGGATCCACAAGATCTAATGACATACTGAAACGTAGGATCCATGCTTACAATAAGCTTAGATATTTAAACCAAATTTGACCCCACATCATAGTTTTCTGTTGAATCCATGATTTGATCCTTAGCAAAGTGTGAACAGTATAGTTGATGATCTTCAAATGATTATCCTGTAATTGGGCCTTTTGAAGTTCAGATGTATTCAGTTCTTAATATTATGAAAATGTGGTTGAAGACAGGGCTATCATTGATCCGAAAAGACAATAAAAGATGGTACTTTGTGTTACCTAGTGCTCGCTAGTAAGGAGCCCAAATTCAGGTGTCCCTGCTGTGATATTGCTGGAATATTGCTAAAAGCAGTGTAAAATCTGACTGACTGACTCGCACACTCACTCAGCAGTAAGGGGATAAAATGTGGCCAGGCTTACTTGGACTGAGGTATCCATGTTAATCTAAGGCTACAAGTCTGCATAAATCTGTAAGTACAGCTGCAACATACACATGTGCTGTATGAGTGACGTAATTTGAACACGCTCATTTCTATTTCACCTCACAGCACCTTTAAAATTGTGATGACCACTCTTGGTATACTGTGATGGAGGGTAATGAAACATATGGATATCTGGTCTAAAATAAACTTTGTTGGTTCCTTTTCAAAGGTTGATGTTCTCCATGAATCCCGCAAAATATCCATTGACAAAGAGTACTTCAGCATTCCTGAGACACTCACATGGCCAACTGCTAATGGTGAAGTCTCCCATGGTTACTTCTATCCCCCCAAATCCAAAGACTTTGTAGCCCCAGAAGGTACCCTGCCTCCACTACTGGTAAAGGCACATGGTGGACCAACATCTAAGTACTCGAGCACCCTCAATATTCAAATACAGTACTTCACAAGCAGGGGTTTGCAGTGCTGACAGTCGACTATCGAGGAAGTACAGGCTTTGGGAAGAAGTACAGGCACAGACTCCGTGGAAAGTGAGTTTACTGGCCTCTTGCTCATGACTAAATAATTCCAACCTATTACAATTTTGTAGGATATTGAAAGTATTAACTAAAACTAGGATTAACTGTAGACTTCTTCACATTAGGAACTAGTTCCTGTCACAAAGTCTGTGATTAAATATAGACTGCCACGAATATCCAGCATACTCTGAACTTATAATGAGCATTCTGCAGTTGGGGTATCTGTGACGTGGAGGACTGCTGCAGTGGTGCCCTCTACTTGGCTGAGAAGAAGCGTGTGGACGGAAAACGTCTCTGTATAGATGGAGGGTCAGCAGGGGGCTACACAACACTTGCTTGTCTCACTTTTAGGAAAGAAGTTTTCCATGCAGGTACAGATACATTTTCAGTGGCCTTCTCAAGAGAACAAGTTAAGCATGATTTTATTCTTTAGAAAAGCCTTACAAAAGTACACACTCCAACGCAGTAACATCACTGCCACCGGCTAATTTGCATATCACATGACCAGACTTTTCTCTTGTTTGTAAACAAACTCCCATATTGTTTTACAGTGTTATATAGATATTCAAGTTGACTGCATGGTTTGCTTCCCATAGGGCTTCAATGACAGCACGTGGAACCACACTATGTAAACAAAGGATTGTTACGCAAATCAAAATATTGTTACACGGAAGCGTAACCTAAATTCGTGGATAACCTTGATTCGTGGGTTGCGGAAATTATCATGCTAGCTCGAAAATTAAGTCTCGACTGACGTCACAAAGCGGTACTTTTGATGTACATACAATGCCTCGCTGACAAAAAAGTTCCGAATCTCTTCATTACACGCAAGTACACTAAATATAATTGTCAGCATTGAGATAAATAGCCCCAAATCACTAATGCCACCATTACCAAATTTTATTTTCACAAAATGTCAAGTCAAAAAGATACCGTTAGCTCCAACATTCTCCCTTCTCGTTGTCTGCTTTCCTTGGCATCAATACTTACTGCAGTGGGATGTCGTACATAGTGGTATAAAAGTAACCGACTACGTAATCCACGAAACAAGGTCATGTCACATTTTGTGGGCACACAAATGGGTGATGATTGCAAATGGCTTCCGTAAACAAATGTTTCATTCACAAGTGGAATATTAGGCCTTTTCAATTTGCTGAATCAATGAAATAATCAGTGCGTATACAAAGTGAAATCATGCATTTAAAATATGAATTTCGACGCATTTCCTTTATATCAACGAATCAAGGTTACGCGAGTGTATATGTGAAGATATTTTCTCAGTGAAAGTAGACCATTTTATCAAAGAAGTTTAATTAGATGTGTAAACAAGCGTTTAGAAATATATATAATACATATATAATACTTGACTGCACTATGATGGCCGCATGGAACTCTGGGTTGGAGAGTGACAAAACTATAGTGATTGATTAGTGAAATGTAACGTTAATAAACATACCTATTGGTTGGTATTTTGTGTGAACAACTGTAAGCATTATTAAGCTGTATTGCAGTTCCTTTTTTTGTATTTATGAGTATATATGCAAGTATAGCTGATATTATTGAATCAGGTGCAAGTCACTATGGTGTGGCAGATTGCTTGGCACTGGCACAAGAGACACATAAATTTGAGAGTCGCTACACTGACACATTATTGGCCGTTGACCGAGTCTGGCATCAAACTCCTGAAGGAACGGTCCCCAATAAACTATGTGGAGAATCTAAGCTGTCCCTGTGCCTTCTTCCAGGGAGACGAGGACAAGGTGAGCTGGGATCTACAAGAGGCTCTGTAGCTCACCCTCTCTCATGAAAATGTTTTGTCAAGAACAAGCAGGCAGACATGAATTCATTAGGGAAGACATTTGGGCTAGGTGTTCTGTTGTAATGAATTTTGAATGAGAATTGTAATGGAATGATATCTAATACCTATTTTTATCATTATCATGTATGTTTTATGTTTATTTCTATGTTTGTTGATTAAGGCTGCACTCAGCAATATTCCAGCTATATGGCGGCAGTCTGTAAATAATCAAGTCTGGACCAGACTATCCAGTGATTGACATCATGAGCATCAATCTACACAACTGGGATACAATGACATGTGTCAACCAAGTCACCAAGCCTGACCACCTGATCCTGGTAGACTCCTCTTATGACAAGCATGGTTTGCTGAAGATCAATTCTAACCCGGATCTTCATGGGTGTATGTTTTCTGCGAAAGAGGGGTCAGCACATTTTATTGCTCCAGTTTAAAGCACTGGCAGTAGTTGAACTTTATTTGGCTGTGTTCAGTGAAATCAGATGAGATACCTAGTAACTGCATGATGAAGTAAGATACAGTGAAATCAGATGAGATACCTAGTAACTGCATGATGAAGTAAGATACAGTGAAATCAGATGAGATACCTAGTAACTGCATGATGAAGTAAGATACAGTGAAATCAGATGAGATACCTAGTAACTGCATGATGAAGTAAGATACAGTTAAAGACTAATAGTGATTTTGGTGTGTCCCCAGATTGTGCTTCCCAATCAGGCTGTCATGATGTATGAAGCAGTGAAGGAGAAGAAGCTACCCACAGTTCTTGTAATGTTTGAAGGTGAGGAGGTTCTCAATAATATTACTTATTAGTCTTATGTTAATGTGAGTTTATGAAATGTATCGTATGGGGTTTGTATTTATCATATGCAGTTCCTACAGGCAGGGATAATCTACAGCTTGCTTTCTCTACCATTTGTACTAATAAGTGTGTGCCTCATCATGCTCCAATGCACACAGTGACTTGGTTTGTTCTCAATGCAACTTCGGTTGCGTTTAACAGTACTTCAGCCAGTTTATTATATCAGTCGGAAAATATCGGCAACTTTTTGCAAGCATATGCTATACTGTCAATATGATCATGCATGTTTCCTTAAATATTTACACAGATGTGTACAGTGCTATTATGATATATGTTTGAATTGATCTGTTACGCAGTTAAAATGTCCATGTTTCAATGCTTTTCTGTTTATGTTGAATGCTTGTGAGTTCATGCAGTTACTACATGATTGCCTATTTCTCTCAATTTCTAAATTATCTTCCAAATTTTACAATGAATGAATGAATGAATGGATTATAGCAAGAATTAAGAGTAAGAATTATATGTGAATGAATGACAGAAATAAAGAAAAAGAAAAAAAAGAAAAGAAATACATATGTGAATGAATGAAAGAATACATGATACACCCCGGCCACCCCTCCCCAAACATTTTAAAGAACACAAAACTATCGCTAGAACACATCTGTTAACATCAGCTGTCAATTTATTTTTTAAAATCTACTTTGAGATGGTTTTTTTACGTTAGTAATTTAGCCTTCAGATATCTTCCTGCATGTGTGGAATGGCATGGACATTGACAGAATGTTAATTGACACTGTCACACGCCCCTCAAATACAGAAAGTTTAAAACTATCACAAAGCCCTGTAAAGACTTTTCCAGTTTTGTCAAATATAAGGTTAACAAGAAAGAAAGAAGTTTTAGAACCATAACACTCAAGCTACACGGATCAGAACAGATCGGTGATATGTCATATTTTTCACACACCTCAAATACACCCTAACAAAAAAAATTAAATTATGAAACTATCACTATTACTCGCAAACACCTTTCACCTGATGGTATATTTCCCTCATAAAAATTAAAGGTGTATGTGAAAGAAGTTTTAGAATAATAACTAGAAACACTCAAACATCGCCCTGTAGTATTTCAATGGCGGATCAGATCACATCAGCAATATGTCATATTTTTCACACACCTCAAATACACCCTAACAATTTTTTTAAAATTATAAAACTATCACTATTACTTGCAAACACCTTTCAACATAAAGTATATTTCCCTAATAAAAATTAAATCGAACATGTGAAAGAAGTTTTTATCGATAGAATTTTGGCTTTCTTCGCTTTGTACTGAGAATGGAAGCCAGTGAGCTACAACATGTCGATTTGAAACTATTCTACAAATCTACTGCACTAATACTGACACTAATAACAATTATTTGACTTAAAACGAAGTGACAGAATAGGTGACTTTCCTTCTACATGTACGTTTTCAGTTGTCACAGCACTTAGCGAATGTAATCAGCTCTTGAAAATAAATCAAACTCAATCGTAAAAATTAAACTGTCGCCATATTGGCTAAACTGGTCACGTGACGAGTCGAGGCATAAGAGGCTTGTCGAGGAGAGACCACTCCCCGTCTTCTATTCTCCGTTATAGGTAACACAGCACTGAGAACATGATTGTATATCGGACATTTGTTTTACTTTGCGGTTTTTTTCATACTCTGCCAAAACTGTGTTGAGATGGTGTCCATTTCTATCTACTGGGTATATATAGCCCTTTTGTGCTTCCTTCCATCACAATTCAATACTGGAGCATGACTCATAAACTGATCAGTATTTCCATGAGTGACTTACATGCAAATCAGCCAGGTGCTGAATTGATGCTTTGGGTCTATTTCACTACACTATGAAGTCTGTCTCTTAAACTGAAGCTCCATGTTTACACTTCTCTACAGGTGAACAACATGGCTTCAGAAAGTCTGAGAACATTCAGAAAGCTTTGGATGGGGAATTTTACTTCTTTGGAAAGGTGTTCGGCTTCAAGCCCGCTGATGATCACTGCAAGGTAATTACATTTTCAACCAAGAATGGTGGTTACAGAAGTAATATTCCATGGATTGCTTTGATCACTGCATCAATCACTGGACTGTCTGGTCCAGACTCGATATTATAGAGGAGTGACTTATAACGCTGCTTTGAACAGTGTAGCAGTGACTGTTATCCCGGCAGGTAAGTGTGAAGAGAAGGAATGCCCAAAGTGTTGAGGTAAAACCCATAGGCTTGTGCATTGGGATTCAACTAAGCATGGCAAATTGTCGTACCTTAGAAGACTGGGCACGAGGGGCAAATGGCAAGCACATCTTATATTTAGAGGAAGTTCATAATGTGCCATGATGAAAAAATCATTTTATTAATATCAGGCTGACAGGTTGTGATTCTTATTAATTGGAATCAAAATTGAATAGCTAATTGGAAAATTTCCTCATGGAAATAACTTTTCACAGCTGAGCAGAATATGTACTTTGTATGACATGTATCACCGTAATTAACAATTGTTCAAGTGGATTATGTTCCAGACTTTACAACTAGCCTAGTTTCACATGAAGGAATATCTGAGGTCCTAGAGTTACTGAAAATCAGCTAGCTATTGTGTAGCCATCAGTATTACCTTAACAGGAGTTGGCATCATACATTGTACCCATAAAGGGAATCAATCCAGGATCTTCTATATGATAAGCTAACACTGTGATCACTAGGCCACCAGCCTGCATTCCAAGCCACTTAGAAGTATTCTGCAAAATTAATCAAAGCTTGAATCACAATCCAGAAGGAACAGATCTGATTTTGGACATTGATTTTGATATCACAACTCGTCAGACTCAAGGCATAAACTGGCATTGTTTGTCACCCACAACCTGATATACAGTATTCTACATTACTTCCTTGTCATGAAACCTAACAAACGTTTTAAAAGGTTCTTTTCAGACGAAAATAGAAATTGAATTCTACCTTGTTTCCTTACTTGACCTGTTCTAGTAATGATGTAGTCAAATATTATTCCAAATTTGTGAAACTTTGGGTCAGAGATTCATAAATAAATAAATGTCTGTGAAACAAGATAATAAATAATCTTGACATGCACATTGTCTTTTCTTGCAGTTGGAGATTGACAATTTGAGTTAGAGGATGTCCCTGCCGACAGGATGGTAGATGAAGTGCTGTTCACTTTCTCATCTCTGTGAACTTGGAACATCTTACTGGAGGGACTAACTCCACCAATATGTGCCTTTGGCAGAGAATCTTGGTCATGACAGATAGTCAGGATCTTATCATATTGCTCAAGTAAATAATGATGTGTAATACTTAACATGTGATTGTGTATGTATAGACAGGCTTAAAAATCCATTATTAGTCCTGGTGACAAGTGTAAATCTGGGCCCCTATTCTCGAAAGGATCCTAGCCCTAGGATATCCTAACTTTGATCCTAGGGTCTAGGATAGGTGTCCTACCTTATTCTCGAAAAGTATCCTAGTGCTAGGATATCCTAACTTAGGACAAATACTAGGATAGGTTCTGACTTGTCCTAAGTCTATCTTAGTGGAAATCAACATGGTGTGGTTCTTGTTTGTTCACCAATTTTGACGTTGTCAAACAAAATAAATCGCCTAAATTACATTTCAAATGTAATGTCATTTGAATTTACAAGAGCACGGAGTTTTGATGTGTTACGAAGAGTTTTTTGAGTTTATATTATCAATTTATCGGTAATGAATAGACGCACTTGTTGCGATGCACATATTCTTTAGATCTACAAAAGAGATTTGTTCAGTTCTTACCTATTCTCGGCCTTTTTAATCACAACATTGCTCTCTCCAGTCACATTGCCGTGAAATGTCAATGTCAAGGCCAACTTGATAGGGGAAGTAACTCCGATCCTGTTTATTTCCTATGTGAATTTTTCAGTTTGTGAGATAATGCATAATGAGAGTTCAAATGATGATTTTCATAAAAAACAAATACAATGAAAATATTTTTTGCACATATCTTTAATATCCTTATCTTTTTGGCAGACTTTCAAACTCTGAAGCAGAAATGTTATCGCCTTGTCAAAAAATGAATTTTCAAAAACTTCAAAACTACTATATAATGTGATGAAAATATCGAATAATTTCTTCTAGATCTACTAAGTCCATCAAAAGCTGAATTTCCTCATATTATGGGAATCATGGGTAATATATTTAGGGGAATCCCCAACTTAATGAGGGTTTTCTATCTCACCTACTGAAGAGCTCGCTATCCTAGCTAGGATAGGCAGCACAAGTTAGGACAGGGATAGGATCGTTTCGAGAATGGGTCTTATCATAACGGTAGGATGTCCTAACTTCTGTCTTAACTACTTAGGATCTGTCTTAGCTGGGACACTTTCAAGAATTGGGGCCCTGATTCCAGTACTCCTCGGGAGTTTGGTGCTTGTCTTGCTTGAAGAGGTATATTGTTATAGATACTTAATCCATTGTCTATGATCTAGAATATTCCTATAAGTTTTACTCCGAGTGCTTTCCTTGACGACAAACATACCTGTCTTATCAAAAACAATTTGACTAAATGCACCGCTACTGAACAAAATGCATTGTCTACTCAGAAAAGTATTAAAGATGGTTCGTAATGTACATGCACTTGCTTTTATGTCATAGGAATACTTACACGAGATAATGCAAGCTGATCGAGTGTATAGTAACCTTTTGGTCTGGAGATAAAGGTTCATCATTCTCCTCAATACTTTGCGATCGGATTATGTGAAGTGGAAGCATACCAATCCTTGCCTCTTAATTATGACCTGCCTATGACCTTGGCAGACATGTTGGAATTATATAAGAGCAAAAGTGCATGACTACTATAATTCCCACTAAGTGAGTTTAAGTTTCAAGCACAACAGCTTTGCAAATATTAGTACTGATCATCATCTATATGTTTGAGTATCCACTGAGCCCCTAGTGTTTGATAGTACCCCACCAAAACCAGATGTTAGTCATAAAATGCTAGTTACAGATTGCTCATTGTTCTTTTAATTATTCACAATACGAAGACAAAGGTACTGTTTCTCACATTGAACAATGTTGGCAATGTTATTTCTGTAAGATTAACTGCAGAAACTACATGAATAACTGCTTTCTGGCAAACAAGGACAACTTGGACAGGGGCAGAGAACGCATTTACAAGAAGTAGGTGGTGCGCGGCAATGACCAAACCCGTTTAGGTAGAGCAGATGTAGGCTAGTGCATGTGCATTGCATGACAATGAAACTGATTACTGCCACTGTCAAACTCGGTGTTTGCTGAGACAGGTCACAGGCTTCACCCATTTAGGTTTGTTTTTGAAGCTGAACAAAGCATGTCATGTCTGTTCTTTCACCTACACATTAAATTATTTTCTATGATGTTATGAATTTTACTGATATTGACGAATGGTATTTGCAACAAAATTGTAATCATTTCATTCTAGTTCACTTCTCCCTTAAAGCAGCTTGTATTTCAAGCAGTATTTGGGTTGTCACTGCACAAACGTGACTCTGGATTTGGCAGGACAACACAGAACCTCTCTGGTATGGTACAACTTTGTGTGACCATTTGGACCTGATAATCCTTGTAAGAACAGACATGGGACTCTAAGGCAAATTTCATGTAATCTTAGGAGTGGACCAATCACCAGATAACAAACTCACTGAAGCTTTCCATGTGACCTGAATGTGTCTATTCTGTGCTAGTCTCTCCTCTTTCCAGACCCCAAGCTGGGTTTTCCTGTTTATTGGACTGCAGACCTATTGGGAATATTGTCTGTATTTGGAGCATTTGCAGAAAGTGATAATGTTCGCTGAATTATATTTAAAGCTGCACAATTAATCTACTATAATCAGTTTCTCGTCTGGTTTATTATAGTATCGACAAAATTCAAGGAATTGATTATCTGAATGTTGCTTTCACCGAGGAATACATTTAAAATGATGTGAGCATTGCACTTGAATGCAATAGATTCACACTGCCTCTGATATCAACAGAAAATTCCATAAAGTAACAGAAAGGAAAATTTCAACATCTACATTATAAAAACAAACAGATACAAGCCATGTACCAGTGGCATTAGGTGTTTACAGACAAGTGTTTGCCTCCAGTTCACTGACTTCAGAAAATAGCAGACAGTATGCTACAGAAAGTCCACAACAAACCAACTAATTGTTATTGTGAATGGCCATTTGCCTGGCCAGCAACTGCCACACCACATCATCCCTGGTTGTCGCTGATAATCACGGACAAGGTACATGGACAATGGAAAATCTGTGGGATGTTCTCTGGCAGAGAACATATACCTTGGGTAGCTCTTCTGGTGGGATGGCAGGAATCATCAAGTGCAACCATATGCAAGCTAATCAACAATGTGCTATCACAGTTGTGTATGTATTGTGACCTGGGTAAAATTGCCAACATTGAGCAACATACCCAATTTTGAAATTTATCATTGCCCCTTTATAATCAGTTGAGTCCGAGTCTAGGCCTGACATACCAGTGATTGACATATATAGGCAATATCAATGTTTGTTGGGACCTTTAACAGTAAGTCAACAAAACATACTTTGAAGAAACATACAAATACAGCTGATTTTCACACACCACAAAAAAGGTAAAAGTAGAGCAGGATCCTCTTACAACCGGATTTTGGCAGTTAAGGAAGCTAAGTAGAAATTCATCTGCTCAGGCAATCAAGCCAATGATGGTGACACGAAACTGACATCACTATATATAAAGGATCCTTTGAATGGGATTTGTTTTCCAGTATTATGATTCACCTTCATTTTATGTGCAAGCATCACCTCTATATCCCTTTAACTGATTAAAGCACAACAAACACATAGAAGTATTTTGTTACCAAGATCAAATAAATTTTATTCAGTCAACTTCTACAGGAGTCAGCTCCTCGGTCAGAAGAAGAAAACTCATAAAGCTCTTTGATAACCTCTGCTGCACAGCTTCAGATAATACAGCAACATCCAGTATTAAATGAGAATTGAATTAATATATGTTCACCTCAATGAAGCATTTATAGAAGCACTTCTATTGAATCGAAGATGGTATGAGGGATAGTTTCCTAATGCATCAAGAAAGAATTGACAATATGGATCCAGTAGCTTATCTTTATTTTCAATAAGCTGATGTCATTACAGCATAATGACTTGTTTTTGCTTACATACACAATTTTCAAAAAGTAAGAATAAAGAAGCACAGTGCTGAATGACATGTCTATTTCATTTGAGGTTATAACATACTGGGTCCATAGTCAATCCTTCAATATGGAGGTAGTTCTCATTCCTTGAATGTGATCATTTTACCTAAACACAATTTTGAAGATATGTTCATTCAGTGACACATTGACAAAAAGAAAAAATCCAAAACATTTATGTCACTTATCTATTCATGTTATATTCTGTTTTCTTAACTTAATCTTAGACATTTACTACTAAAGATATATTTGTAATTTTGTTTTCACACAATCTGTGCTGAAATGCAGACACCTCTTTCCCTTGTTTTAGGCATGTTAGGATTGTCAGACGTGATATATCCAGATGTTGCATTACCACTGCACATTTTGCAAAACATACAACAAATAACATCATTAGAAGGCTGATTGTATTAGCCAAACATGTGGCCAAAACAGTTCAACTAGAAAACCAAAATGTCATCACGATATAATTTTTCTGCAGCAACATCACTATGATCCTCAAATGTCTTTTAAGTGTAAAACTGTTTATTCATACCCGATTCACATGTTAGTGCTAACCACTAGTTTTGGTTTCAGAATGATGTTGCATATGTCATGATACTTTCATTAAACCTTCTAAGCAGTGACATTACACCTTAATCTTTACGTGTCCCTTGCTTCAATTGGCAACACAGCTGGTTCAAGAGTACAACCAAATTCAACATTGAATGAAGAACCTGTTTTGTCATCATGGTCTTCAGCTTGGCACAAAATATATATACAGAAACAAACGATGCAGTCTCATATTTATACAATGCCAGAGAGGACAACAGCACAACACGTTCTTAATGGTCCTCTTCACTACAGTTGGGGTCAACCATGACACTACTTTAGTAACATGTGGTCCTGACCCTTTTTTAGTCTCATGTGGTGTGTGCCTACGGCACTGCAATGGGCTAAGTTTTTGTCATGTAGGAGCCCTGATTGTACATGCCCCTCATCATATTGCCAGTCCTCTGTTGCTCGCATTCAGCACCAGTACAAACAACTTGTGTAAAAGTAGTAACAATAAAAATATGTATCTGTGGTGCAATACAATGAAGGAAGGATGCAGATGATCAGATCTGGCACACCATTGTTCAATGTGTGTACATACAGGAATATCTATCACAAGTGCCCAGCACAACCTCTCTCTCACACAACTGGGCCACTCCCAACATATCACATTCACTCTCCATGTCAAACACCAGGCAGCAGGCCTCAATCTTCTCAAATCACCAGGCATCATCGGTTTCCTTGAATTTTACATAAACAGCAGCTGCCTCCAGTCTTAGACACACTATCAACTGTTCAATATCCTGTCTTGAAGTGCATGCTCTCAGTCACACACAGCGATCAAGAATGAAATGGTCATCTATTTAAAGGCATATTTCTCCCCATGCTTCTGATCCAGTTTGGCATCAGGAACCAATCATGGCTTGTGTGGCCGGACGATATGTGAGCTGCAGCTCATATCTTCTGTGTTCACAGATACACTCTGTCTCAGTCTTGCATCTCTTCAGGAATCTCGTGTGGTCCAAGGATACCTGGCACAGATCTCTGGATCTTGCGCTTTTCATCAAGTGCTTGTCTAATCGCATTTTCCCTTTCTTCCAAGAACAAATCATTCATGTCCTCACCAGCAAACTCCTGCAAAGGGAAAATATATAGAATATAATATGCCCCTTTTTTCTCTGTAAATATAACACATTTGATTTGATAGTCTGATCTATTAACCTTAAGGTCTGTCTACAATCTAGTAGTGTTAAACTCGGGGTGTTGAGGTATCAAAATTGTAAAATTATGTTAAGAACTCATGGGTCTTACATGAAACAATTTTTGCTCTGCAACTGTTGCATGTTAAAGTATTAGAGTTGTAATCAGTTTGTTGTAGCACAAATGAAGAAACAAATAAGCAGTTCTTACCCTGATTTGTACCAGGAAGTCCCTCAGATGTTCTTTGAATGCTGAAAAATCTTGGTCAAAACTGAACAGACCCTCAATGAAGAGTTTGATTTGAGCTCTGAAATAACAAACACACTTAATTAGCATGACTGAAACATTTCAATCAGATCTGATCATCAACAGCTGTAAGGAACACCATGAACGAAGGAAGGCACAATTACATTGTGAATGTTACTCGACCCTGAAGTCAGAACTAAGTCAGCTGTATCATGGCAGCCAGAGGTTCCATGAAGTTCTGACTGTAAAATCTCTAACTGTAAATATGAACAAGGATCTTCACCATTAAGGAGCCATGTTCAATCAATTCACTGAACTTGAAACTAGTTTCTTGAAGCCTCTTACAAAAGATATGGGAACCAAGCCCTGTTCCACAAGCAATCTTAACTCTGAGGTGATCATAACTCCCATACTTTAACATTGGCTTACAAGACAATCGTAGCACTGAAATAGCTTTGTTCTGCTTTGTGGAACGGGGGATAAGGGATCTACCATGAGGATGGAACAGGGTTATGGAATAGAGATAGAGAGAATTCATGCAGCACTTACTCGTTGAGATGTGGGAAAGCAGCCTTGAGGAGGTTCAGGAGAAACTGTTGGACGTATTGAATATTCTGTGCGGCAGGCATATTTGGGCTAAGGGGGAGGGTGATTTTACTGCTCTCCAGTGTACTGAACATGTAGGCAAGTATCGTTGCTTGCATGGTTAGCCCTGAAAGTAACAAAAACATTGTGTAAAGCAGCAGACATTTGAAATTAGTAGTTTTGTTTGTTGTCATAATTCTGCAATTGACATCATGAGTATCAATTTACGCAACTGGGAAACAATGATATGCCTCAACCAAGTCAGCGAGCCTGACCACCTGAACCTGGTAGTTGCCTCCTATGACACCCAAGGATTGCTGAAAGCCAATACTAACCCAGATCTTCAAAGATCTTAATACTGGTAATGAATTGGTGAAAATAGTTTCCAAAATTGTGGCGACTCAGGACTATGAAACGGGGGATTTGCACACTCATTAACACATGAAGTGAATAAAAACGCATGATACCAATCTGAAAAGTGGATCACGCAACCGCTGCAATCATTTCAGCTGAATCTGCCAGTTGCAACAAATATTAAAACACTGTAAATGTCATGTTCTGGTAAGCTGTTGAACACTTGGGCAATTGTAACATGCTTGTTTAAAAACTTGGTGTATGTCCGACAAACTGATGTACAAAGATATGACATGGAAACCCTGTACTGAAGCATTACCTGCTGTATGGGAGCTGTCCGTCACAACAGAAAAGAGGTGCTGAAGGATATCTGTGAAGTAGGTCTGGTAGAAACTCTGAGCAGCACTCTTGCCCTGAGGATTCTGTGTATTGTTGTCTTCCTGGGCAATGTTTTGCAGCAATACATACAGAATGTCTAGTCCAGTGTCGGCCACATTCCGCATTGTATGTTTAAATGCCCAGATAATTGAGTCCAACACAAGCTTAAACTGTACTGGTGGGATAGCAAGGAGAGCTGAAGAGGAAAAGAGTTCAGTATTACAGTTCTGCTGTAGTGTTAAGATGAAATACCGAATATTATGATTTACTCAGATTTTGATATGAAACCTGTCAGTTGACAGAATTCAATGTTTCTTGAACATACCTTGGAAACAGTGAGAATTTACAGCTTGCAGTAAGAGGAAGAAATTTGTTCTGTGCTCAGGGTATTCTTCAAAATCCTGCAATGGAAGGAATGAAAGAAAGGATGAAGAACAACAACTTGAATATGCAATGGAAAAGAACAATCATCGCATAGCATCAAGGGTGAAGAATAATGAGTTTTTACTCAAATGTAGCCACTTACAGTTTTACTCATGAAAAGAAGTTTCACTCACCTTATTAATCATGGTAAGTGTACATTCAAAAACTGCATCAAAGATCTGTGGTATGTCCTTGGCTATGTGGTTCTGTAAGAGAAATCACAGTATCTGTATGCATTAGCTTGGGGTGGCTAATAAGTTTAAATATGGCAGGAAGAATTCAGTGACTGGAGGGACAGCTTTGGGTCATGCCCTTGGCCAGTATACACACTGAAATACATACTTTCAAATCAGCAATACAGGTTCTCCTAGTATGCAAGAATTCTAACTGTTATGCTTGATTTGCTATCATAACTTGCAAATAATCACTGATGGTTAACCAAGTAAGTAGATTCAGTTAACTGCTCTAAAGTGTTTAAGAATCTCAAGATATTTGTAGAGCTTGTCTTGTGATCACTTTCACGGTGTCATATAGATAGGGACATAGGTTGAACATGTCTACTCCAAAAGAATTACTTCTAGCTAGGTAACAGTTCATTTACAAAATCAACAAGAGTCATCAGAAGATGACATGTCCCCCCCGCCCCTACATAGTTGAAAGAACAAATCATCTGACAGTTACTAAAGTCAAGCTTGATTTTTTTTAAGACTAAGTACAAATCGTTTCCATGGAAATCCTGAAAAATATAAATGCCAAAAATCTGCAAAGAGCAAAAGGAACCACTTCAAGATTTGCCTCATATATCTGCCAAGTTCTGTTGAAAGATATTGAATGGTTTTCGAGTTGTGCTCCGGAAACGAAGCCCACTCCTCCCTTTTGAGACTAAGTCCGAACTCTTTCTGTGGAAACCGGGGAAAATAAAAATGTAAAAAATCTGCAAATAGCAAAAGGCACCACTTTGGGATCTGCCTAACATATCTGCCAAGTTTTGCAGAAAGATATTAATTAGTTTTTTTAGTTGAGCTCCAGATACAAAGCCCACCCTTCCTTTTCGAGACTAAGTCCGAATCGTTTCCATGGAAACAAAGAAAATAATAAATCACAAAAATCTGTAAATAGCAAAAGGCACCACTTTAGAGTTTAGGTTCTGTTTCATATATCTACCCATTTTTGCAGAAAAATATTGAACTGTTCCTGAGTTAAGCTCCAGAAACGAAGCCCACCCCTCCCTTTAAGACTAAGTCCAAAACGTTTCCATGGAAACCAAGAAAAATAAAAATGACAAAAAAACGTAAATAGCAAAAGGCACCACCTTAGGTTCTGTTTGATATATCTACCAATTTTTGTTGAAAAATATTGAACAGAGGAAACAAAATTTTGAGTTATGCTCCGGGGAAAGAAATGATTAAGATTGTAACCCTGAGACGGACAGGGAATGGACAAGAATGAGCTTATATGATGATGCCAAGACTACCTCATGACAAATCTGAATGATTGCTTCATCAACAGTCATAAGTGTACCCCTTTATACAAACTCAACACAAACATGATTAAGATTGGCACCTTAACTACTAAAGCGTGTGCCTGCAGAGACCGTTGCCATTCATGGTAACCATGGAACTAAATATTACTCAAAATATTCACATTCACAACTTTTTAGTTTACTTCTTTAACAGCCGCCTGTTCATTAGTCTTCCTCCAAACATTAACTGCCCTCTCAAATTCAAATTCCTCACACCTTGGACCCTCTAGCATTACAGTCATTAAACGATCAAGTGTTTCTGGTTTCAGTGCATTTCGAGAGGGGGTATGAATGTTATTTTGAGCGCTGAAGTCCCTCTCGCAGTCGGCAGTTTGCAAGGGCATCAATAATGCCATTTTCCCAACTTTCATCATATTTGGAAATGCTTCTGAATGGTTCTGCGCTAGCAGTTTCCAGAGAACAGCAAAATTGTCCCTGGGGTACTTCTGACTGTGGACCACTTGTTTGAGCATTGACCATTCATTTAAGCACAAGTCTGCCTGAATTACTGGATCTGACTTTTTATCATCAATCTTCTGTTCACTGCCATAGAAGTCTCGCCTGTCAACACGTTGTCCAAGTATATGTTTTGCAAATATTGTTAATATTGAAGACCTGTGGATTTTATTAAATGTTGCGCCAATAGGTACGCTCTGGCATTGAAAAAAAACGCCATTGCATAATTTTTTAGCGTGAATGGCGCAATGGCACTGCCTGGCTGAAGCACTGAACATGGCTTTAGTGGAATCTGATGACATACCTCTAATCTATTGACAATGGTTGCCATGGTACTGAGAACCTCTGGTTCACGAGCTGCAGGAACATTCCTCTGGTAGTCGAGTAAAACAGCATCAAGCAATGGTGGGATAAAGTTTTCTGCTACCTGTAAAAACAAATAAATATATAACTAATACAATAAGATGATTAAATCTCAAGTGTAAAATGTGACTGATTATGACATAGCCAAACCTGCAAAACATCGCTCATATAGTGACCTAACAAATGCCAAAATACATCTGTGTAGATCCGGGTTAGAATTGATCTTCTGTAACCCATGCTTGCCGTAAGAGGTGACTGACGGGATTGGGTGGTCAGGCTCACTGACTTGGTTGACACATGTCATTACATCCCAATTGCGTAGATCGATGCACATACTGTTGATCACTGGATTGTCTGGTCCAGACTAGATAATTTACAGACTGCCGTCATACAGCCGAGTGTGGCGTAAAACTAAACTCACTCACTCATAACAACCAAAATAAGCAGCAAGCATGCTGTTTTTCAAGACAACATTGGTTGAAATCATTCTTAAGTTTTAGCAGCATGAGAGTCTACAATGATGGACTGACTGACTGAGTTTGGTTTTACGCCGCTTTTAGCAATATTCCAGCAACATCACGGCGGGGGACACCAGAAATGGGTCTACAATGATGGAAGACAAAAGCAATAAGCTCATATTAGATTCAAGAGTTAAGTAACTCAGAACACTTATTAATCCATGAAATGTTACAGAAGCCAGTCAATGTGAACTATTTGCATAAAAGACTGACAAACATAGCTGAATTCTAAAGGATTTACAGATAAAAACATATTGTTTATGCTTACCATTTGTGGATCATTGGAGCGACTGACCCAGCCTGAGATTAATTTGAGTGTCTCTTTTTTCACCGTCCTCATACTGCGAATAAGGGGCTGTTTTGTAACACTCTCCCCATTTGTGGCTATAGCACTGCTGATGTTCTCGCTCATCACTTTGTACACATTCAGCATATCCAAGTAGATACGACCCAGCTACAACATAACCAACCATAGAAGTAAGTACTTCAACCAACAACACAAGCAATCACTACTGATTTTCCAACTCTATTTTCAAAAGCAACTGCATAATGGGATACTTCACAAAACCTACCTGGACAACATATGGATGACCCAATGCCTTGCATGCTCTAACATTAGTTTTGAGGATGTTTCCTAACTGCTTCACTGCATCGGGATCCTTGAGAACTTCAACATTCTGAAAGAAACGATCATCATGTTGTAAGTAATACCAGCTTGTCTTGTAGATGAATACAATCGGTCTATTTGAAATCCAAAATAAAAGTACACACTTCACAAAGAACTACTAACTGCAGTTCAAGCAATGTCATATTTTACACAGTATGTGAAGGCCTTTGCTATGCACTTGTTTACATCTAAATAAGTATCCTCAGAACTTAAGTCACACTTCATACATGATACCCCTTCTGTTACCTATGCTATATTTGTTTTTCAAACATCTAATCCTTTAAGTCATCTCGGAGGTAAAGATAATGGGAATAGAGCTTAGGACTGACAATGCAACACATCATTGCTCACATTTGATCCAAATGGGCTAAAATGTGTGCCCCAAAACATACCTGGGTTGCCTGATTGATGATTCCATCCCACACCTGGTTGGGTAGGAGACTGTATCTTTCAATAAGGTGTTCCTGAGAAACCTGGTCTGTCTGTGCACTGATCATTAGACCAACTGCCTCATAAAAGGTATGTACCTGTATATAGATGAACATGTGGTCAAAATCCTACACTGCCTGTGACTTACTGCAAACAATTTGGTGTCTCAATTAACCTGTATAGTTAAGGGCTTTTTATCTGAAATAGGCTGATAAATAAAGTGAGTTTGCATACTGTCAGCCCATACTGGCAATGCCCCAGTTTCTGACTTATGACATGACTTGACAATACGCTGGTTTTGATGGCGTCTTTCCTGTCATCCCCCAATGTGTCCATTTGTGTATCAGTCTAATACAGATGCAACAGGGTAATGTATATAAGTTTCGCTCTGCCTTTACATGCTAAAAGTAATCTTGGTGGACACTGAGTTGATAACCAACCAGAAGCAAGAAACTGGCTCTGCCTTTACATGCTAAAAGTAATCTTGGTGGACACTGAGTTGATAACCAACCAGAAGCAAGAAACTGGATCACAGCTTGAACCATTTCAAAAGGAGAGTTATCCCCCCCTTTGGAACAAAAACCTTGCCCACAATGTGATTATGTGTTGGGAGAAACTCACCTGTTGAGGCTGTAGATCACAGATGATAGTGTTGATTCCATTTAGTATTTCCTCAATGAAAGGCATTACCTCCCCAACTTGCACTTGTACAAAGTGACGCCTGCATTTCTGGGCTATTTTGATAAATGTATCACAGGCCATATCTTGTACGCCATCATGAGTTTCTGTAATAAGTCAGATTACAAACCTTGATGAAGCAAAAAAAGAAAAGGCATTGTATATATTTTAATGCATGTATAATACAGTATTGATAGATAACTAATCATGAAGATGAGAACTGCTAATGCTAGGTAACTACTTCATGTCAAGGACATAGGTAAACCCTTGTATTAGAACAGCATTACTTCACACCTTCTATATTTCAACATTTAGCAGATGTGAGGTGCGATGAAATTGGGTTTAACGTCGTGCTTGAGAATATTTCGCTCATATGATGACGTGCATGCGTGTGTATGTGTATGTGCGGCTGCTTGTACTAGCCCAGACTTCAGCTGGTTTTATAGTGCTAGCCCACTGAGATACCATGTCGCAGTGAAGCATGAATACCCCACTCAGACACATTATACCGACTCCGAGACGACCAGTCCTTGTTGTACCCATTAATGCCAAGCGCCAGGCAGGGACCAACAAGTACCATATTTTAAGGTTATTTGGTATGACGCAGACAGGGGATGGAACCCGCGACCTTCCGCTCTCCGGGCGGATGCTCTAACCACTACACCATTTAGCAGATGTAATATTGCTAGTTACAATGTTATATTGAACAGTAATATATTTAATCTAGTCTGCCAGCTATTATTCAATGGGCAAATGAAACTACAAACATTTTGCCTTTCTCAACAAAATGATGGAGACTTTTCTAAGGACTCTTACCATGCATGAATTCAAACAGCTTGTTGACAACAGTCTTGAGGAACCTCCAATGTGCTCTGAGAAAGCGTGGGTACTGCCCAACCACATACATGATGTTGGAGGCAACTATCGCCTTATTATCCTTGCCCCGCTTCTGTTCACACAAACCTAACAAATCCTGGAAAGAAAATTTCAGTGTTTTCAGTTAAGTCAAATATGTACAAATAGTATCTGACTTTTTCATTTTATTCTAATAACGAGCCATTTTGTCACAAAATTAATATCTGTTAACAGACATCAGCTCATCAGCTTGTAACAATCAAAGATACACTATAGGCTCTCAAAACTGCATACAATAAATGACATGATTGAACACTTTCAGTATTTTAGTGTAGTGATTGTACATTGATGTTCAAGCAATATTAACATCAACCAAATAGAAAAAACCCAATCACATTCACAAGTAGTAACTTCATGCTAATCAAAGTAGGCAGTGTATGAAATAAGGCCCGTCTGACCGCTTGAGACGGGCTAGATTTCTGATGGACGGTCTAAATTTACAGCTAGCCAGCCCCAGCCAAATGGTCTGGTAAAATCTGAGTAAATTCACCGTATCTTGGTGTCTGGTCTGGTTAAATCCATTTTGGGCTGGTAACATTTTGAAGTTACCAGCCCTAATGTCTGGCTGGAATTTTGGCTTATTTCATACGCTGAAGTAGGTCAGTATCCCAAAGACACACTTAAACAACCTTGAACAAAAGCACATTTCATTTGACCTTCACACAAGCACACGCATGCACACACGTGGTGTAACGATTCATTGATAGTATCGATGTTTGCATCGTCAACAACGCGATACAAGTGCATCGAATGGGAAACACATTTAAGCAACATATCAGGATATTTATATCGTGAGGGTCCATGATACATCGATGTATCGCCACAAGAGACAATATATCCTGATACAACTTAAGCACTACTTGAAGTTGTAAGGAGTATTGCATTTGGAATAGGAAGGGAGTCTCCTTGAAATTCTTCTGAAGTTTAAAAACAAATTGAACCTTAAAGGAATGTGTTTGTGTTTGCTATCCTGTTACATGAACAAAGGAGTTGGTGTATAAGTGAAAGAGTGTGAACATTTTTCAAACTCTGTGAACAGCAGAATACTTGTAGAGTAATTGAAATATGATTTAGTTGTTTGACAAATAACACAATTTATTAACAACTGTGAACGATGTCTTAGCTTTGTTAAGAAAGATTACAAAGAGAACATAAAATTTAAAAAACATACTTAGGAGATTTTTTCAGTGATTCTGAATTCTGATATAAATTACATTGAATTGTTTGTGAAAGCATTGGTGCAGAAACACAACTTACCAAGGGAACCTTCAGCTTCAAATTTGTTTGACTGTACCTTCTTAAGCATTAAATGCTGAAACTTTATAAGATTTTTAAGTGTGTGTGCATGTAACACAAGTTCTGCTTGTAACACATAACGCTAAAGTCATTTTATCTTCTGTTATTAGAAATTTAGCTAAACCTGTAGAGGTTTCCAATTCTTTGAAGAGAATCGTCCTTGGGGTACATATATGCATTTTCTGCGGCTGAAAATGTCATGTGACAGTTATATCAATGTTTTAACAAGCATTGTCACTAAGGTGACATAATCCCCCACCGCAAAATATCAAATCCAACTTATAAAGTAATGAAAGTTTAAGATGAAGTTAAATGTCAACAAAAACATTATCTTGCTCTTTAGTTGTTCAAACACACACATATTTTCAAGACTGACTTTGACCTTGACATGAATGTCATAGTGTATGAAAATGCAAAACTAGTACTAAAGAAATTGCTTATTGAAACACATTCAAGGGAGGTCTTGAAAGTCAATGAAGAAAATCCAGTTAACCGTTCTTAAAATATCTTGCTGACAATTTAGGTTAACATTCTGAAATCTTCATAGTGTCGTCGTGACCCTAAAAATTATGTGAAGGTCACCAAAATGGACTGGGCCCTGGGCCTTCCCTAGATGAAGCTTGGTGTCAATTATGAAGAAAATCCACAGAATATTTTTTGCGATATCTTGCTGACTATCTTAACAAGCAATTTAACATGCTGAAATCTTCAAAGTGTCTCTGTGACCATGAAAATTAAGTGAAGGTCACCAAAATCGACTAAGCCCTGCGCCTTCCCTGGATAAAGCTTGGGGTTCAATATGAAGAAAATCCAGGAAAAAATTCTTGAGATAGCTTAACATGCAGGTTAACATGCTGGAATCTTCAAAGTGTTGCCATGACCTTGAAAATTATGTGAAGGTCACTAAAATCGACTGGGCCCTGCGCCTTCCCTAGATAAAGCTTGGTATTGAATATGAAGACAATCCAGTGTGACAGTTCTTGAGATAGCATTACATGCAGGTTAACATGCTGAAATCTTCAAAGTGTTGCCATGACCTTGAAAATAATGTGAAGGTCACTAAAATCGACTGGGCCCTGCGCCTTCCCTAGATAAAGCTTGGTATTGAATATGAAGACAATCCAGTGAACAGTTCTTGAGATAGCTTAACATGCAGGTAAAACGTGAAAGTCCCCTAGTGACCTTGAAATGAAGGTCTAGGTCACCAAACCTGAGTTGGACCTTTCTTACAGTGTGATGAACCTAGGTACCAAATATGAAAAGAATCTAGTGAACGGTTCTTAAGATATTCCAATTCATACGGATGGATGGACGGAGCCTAATACTATATCCCCCGCTTCGTGCTAAAAGCGCGGGGGAGGGGGATAATAAAAATATTGTACAATAAATAAAATCTTTTTTATCTAGTATACGGCAGCCAACCAGGTAAGCACCTAGGCCCGTATCATCATTCTTTCTGCTGAATAAATCAGTGAACAGAATTGCGGGGAGGTGGGTGGCCCTACCCCAAGGACGATTCTCTTCAAAGAATTGGAAACCTCTACAGGTTTAGCTAATTCTTTTTCATAGAGATCGTCCTTGGCGTACATATATGCATTATCTCAGACTCCCAAAGACCGGAGGCTAGGGAAGAGGGAATTCTGTCAAAGTACACATAAATAGCAATCGTTAGGTAGAATGTAACAGACGCCACAACACTCACCTGTCACGTGTCCGGAAGCTTCCGCGAGAGGCATGATGGGAGGTTAACCAACAGGGAGGAAAGTACTAAGATCCGACCTAATAGGTTAAGCAAAGCAATTCGCACACAGTGCGAAAGTAACAAAACCCGCCCACATCGTGAATCTATTATAAGAGCACCGTAAGGGGGAAACCTAACTCACAACCGACCATTATCTCCTGAGAGAATCGAAAGGAGTTAAATATGATAACAGCGGATATATCAGTAACACACCATTGAAAGCAGCGTCAACTGTCCAGATAACCAACCGCGCCTGCCACACGACAGAGATAGTTGCCTCCGTCTACTGCGTCATACGGCGGCAAGTCCGCGCTGGTGCCTGGGGATGGGAGAGGAACGAAGACACCATCTCCCGGTTGGTTGACAAAGAGACAAGACCCTTGTGAGTTGTGAACCTCGCCCCGAGAAAAACCAAGTCCTGGGTGGGTACCAGGTCTGATTTCTTGAGGTTGGTAATCCACCCCAGTCGAACTAGAATGTCTATCACCGTGTGGGTAGAATCTAGACTCGCTGGCTGAGTTAGAGCGCTGAGCAACCAGTCGTCTAGGTAAGGGTAACAACGCCTTCCTTGCGACCTTGCGAGGGTAGCCAGTACTCACATGAGCTTGGTGAACACCCTGGGGGCAGTGGATATGCCGAAGGGGAGCACCGTGAATTGGTAATATATCCCGTCGTAAGAGAACCGGAGGTACTGCTTGAACGATGGATGAAGTGGCACATGTAGATACGCATCCTTTAGGTCGATCGACGTAAGCCAATCACCGGGCTGACCAGAAGAGATCACCGAGCTAAGTGTCTCCATCTGGAAGGATGGAACCTCTAGCATGCGATTCAACCCCTTGAGGTTGAGAATGGGACAGAACCCTCTGTCCTTCTTCAGAACGAGGAAGTATGTGGAATAAAACCCCGCCTGTTCCTCGCCCGGTGGTATGCGCTCTATTGCGGACTTGTCCAGCAAAGCCTGAACTTGACCGGACATGGCGGCACCGGAGTGTGACGTATGCCGATGAACTCTGGCGGGCCTCGCTTCCACAGTGGTAGATGGCCGACACTGACGGTGGATAGCTCTGGCAGGAATAGAGAGAGGCGGCCCCCCACTGGGACGTGTGGTAAGAGGGCGTGAGTGGTCCCCTGCAGTTGAACTGACATGGACGGACCCACGGCGACAGCCAGCTGGTTTAAAGGGAGGTCGGGGCAGACCCCCCTCGACCGCGAAAAGGCTGCTGGGCGCCAGACAAAGAGGACTGCTCCTTGCCCTTACCTCTGGCGGGACGGCGCCTCCTGCTACCCCTGCCCAGCGGCCGAAGCCAGACGGCAGACTCAGGTGTAGGCTGTGCCCCGGAGGAGGAACCTGCTACAGGAGAGCGGGAGCGAGAAACCCGTGGTTGCTCTAACAAGGCCTTAGAGTCCTTGAAGGAGGTAGCTGCTGCAGCAGCCTCCCGAATGACCTGCTGTGCCCCCGGAAACAACATCGCTCCCAGCCGAAACGGAAGGGCCAGCAAGGTCTGCTGTGTCGCTGCTGAATAACGGGATGTAGACAGCCACAGCTTGTGTATCCCCATGACTGCGCACATCACCGTAGATGCGGCAGACAGCAAAGAGTCTCGCGTCAGGTGCGCCTGTACTTCGGAAGCAAGCGAAGCAGGGAAACGTCACCATTGCTTCCTTCCGCCTCCAGAGCCAACCTTTGAATAGAGGAAAGGTAGGCCTTGTGGACTACCACCCCCACCTGCTGCATCGCATTCCGGTAGACTTCCTCGTAAGTCTGGTATGCCTGCCGCAGGGGGACGCCCGCTAGGGCAAATGGTGGAACTAACCACCCTTGCTTGGCAGCCGGGGCTGCACCTGAGGAAGCCGAGCCTCCCCCGAGGGCGACCGAAGTGAACACGCACACTCGTCAGCCACCGGCACAAAGAACAGAGAATCATCCCCCAGCTGGTACCTCTTAACAAGTTTGTGTAGAAACAGAGGCGTGACCTCACCAAGAGGGGATCCATCATGTCCTGCACCAGGGAAGGCAAGATACGGAGCTGTGTCTGCGAGGGTTGCCTAGGGGCAAACCCTCACCCGGCAGGCGGACTCAGTCGAGTCCAAGCAACATTTCGGCACCGCAGTTTGGGGTATATACTCGGCAATATCTTGCCTAACTTCCCGGAGAGCCGACGAGAAACGGACAAGTACCCTCCGACTCCTTGACCTCCCCAACATCCATAGACTCGGCACCCGAGCCCTAGTCAGAATTCGGGTCTCCTCGTGAAGATGAGCCGAACCCCGACCCGCTGGGAGGCCGAGCCACAGACGCCGTGGGAAGGGAAGAGCCAAAGGAACTCCCCGCTCCGGCAACCGACACAACACTCAAACCCCGGTCCCGAGACACGGGAGGAAGACCGGGCAGAACCGGCTCCTCCGCTCTCATGGGGCGGGGCGGCGCAGGGACCGGACCCCCAGGAATCCTCAACGGACCCTGCGCCAGCACCGCGAGGGGGACTGGGAGCGAACCTTCCCCCTCCTGGGTAGCCGAGGCCGGGACCCGAAGCCAAAGGCAAAGAATCAATAGTCGCCTCTATGCTAAGGGATCAAGCCGGACACGGCGATCCCACCCCCGGACTCTCGGTCCCCTGTTCAGAGTGGGCGAGGAACTCCTGGCGGAGACCTCCAATGGACTCATGAACAAGGGACTTCACAGAGTCCATGTGCTGCTGAAACAATTGAGTGATTGTTGACATAGGAATGCGACTTATGCGAAGACTTAGGTTTAGCTTGTTTAGCCTTTTTGGCTTTGGACAGGGGGGGGGGAGGAAAGAGACCCTCCTGGGTCAGTTCCCCTCCCGCAATTCCTTATAAAAAAGGAAATCAGCCGCCCATCTCTTCTGGGCTCGGGAGGAAAAGGCCAGAGTTCGCAGATTTCAGGGTGATGCCCCGCTTTCTCTAAACAGCACAAGCATTTGTCATGCCTATCAGCTCTGGGGATATTCTGCCCCCAGACAGTACACCCAGTAAACGCCTGAAAGCAAACATGCAAGCATGTAGCTAACGTCGAACACAGCAGCAAAAATATACACGTACAAAACATTGAAAATTACGTGAATGCGACCACGCGACCTGAAATACTTGGTTAATAATGCAATATTTCAACCACGTGGCACGTTAAACTTCCCGCCATGGAATAGCAACACCAGTGTAAACCACGGGAAAGCTAGCATAAAAAATTTAATACAAAGTCACATAAATGAGAAATAACAGACCGCAAAGTCAATAAAACTGTTCTTTTTCTTTTTCAAGAACGAATCAAGACCATACATACAGTTGTTGAAGTCTCAGGCATTCTTCACAAGAGACGTAAATCAGCTTAGTAACTCGGAACACGTGTGAACGCTTGAGTGACAGCAGAAGGAATGATGATACAGGCCTAGGTGCTTACCCAGTTGGCTACGCATGCGTAGCAGGGAGGTAACTCCACGTGGTGGGGGCCGAATAATAGATAAAAAAGAGTTTATTTATTGTACAATATTTTTATTAAAACATTGATACAACTGTCACATGACATTTTCAGCCGCAGAAAATGCATATATGTACCCCAAGGACGATCTCTATGAAAACGAATGTAAAATATCGGGATACGTATTGTATCGCCACCATTGTATCGTAATGATAATCGTCTTGCAGGTTCCTTGCCAATACTTTCATGATATATCGTCTCGCCTCATTAAACTGTTATCGGGATATATCATCTTGCCACTTAAGCCACAATACACAGCTCGAAACACACACACACACACACACACACACGTGAGCGCGCGCACACACACACCACTTACTTTGATTACAGTGACTAGGAATCTCTTTTCATCATCTTCATGCATGGCCCCACTGATAGATCCAATTGCCCAACATAACTGTAACACAGTATGATACAAAGGGTCATTACACTGAACTATTATACAGTTAAGTTAAAGCATGTTTGAGTTGTTACATCTGTAGTGATATGAACAAGATTTCATGACATCATAAACAACTACCTTGAAGGATACATGACAAAGATGTATTTTCATTTAATATACTGTATTTTCAACATCACAAACCCAAAGGTACCACTAAGTTTAGTTTGTTATAATGTAGTTTATTACACACATTTAACACAAAACTACAGCAAGTAGCTGGTACCCCCTAAAATAAATTGATGTATTTGTCAGTGTGCATTATGTGTGTGTTAATTCCACACATTTTCTATAATATTTGATAATCTTGAACAAATAAGCCCCTCTGTCAGTTCTTACCGTGTTGAGATTTTTCCATGACCACTCTGTACCATTAACTTGATTGTGCAGTTTCTCTGTCATGATATTTTCTGTATCTGTGTAGTCCAAATGTGTGAGGTATACTGAAAAAGACAACCATTTTCATGTTTAGAATTATGTGGAATATTTTCAAATATGTTAGAAATGAAATCCCTAGACATGGTCCAACCACTGGTTACTCAAGGTGCATTGGGATTCTATCTTACCTAGTGTTTCTCTCATGTTCTTGTACAGGTTGATAGAGTCTGTATCTTTCATGAACTCTCGCACCACTTCTCCCTGCTCATTCTCTACCACCAAGACCTCCTCTGGCTTAGCCATCCGAGATATCATCACCAAACGAACCTGGAGGTAAACAGTTTTACACAAATCAGCCCTACTTTGAGGAGGATGTTCTGTCCTCTCAGCAGAGGACTGGTTATGGTGTATGTCTAATCAGATACCATCATGGAATAGTTTTCGTTTTTTAATGCTAGCAATAGCAGGGCTCCAGATAATTTTTCAACTTCAGGAGTACATACTCTTGATTTTCCAAATATAGGAGTACTGGAAAACGTGTACATTTACAGTACTGAATGGAATTTAATGGAGTATCAGTAATCTTTCGTTTCATATATGCACCACAACATTGCTGCTCTTTTGTGAACAGGTCAATAAACAATAAAACAATACTTTTTCAGATAAATACGTCTGTAAATGATTCTAAGACCGTACACCATTGCTGTGGTGCGTATCTGCTATGTTTTCTTAATTATTTCCTACCGTATCATGCATATTTCCCCCCCCGTACATACGTCGATACGGCACTTATCTGGAGCCCTGAATGGGTTTTAGCATGATTTTTTGCACTGGAATTTATAGCAATAAAGTTTCATGTATTGCATGACATACCACAATATGATACATGCATTCTTTCATCATGAATGTTAACAAAAGTAGTCCACGTCTGTGGGATGATGGCTTGGCATAAAAGTGTTTCCTCGTGTTAATGAAGACTTCAGAAGCAGTAAAAAAAGAAATGATTCTTGCCAAAAAAAAGTGTACTAACCTCTGACAACACTGGATTATACAGTTGCCTTCTTACAGGCATTTCGGTATGAGTTTTGCCTATGATTAATGGCGATGTGCTAGCAGAGAAAGGGGACTCTCGATACAACTCTGCTGCCAGGGAGTTCCAGTACTCCAGACAAATCTTGAAGATTTCCACTTCCTCAACTTCAGATATCCGTATCAAATAATGAAGAGACTGCAAACATACAGGTTACATGTTACCAACTCAATCACTTACCTTATACCTACAGTGCTGCATAATTACTGCTACAGAGTTCTATACTTGTTTTGCAATCAACAGAAAGTATTGACAAGAGTCACCAGAAGATAACAAATCCCACCGGCCCCCACAAATTTCAAAGCACAAATTATCTGACAGTTACTTAAAGTCCAACTTGATTTTTGGGGGGACTACGTCCAAATCATTTCCATGTATATCATGAAAAATGTAAATGCCAAAAATCTGCAAATAGTAAAAGGCACCACTTCAAGATCTGTTTGATATATCCGCCAATTCTTGTAGAAGATATTGAACAGTCACCCCTCCCTTTTTGGGACTAAGTCCAAACCAAGGAAACTGAGAAAAATAAAAATCACAAAAACCTGTAAATAGCAAAAGGCACCACTTTGGGATCTCTTTGATATATCTACCAATTTTTGTTGAAAAATATGTAATGGTTTTCGAGTTAGGCTCCTGGTTGGCTAAAAAACCGTTTGATATAGGTGATGAGAGAAAGAGAGAGTATGTCACCTACCTCCATGAGAAGCTGATGCAATTCTGGTTTCTTTTCCACTAACTGAGCATGCTCTTTGAGGTATGTACACAGAAACAAACTCAGATTCTGGATAAAGTTCTGCTCATCATCAGTGCCTCGTTGGTAGGCATCTCGGATGTTGGTTTCAACAGGAAGCATCTAGGAAAAGACAACTAGCTATGACAAGAAGTTCATTCTGACAGACTGCTAGCAAACATTGTCTTGCTTAAATATATCTACTAAGATCACTTATCTTCATCATATGATTATGTTGTAGACAAATGATACTGATATGCCAAGTTGATATATACACTGATTCTCACCAAGTAAATCTTTGTGTACTGACTGAACTCTTTTTGTAAGAGTTGTACATTTCGAAGGGCAAAAGTAGATTTGAGATGTGAACATAATATATTTGATCAAGTAGCAGGATTTCACCAAGGTTTTATCAAAATACCTTAAAAAACACAACACTACAATTGTTACATTAAAATAACACTACATATACAGTCCCTGGATGTTAAACAATATACACATTCATGTTTGTTATTCAACAAATTACTGAATAGTATTCAAACTTTATGAGGGTGGCCTGTAAATAACTGAGTGAGAACCAGATAAATCAGTGCCATCAGAGTATAATGACAAACAAGCAACAAAGTCATTGACTATGAGTACCCAATCAAATAAGTCGCTCGTTATCAGTGCAAATTCACCAGTACTAACCAGGAATTCAAACAAGGGTTACAGCTGTATGGAATTTAAAAAGTGCACACACTAGTACATGAATTATTGTGTACCTGTTTCAGTTGGTTCATAGCAAGGGTAAAGAGCTGCTGAAACTGCTCATCATAGATCTGAGCTACCTGTACCCCAGCTGTAAATGAAAAACAATGAGTGGATTTCAAGACATCCAAACAGGCATACATATTTTAGTTCCTAAATAACAAACCAATACTGTACAATGAATGATAACCTGTTTTCTTTCATCTTACCATAAAACATCACAGGAGTAACTGGTAAAATCTTTACGTCTTAGGACAAAACTAGTCCCTCCATATTTTTACTGTCTCAGACAAATGGGCTGGTGGATGTGCCTATCCCTGCATAGGAAACACAGAAATCCAAAATACAGCCACTTTGTGTTCTGGAATAATCATTTATCAGGGAACATTCTTCACAACCAGCACATACCGATTTCTGTTAAGCACTTCATTGTTACATTCCGGAACATAGGCACATTTAAGAACTGAAAAATAGGAAGGAAATCATGTGTTTCAATCTAATAACATTTTCTTAACATGTCAAGATTGAAGCCAATCCCACTGTTAAGCTGTTTTCTCTACGACTTTAGATATACCTACACCAATCTACAATGGTAGCAATTTTAAAGACACATTACAAATTGTCCTGAACTAGTAACAACACTAATACTTAAAAACTCTAGTATTAAGTTAATCAATGATTAGAAATTATAGATCTGTTGCTGCAGTATTTACGATTATATTTTGTTCTTTGGCTCACAATTTATCAGATTTTCAAAGGAAACTACCGGCAAATGCCAACATCTGACGAACTTTCCGCTACGCCACTCCAAAAGGCTGCCTCGGTGAAAGTCACTGAAGTAAACATAGAAATTCTAAGCAAAATAGAAGGATGTTGTTTCCCAGGAACTACAGTATAACACCATATTTTTTAATGTGACACATTCCCCCTGTACAAACCTTCAATACCAACGCTAGTTAAAGATACCCTGTTTTTACCAAAGAGAAGAATATCAGAGAAGTATACAGAGTAGTAAACATATAAAATAGAAAAAACACCCCAAATATGAATGTCTTGATTTTTTTCCTTGATGCTTTGTGGCATGAATAGCTCCAGCTCAAAAATCCTTTTCATTGGCAACCTTAGATAACTGACATAAAACAAGGTAATAAGAGGCAATCAGTTTGATCAGATACTGGCTTTTATCAATGTTATTGTATCTGCAGAAAATATACAGTATGAATAAGGATTTCACAAAAAGATTGTTCACACATACTTCTAGTAATTGTTATTATACTATTAAATTTGAATGTTGAAAGTCAGAGGCCTAGATAAGCTGCGTATCTGGGTAAAATACCCATAGACAATTTCCAATTACGCATTGAAAATAATTGTTGCGTACCTATTACGCATTCAAAATGTTAGATACGCAAAAAGTTTATAACAAATGTGTACGGAATATATTTCTAAAAATCGCTAGCGTAATGAAAAAGACATCGATTGCTATCAAGTTGTACTGTTGGTACAGGATGGGTGATTTTTTATGAAATCATTTCCATTATATTTAAGTTGGTTTTGATTAGGTATGACATAAGGCACAACATACCTGCTTAGTAAACATACTCAATGACATAATACTTAGGTGAGTAAAATCACTGAAATACCCACATATTTGAAAGCAGTGGGTAAGGGAAAATGAAATACGCACTCAACATTCATAATACCCACTCCCCAAAAATACAATGGGCACAGTACCCACATGAGCTAAATCTTATCTGGGTTTGCTTTCAAATCAAAGGCAGGTTGATATGGTATAATAGACAGCAAGATTTGGTATGTTCCCTCGAAGGTAAAAAAGAAACAAATGTTTCTCACTAACCAAATGCAAAAGAACAGGTAAAAGGAAAAAAATATTTTTCACCAGAAACTATAAACTGTATGACCCAGTTTTGAAATGGTTTAAAGTGAAGTATATTTCATAAATCTGTACTACTACGAATAAGCACCAAAATGTCTAAAGCATGCTTTAGTAAACATAATACTGATGTAAGCTGTCATGAAGACAAATAATGTTATTTTTCTCTTTTTTTAAAATCATCTTTTACATTAGATTGGAGTTGTTCCAAAATAGAACAAAAAAGTGAAAATACAATCAGAATTAGATGTACTACAATTATCTTATAAAAGCAAAAGTGAGAAGAAACTGGTTTTTTTTAATATGTCCTCATAAGAAAACACTGTTGTAGTAGGTCTCAACGGGTATGAACAGGTTTCAACTGCTCTTCTGCTGTTGAACAAAGTCAGAAAGCCAGATCAAGGGTTTATCCGGCTGTTTCCATAGGCGCCCGACTGATATATTTATAAGCATGACCTATATATATAAGATATAAGAAAGGTGTGTCAGTAAATCGAAACAAAATGGCGGCCCGGCGCGGCTTCATTCTGACAAACGCTTCCATCGCTTTGACCGTTGAATAAACTGCACAATTTATACTCAGTTGACCTCTGTAAAGTAACTTGGGTATCACAAACCTGATGATTTTATTCCCATTTAAAGCTTTCAATAATTTTGCCGTTCATTCTCGGACGAAGTCAGGACATATGCCCGGAAGTAAACAAATCTCAGGCTACAGACCCGCACCGAATAGTAGAGCGAGTCTCTGATTGGATAGCGTCTTCTATTACTCCCACCTCTTTTAACGTGCAACAATATCATCCAATTAGAGACTCGCTCTACTATTCGGTGCGGGTCTGTAGCCTGAGATTTGTTTACTTCCGAGCATATGTCCTGATTTCGTCCGAGAATGGACGGCAAAATTATTGAAAGCTTTAAATGGGAATAAAATCATCAGGTTTGTGATACGCAAGTTACTTTACAGAGGTCAACTGAGTATAAATTGTGCAGTTTAATTAGCGGTCAAAGCGATGGAAGCGTTTGTCAGAACGAAACCGAGCCGAGCTGAGCCGAGCCGCCATTTTGTTTCGATTTACTGACACACCTTTCTTATATCTATATATATATATATATATATAGGTCATGCTTATAAATATATCAGAGTCGGGCGCCTATGGCTGTTTCAGGTATTGATAGTTGACATGTTCATGGCAAATGCCAGTACAAATTCCTAAATTCAGGTTTCATTTATATCAATTATATCATTTAAGAATGTTCTGCAATGTGAATTATAATTCAACAACAGGATGAAAATTGAGGAAAGAATTTTACTCATTTCTACATGGAATGAATAGATTTTTAAAACTCACAGATTCAAATACCATGGGAGAAAACGTCAAGCACCCAAAGGACACCTAATTTTGAAAACTGTCAAAATTGAAGTCTGCGATATTCTGACATTCTGTATATTATCTATCTTTACTTTCTCATCATCCACTCAGTATACGTTTTATAATTCACCTTGCATCTACGATGAAACTTCAAAGTTGGCTATTTTTTACAACTTAACATGAAACATCTTGCTATAGTATTCCAAAACGATCTTTCAAAAATCAAAGCAGAAATATTGATAAATGAGCAAGAGACAGCAATCCAAACACCCATGAAAAGAAAAAGATTTAGGACTTTTCACCATGTCATTCCTTGAAAGAAAAGATACATTGGGAATACCATGCTGCAGACTCAAGCATCAACATTTAACTATACAACACTTCCCACTTATTGTCACATTATTTAGTTTTCAGCATTGTGAAAGTGACCTAATTAACACAAGGCTGCCAACTGACATCCTTCACAGAAACCAGACGAGTAAAACTAAATTGTACTTGTACCTATCAAGGATGCTTTACTTGTGGTGACACATTTTGAAGGAGTTATGCATACATAACGGGAGTAAGAACAGTTACTTTACTCCTTTAAAGTTCAACTGTCCTGGATAAGATGGAGGTGTATAAATTTGAATAATAGTGCCACAATGGGAAACTATTCAAAAGCTTAACGTGCATTCAAAGAAAAGGTTAATTCCAATCCAACTAAATCATATTGTGACTGGTTTGTGAGTTATATGTTTCAGATACAAAATTCTTTAGACTTCTTAATCCCCAGAATTGAGGTGTCAAAGATCATGCAGACAACAGACAAGACAGACAAAAGACAATAACAATAATTAGACCCATCATCAACCAGTGACTGGACACATAAGCAAGATATCTGTACAGGTTCAAATACAAACCTTATAAATTAAAGTTGTGATCAGTTTTGTCTCAAATATGTATCCTAATGGGATCCAGTTGAGGAACCGAAGTAACGTCTCTAACGTGGAACCTACAAGTGGTGCATTTTGGGAGTTGTCCTGCAAAGCAAAATCAGAATTATCAGATGACCATAGTTTCAAATTGACAGATAACAGTAAGTACATGCACATCATTTCTGAATCAAACATGCTGCCAAGTGCTTTATGCAATTTTGCTTTGACCATATTCTCTTTGGTTGTCATGCAGTAGGACAAAGTATAAGATGGGAAGCTATTGGAATGCACAACAAGAACATTTAATTGCATTTTTTACATGTTCATGTACCAAGATAACATACAGATATTATATTTACCATTACAAATTGACAGAGCTGGAAGATCTGTGAGAATTCACTACACATGGTATCTTTCAAGTGTTTAGCTTTGGCCTGTGTCATCTGCCCACTTGAGAAGTCAAACACTTCCTCACTGAAGCAAAGAAACAGAAACTTGTTAATATGACAACCTACTTTTGAGTTCCGACAAGTTATAATAACTGAACATTTTCATTAACATCTTCAGAACATTGTAAATTGTTAACTTTATCAACAAAAGAAAATAATGATCAAAATGTTAATGATAAAATACATGAGACAATCTAACATTGAAAATAGCTCCTCTTTCCTTACCTTAATAATTTCAATATGGTCATATTGTTCTGACAAAGAGATTCATTTGTCTTACTTGCGCCAACAATATCACTGATAAATGATGGCCAGTTACGTGGCCATTCATATTTGAGAATCTGAAAAGACAAAAACATTGTAAGTATATATGTATTTATATCTTAATATATCATCCTGCTTTAAACTCTCAGACATGAAATGTATGCGTTTCACTCTGCCTGGTATTATGAAGATTTTCTCAAAAACTATCGGCACTCACTAACATATTTGATCCAGATATGCCACCCCAAAGTGTTGCAAATAGTAGCTTCAAGGATCAAAATTTGTAGTTTGACCATAAAATTAGTAGTCAACTAAATACTTTAATTCATGATGGATTCTGAGAAAGATAATATGACGCTAATCAAGAGTGAAGCTTTAATTTCAGGTAACTCCAACACCAGATTTCCAAATTTCCAAATTATCACATTACATTTCTTCTCATCACCTCTTTTTGGCGAAAATGTATTTAATCAACGAAAATATATGTTTTTGTCTATACATGCAAATTTTAATGAATATTCTTCAAATTTCATTTAATTTCTAGTGCCATTGTATTGGCATAGTTTGAGGCTAAAATTCATAGCGACTACGATAAAATCTCTGTTAAATCTAATGACTTTTTACATAGCACCAAATGTATGAAGCATCAATGTACAAAGCATGGTTTAATATCCAAATTTACTTTGTTCCAAAGTTACACATTCTTCAACAATATGCTCAGTAACTGTACTGAATATTAGACGCCCTGTTGTTTCTGAGCACCATGGTATCTATGCATGGAAAAAGAGTGTATCATTGAAGACTTTTGTGTTCAGTGAAGGTTTTCTTTTGGTCAGTAGGGGTGAAACGGTACGCTCTTACCATGGTACTGTACGTATTGTGGTGCAAGGCCTTCGGTTTGTCTGTTTGGGTTCGGTATATGAGATATGATCATAATGTAGAAATGAAAAGAAACGCATAGATTTGGACAAAATGATTCAATTTCTAGAAAAGGGTTAATAAAATGACGATACTAACCGAAAATACCGATTCTTTTCATTGCATTAAGGTATACCAAACCGAAGGCAAAATACTGCGGTTCTGCTAATACCGTGGTATACCGTTTCACCCCTATTGGTCAGAACATTGTTTCCAAATGAAGGTAAAAGAACTAAGCCTAATTACCTGGACTAGAATCATGTTAAGCTTTCCAAGGTAGACCTTTTCCCTCTCCAAAGATGAGCTCTCTGATGAAGTCTTAATAATAAGTCCAACAATATACTTCTTGATTCCTGAAAAGGAAATGCGTACTTACTTACAAAGAGCAATTAATATCATCAACACGATCTTCAAACAAAACAATTGACAATAAGAAAGTCACTTACTGCTTTTTCAATGTTACAAATACGCCATGCAGATTCAAGCAGAAACAATTTACAAACCTTCACATTGAGGACGTGGTAGGACCTTCCATCTAGTTTTGATAACATTCTCCAGGATTTGAAGAGCATAGTATTTGGTCTGTTGGTTACTGGAAAACTCCAATATTGTGTCCACCCTTGTCCAGGCATCTGGATGCTCTTTCAGCTCTGTAAGAACCTTCTGGGCCATCTGCTGTTGCTTCAGGAGAAATTACGGTAACAATCAGTTCTGTACACTACCCAATGATGACCATGACCAACTTTTTTGCATCAGAATTGCAACATTCTGCTAATAATATTGGGCTTTAATTGGTGGACCACTAAAATCATAAATATACTTGTTTTTTATGTCATAAACCATATGGACTCAAAGATTATAAACGTGAATAGTATGGGTTGGTAGGGAGACTGTTTTCAAAATCCTTTTAACTGCTGGAAAACTCCTGTACAATTAGCAGTGCTTGAGACATATTTTCACTTGTTCTCTTTGCACAATAAAGACCTCCCTCTCCCTGCCTTGATAACTTAAAGATAAAGAAAACATCTTTATCAGCTGATGGTTATATGATCTGGTTAAGTATCACTCTCGAAATTGCCTGGCCATGACTTCCACAGCGAATCTATGCACAGCTCCATTTCAGAAGGGGCATTGGGTGTGCTATCAACTTAGGGTTAGAAATGTTGAGCTGGCCAAAGGGTGGATGCATGATTGAAGCTAAGGTGGTGAACTGAGCAAAGAATATTTCTCATAATTTAATGGCAACATAATACTTGGGATATCATTTGATACGCAAATTACACTTGAAAAAACTCAACCCACTGCACACTGGCAATTTGAACATATATAATCATACTTATTCTAAGCTTTCATTCTAAGATGTTACCACCCACTGGAATTTGACTGTCCCTTTGAACAAGTAGTACAAATGTGTATTAAGTCTTTACAAACCACCACAATATAGCTGGAAAAAGTGTGGTATTAAACAAGAAACCAACAATTTCTACCACTTACATTAAAACTGTTGAAGAACTGACCAATCAGTAACTCGAAAGGCATCATGGATTGCCAATCCAAACACACCACTGCAGTTTGACTTTGATACCAATGTTTACAAATCATAACACACAGAACGAAATATAGTAAGGTGTAGCACTGATAAAAGTTTGACGGGTTTACGTGTGAAAGGAAACGAGTATGTTTCCACAATTAAGATCAACAATACCTTTGCGACATTACATGACCTTAGTTGCCAGGAGTTAAAATGCCAGGATACAAATCTATGAGGTGAGGTGAAATTGGGTTTAACGTTGTGCTTGAGAATATTTTGCTCATATGACGACGTGCATGCGTGTGTATGTGCGGCTGCATGTACTAGCTCAGACTGAAGCTGGTTTTATAGTGCTAGCCCACTGAGATACCATGCCGCAGTGAAGCATGAATACCCCACTCAGACACATTATACTGACTCCGAGCTGACCAGTCCTTGTTGTACCCATTAATGCCGAGCACCAGGCAGGGACCAACAAGTACCATATTTTAACGTCTTTTGGTATGACGTGGTCGGGGATTGAACCTGCGACCTTCCGCTCTCCGGGCGGACGCTCTAACCACTACACCACGGAGGCAGTACAAATCTATGAAAACCAATTGAACAGTAATACATATCTACCTGGGGACCATCCCCTGCATACATGCAGGCAACAACATTGTCAAGCAGCTGTATGTCGAGCTTCTGATTGAAGTCGAGCAACTTGCTTGCCTGTTCAGTCAAGGTGCTCATGACCATCTGGACAGACTTAGTTACATCGACTCTCACTAAATCCTGGCTACCCAATTATGGGGGGAAACGGTGAATTGCCCTGCAAAAGAAAGTAACACATTGCAAGCAAGAGTTGTAGTTGTAAAGTACCTGTAGTAATTCAACCAAAATTTAAAAATGTATTCAACAAGTATAGTCAAACATGAGCATGTTTTGATAATCACATAGACTTGCAAAAATGAATGCAGATGCGGATCCACAGAGATAGCCTGCAAGTGTGACGAGCTGGTGACATCACCATCATTTTGCTTTCACCTTGTGTGGTTGATAAATATACTGCATGTGATAACTATGTGTCTTGTGAATGATGACTGGCTACTACTACAAGATGAGGTGAAGTGTTTACACTCCACCACTGACAGGGTTTGTAACATCCCAAGTAAAGATCTCGTGCGCCTGTAGTTGATAGTGCCAGAGCCATACAAATAGGCAAGCACTGATGAGCTTAAAGCTCAGTGGATATTTTGTTTACTGTTAAAGTATGCAGTATGTGTAGATAGTACTGTATCTGTAACATAATGACTGATGATCACCCAAAAATCAAACGTCCTTTTGATCCGTAATATTTTATCTTATTTCTTTTGCGGCCACAGCAAAGTTCAGAACGTTACCACAACAATCGAGACATATCACCTGGTTTTAGTAACTTCTGACTTGGTAGTGTCTTAACATTAACTGACCCAAAACACTAGCTGAATCTAACAATGAACACGGGTGAAATGGCTTTCTCAGAAACAGCTGACTTATCACCACCTCACGGAATTTGCGGACAAATAGCTACTACCTTTATCAATCGAAACGACTGCTTTGCAAAATTCTGCTGCTATTTTTCTCTACATAATTTATACATTCATGTCAACAAGTAACTCTCCATGGTAAGCAATCATCATACAAAAAGGGCGCGTAATGCACTGCGATCACATGACATACAATCGTGGTTGCCTATGACTTTGAATCCCACTTCCGTTGTTTACATGTTTTAAAATGGCGGCCTCCATGCCGGCGTGTAGACAATTTTCACAGCGTTACTCTTACCTTTCAGCATTCACATTAACCCCAAACTAAAGTCCTTTATCGATATCATTCGTGGTATATACCTTAATAGTTTGGCGAACCCGTACCAGGCTTCTGTACTATGAAAACTCCCAAAGTTGTAAACCGGTTGAAACTGGTAGATGTTCACCATATCCGCTTTTACTCGTGTCTTTCCGTATAGCTTGAACTATTACATTTTATAAAGAATATTGATATGAGGGATGTAATATATATTTTCTTGTACATATATTTTAAGAATGCACATTTCCTTCTGAAACCAAGGCCTTAAAAAATATCATGATACACGTATTATTTCTTCGGGTAATTCCGTCATTCTGAAACAAAGTAAAGTTTATTCTGATTGGCTGTTTCATGATGTCGTCAACAAAATATCAAAACGTTTCTTTTCAGTGTGTAGTTTGTGCCTGGTAATATAACAAGTACGCAGGCACTTTATTCTTGACAAATTTGTATTTCCAAGCACAGATATGATTGTTTACATTTATAAATATATATAACATTCACTTCTGTTCTGGGAAAATTTTGTTCATTTGGCCAATCGGTATCGGTTTAACAAACGCCATCGATGTGTACGAAGTGATTGGAACTTCTTTCAGAAGATGACCCACTTTTTATATAGTTCTGCACGCGGATATGTATTGAGGGGATAAAACCTTAGAGGATGCCAGAAGTATCATAATTCCAACCCTTCCAAACTCTCTTTATGTTTCCATGGTAGCTGAAAAGCTCATTTGGTACTTTTCATTCCCTGCTTACTGTATTCTTACGCAATGAAGGTAGGAAGGGAAGAGCGAATAGTAAGATTACAACCCATAATATTTCATTTATTTCCGCGTTGATGATCAGTGGTCAAAACTGTTTTGTTTGATAACAGTTACCGTATAGTATATAGAATAGTTTATTTGGAGGAAATGATTCAAACATCTCCCTAATTTACATTTCACGCGCTATTGTCTGTTGCAGTTCGAAGGTTTATGCCGTCATTTTGTCATTGATGTTTTAAAATGCTAACGAAGTCGGATGGAAAATTCCACCGACCTTCAATAGCAATGTCAGTGTTTCTCGAAAACAACCCACGAATGATGGTTTCTAGCCGGTTTAATGCAGTTGGAAGCAGTTCATTCATAAGAACATTTTACTATAGGTAAATAGCTCATCAAAGTCATGTTGATCGTATCTGAAAAAACAAGTCCAGTGGTTAGATTAATATCTTAGTACTTGACTTAACTATGACTGCTGATATTGAGCCAATTGAGGTATTCAATTGTGAAGGAATAAACACATTAAGAGACCAAGTTTAGACACCTTTAATGTATATATGTTTCTCAACATTTTGTAATTGGTGTTATACATTTGTCTTTTCAGTGAATACATGATAAAATAGGATAAAAATATATGACAGATTTGTGACTTCCCACAGGTCTATGAAAGCGTCCATATATCTTTAGCATGCAAGTTCAAAGGTGAAGTGTGTATGTGAGCAGTAGCAGGTACACTTGTAGCTTCATGACTATAGTGCATTTTAAGAAAAAAAAGCCTTGTATCTGATAACCGTCACATGGTCTGGTTCTGAAATTTGGTCGCTGTATGGTCAGCTATGTTGCTTTGTTGAAGAATTTAGAATATTGCTATGTATTCCTAAGTAGGCTTGGAGTTGTTTAAAACCTGGATTTTACAACAGTGTGTCATATGAAACCATATTGGTTACCATATAATATGGAGTGTTATTAAAGTATGTACTATAGGTGCATATTTCATGGTTTCATTGGTACTGGATATAATTATGACTAATGTGATAGAAATTGTGTAGGGTCATGCTGATACAGTGTTGCATGTTTGAATTATCTCTATTTCTCCAACAGCAATACTTATGTGTCTGTCCATATTTGCATCTATGATGAAACAGATGAGTTATGTAATAGGAATTTGTCACAAGTAGACAAACGTTTGGAAAACAGCTTGTTTGGTTTATTTTATTGGAAGACTGAATAGTGAACATGATACAAAGCGTATAAGAAAGTATGAACAGTTGAATCCCATCAAGGTATTGCTGGAATATATTAAAAGGGGTGCAAAACCAATCTCTTGTTCACTTTCATGTCTGTTGAAATTTTTACCATCAGATGTTGTCCCTTTCCACGGCTATATGTTCTTCATGTCGCCAGTTACATGGCTTGTAGATGGTCTTCTGAGGGGTGGGCATAAAATCTAATGTTTACCTGCAAATAGTAAGAACAGTTTTATGAAACACTGATAACTCCATATCTTGTTTCAGATGTGGTTTAATGACTGCAAAGTTGAAAACAATGTGTTACAAGTATACATGGAAAGAAGAAGTTGGCAACAGGATTTTGCATAACTGGAAGCTTGTGGATGTGACATAATGCCTAACTGTGGAGACAGTTCACAAGATGAACCAGTGGACAAAGATGTATTGTGAATGTAGTTGACTAACTGCATGTGTAAAGTGACATGGATGAGACAGCAGACTCTCCAACTGGGGATGAACTGACACCAGGCAAGATGGATGTTCTGACTGTTACAGCAACAGTCAATGCTCTCCATCCCCAAACATCTGCCTCTCTTAATACTGCACAGTCTATCTTACCACAGGCATCATATGTGTATCTTGGTAGCACAACTGGCCACCAGACGACATCTGTGGACAACGGCCAGCCTGTAGTGTACCTTAGCAGCAATGCTAACCAGCAAAAGGTCCTCAGTACCATCACACCGGTCCTTGTTTTGTCAAATAACCATGGCAAAGGGTCAATGGAAGCAAATGTTATGCTGGAGAACTCGTCACCAGCATTTCTGCGCCTATCTGGTGACTTGCAGAACATCCAGGCAATGGCTCAGGCTAATCTCATTGCACAGACCCAGGAGCACATTGCTCAGCAGCTTGGAGAGGAAGAGATTGCTCTACAGTCAAAGGTCAAGGATGAAGGGGATGCTTTTACCAGTCTTCAGAGTTCATGTGAAGATGAAGAACAAATATGTCACCATGAGGGAAAATCTAAAGTTTCAGGTAATCAGTGCTAATGTTTGACTTAGTCTGTAGAAATCATGCAGTGATATTGTTTGTAATTGCTGTCTCTGTTTAGGACCCATGAAGATTCGAGTTAGAAGTTGTCTTCAGCAACCCATGCTTGTCGTGAGAGGCGACTAACGGGATCAGGTGGTCAGGCACGCTGACTTGGTTGACACACATCCTTATATCCCAATTGCATAGATTGATGCTGATGATGTTGAACAATGGGTTGTGTGGTCCAGACTCTTATTTTCAGACCACTGCAGTGTAGCTGGAATATTGCTGAGTGCTATGTTAAACAACAAACAAACTTAAACCAAACCAAACCAAACCCTGGTTAGGATGTAAGGATAGGTCCCCTACTAAGCAAGCAATATGGTATAGATCCTTATACTGGTGTCAAGCATGAGCGATAAGGATCGATGCCAAAAAGTTGTATCATAGTAGAATGAAGAAGTCCTATGTAAAATATCTTGCGTTTACTGCTGGGATTGATTTTGCTATATCCAGGATATTACACTGCTGGTGCATGCCACTTTTATTGTCAGGTTACACCTATAGTGCAGGTAACAGTTTCATCCATAAGTACATGGCGTACATTTTTTAATACATTTGCCATATTAGATAAGTCTTTTCCTGTCATGTATTAGTTAGTGGAAGTTATAAACATAAAAATGAAATTGAAAGTCGTTTGCGGCGTTTCTCATGTTCATTAATCCGTTACCCAGACCACTGTACACAATCTTGTGACATTTCATGGAAGGTCAGAGATCATTGTGTTATACATCGCTTGTAATGGTGGCCACCATCAGTTGATTTTGCAGACTGAATTCAAACAGAAAAGAAATTAAATATAAGTCAGAATGAAAATGTCAATTGAAAAAAACATCCATCTGTCAAAACATTTCCCCAGACAAGCAGTCTTGTGAGCAGAACTGTAGATAGTAAAGTTGGCCATGAATATTAGTGTCCCTCTGCTGATAAGGAAGTCTGTTATCAGTGCCTGGATTAGAATTGTTGATGGCCTTGTCATTGAAATACCAGCACAATGCTTTCATATGTAACAAGAGACTGTGTCCATGTAGGATCAGGGTTGCTTTTTAGAGAAAGTGAACAAAAGTTGTTATAGAAATAGCTGGACAGGTGGTATGGGTCAGCTTCATTATAAAGTGGCAGAAGGCTTGATGTACTGTCATGTTTGTCAAAAAGGTGAACATGATGAACCCCAGTAGGTCACATCAGTTAACCTTTTGAATTGACCAATCAGAATACAGCTTATCAAATTGCGAAAAAGTAACATTCTCACTTTAACCTCGAAAACGTGTGTAGTAGAATGATCCAAATGCTATTTTACGCACAATCACTTTCGAGTGATACACATGGAGGACACCATTATTCACAACAGTGAGTAAACAGTCACTGAAAATAGCCTTTTTGTCAATATTCCAGGATGTCATCCTGCAGAAATATAAGCAAATATTAGCCGTGTCATCAGAAACCCATAAGCGTATATACAGCAGGTGAAATATCTCTCTTTTATGTGAATTTTCGTTTTTTGAGAGATTAATGTCAGCGACCAGGGAAGAGAAAATAAAAATAAATAAATTTGTAAGTCCCGTCGAACCCTAAATAGTACGTTGTCTGATTGGTTAAATCTGTTCAGCCATCTCGTGTTTGATTAGACGGTCATAGGTCGCTCAAAGATTAGCTGACATGACCTTCTTCTAGGGTTTGTTACACTCAGTATAGCAGTGTATCGAAAATACTGAGCCTAAGTTTATTCAGACTGCAAGAAATGCATATTGGAAATAATTTGTTAGAGATATCAGTGAAAAACAGATATTTATGATTTGGAAGGATCTCTTGACTCCATATCAGGAAAGAATTTACTGGAAATACATGTTCATTGATACCTGAATTTGCTGAAGGGAAAAGACATAGTTTGTTTTGTCTGTGCATTATCATGATTATAAACAAAAAAATATTTTTCCATAAATACTGAATCCCTTAACAGGTGTATGCATTATACGTGGGTGTGGGCTATATGCTCAAGGAAATGCTGTAGTGCTAGCTAGTGTAATTATTCCCTTTTAGTGTGAGAGTGTATTTAGTTTGTTACAAATAGTGAAGTCAGTTCAAAGTGACAGTTGTCTGATCTGATGTCATTTCAAGCAAATGGTCCTTATGTTGAAGTCTTTGCTTGTGATGAATGTGTGGCAGTGTGGTTGACCAAAACATTGAGATACTAAGGACACCCTTACAACACTTTTGATGGTACCATTGGTTTTCAGTTTGATTAAAACAATTTAAAAATGAAATGAAAATAAACTACATCAACTCATTCTCAAGTGTATTTTCTAATTCATTAAAAATAACTGAAAATACAAAAGGCTGTTTATACAAATGAACTCTGAAATATTGGTGAAAAATCTTCGAGTAGGTCTTAAATTTCAAATGTCATCCTTCTCAGCAGGCCCCACTTGAAAGAAAAACATCTCAAAGTTCACACGCTATTAATACACTATATTAAGCGACTATTGGCATTCATGGCAGAATGTTTATGAATGTCTGTGCTGATTGTGGGGACAGCATAGATCATTGCTGGTACTGTCAACAAGTTTAATTGATTGCTTGGAAAAACCAAAACATGCTTTCATGATCTTTCTGGCAAAATGATTCCCGCAAGCAACATTCCCTCTCTTTGGTACTTTTTAAGTTATTTGTGAGTTCTTTACCTTATGCGTAATATGCAATAGTCCTCTTTATTTGTGATTGTGTGTTTCAGGTGGAAAGGTGTACACATGTGAAACTGAAGGATGTGGAAAGACATTTTCTTCAGCAGGTTTCCGCAAATTTCATCAGACAGCACAAGGTCACTCTGTGAGTAGCAAAGCTCTGCAGTGCCCATATGACCAGTGTGGGCGCAAGTTTGCTCGACCAGCCCACTTCAAGTACCATCAACTTACACACACGTAAGTCTTTTCTGTTGTTTGAATGTGAGGAAAATATATGGTCAAATCCTTGTCTCAAAGATTACCATAACAGAGTCTATTTCAGACCGCGCCCTTCGCCATTGGAGCATAGAAGTACAAAATGACGCACTATTGCTTGTGCACTTAGCTTATTCAAGCTATTTGTCTATGCATTAAGAGTTATGCCACTTAGCAGTAATTTTCTATACCGAATGGCAGCATCTGAATTTGAAGGTAGTTATCGAACCAAAATAACAGGAGCAAAATCATCTTCTGCTGTGAAGGCATTGAAGCGACAGTCGCAAATACTTTCGTTTTTCCACAAAAAGAAAAAAATGACACAGAAGATTCGGGAACCGTTGCAGGGTCGAATGATGGCAATTGTAATTCAGAAATTGCAAAGGACACATCAAATGTCAATGACAGTAGATGTTAAAACTGAGAGCAAGACATCCCAGTCATGTTCTTTCCAATCAAAATGGCAAGTTTTATATCTGTGGGTTTTGTTCAGTGAAAGTAAAAATAAGTCTACTAATTTAAAATTTAAACAGACTGTCCCTGAGATATAAAGTTACAAGATAATAACTTTTATGGTCATCTCATTAAATTAACAGTGTTTGAATTAATAGTTAATACAAATGAACAGCTATAATTTGAATGATAAAATCATTAAAATTACTGAGTGAATGAATTGACTCCCTTGTTTTTTCTGATGACCCACCTACAATGGCAAATGTCCCACTAGTTTCATTACCCATGTGCTCAGGGCCCACTTCATCTGAAAAGTAAACTAGACACTACCATAATAAACTTCAACATCTATGGAGGATTAATGATCATTTTCTCTGTGTGAAATTGTTTTGATAAAAGTGACGTCACCAATTTAAAATATAATGACTTTGGGAATCATGTTTGCAGTTTGTGTCAAAAATATTTGAGACTTCTAGATTAAGCCTGTCACTTGACATCTTAGTGTTACTGATAGACCTTTATTTGCAAAGATTACTTTGTAAGAAATTTTGCTTGACAAGAGCTACATACAAGTGGCTGAAGTAGCATCATGTTTTTGACTCAAGTGGATTTAAGTTATGTTTTTCCAAAATGGAGTGTTCTATAACTTCTATTGAAAAGTAATAATCAGCTTATTTTCCATGCTGACTTTTGTTTTTTCAAGCTGACTATTGTCTAGTATTGCCTTCTATTCCAAATCCACTTCCACCAAGAGTAGGGACACTGGTTCCCCAGTGCTTTTCACAACAGAGACTCCCTGAGTTGCATCCCTTGCCTATGTGTGGTTGGTCTGCTCAGATTATGATGTATGTACCTCTGTGCAAGTAACCTCCACCAAATTAGTCTTATGTCAACAACACTCCCCCCACATGACAGAGAAAAATAGATAGTAGTATTTTTGCTGTTGCAGTGACAACCGCCAATATGAATGTGAGTTGGAAGGCTGTGGCAAAAGGTTCTTTACTGCTCAACGGCTCAAAGTTCATATGCGCACACACACAGGAGAGAAGCCATTTGTCTGCACTGAATGTAACAAATCATTCACCACCGCTGGGAATCTTAAAAACCACGAACGAATACACTCAGGTAAGTTCTCTTATTAATGATAATGAGGAATAATCAATTTCAGGTTGTATCTACATCCTTGATGATTCAGCATATTGTTATATCTCCATTCCATTATGATATACATAGTCTGGAGTATTTGACCAGTACCCCACTAAATCTTCATTCCAGTACAAGGGAAGTCCTTTTGTTACCAGGCTCTGCCAGATGTATTTGAGCTGGTACATAATAATGCTAGTCAATATGGACATGCTCTCTCACCATATTGAAGCCCAGTATGAGTAGATGCTCAATATGGAGACCATTCAGGATGATTTCCCAGTTGGACAGGTTGTTCCAGGTGGATCTGTTTGCGGGAGACAAATCAGATACCAGTGTTCTGCTCACAAATATTGGACCCGAGGGCATTGGTCTCCCGTCGCCTTCATGCTAGATTGGGTGAACAGGGTATTGCGGGCATTGCGGGAAGGTGGCATTTCTTGTGGCAGTAATGTCTGGCAGACAGGTCGGAGACATTCACACAATGTCAGCGGATCCTGAGCTAACTGTCTTTCACAAGGACAGAGTCAGCATTAGACTCATGCCGTCCTGAGATAGACGGCAAGTTCCATGTAACAGCGCCTATTGAGCTCCTTGCTCTATTGCTGCCTCCCTCATCGGGACACTCTTAGATGTTGTTTCATTCACCTGATGAAGGAGTAAGAATATACTTCGAAACGTTGTGACCCTTCACAATAGAGAAGTTGACATCAATAAAATTCTTGCCTTTAGATTCAAAATACTTTATTTTCTATTGCTACTGATATCATGCTAATTTACCACGATATGTCATGCAGGTGAACGTCCATATGCATGTGACTATGAAGGCTGTGTCAGAAAGTTCACAGAATGTTCATCCCTCAAGAAACACAAGTTGGTCCACACAGGTGAATATATTTATTTATTTTTACTCAAATTCACTAGGAAGAAGTCAAGTACTTTTTATTCCGTATGTAGGCCACATGTTATTTGTTCAAATAGATTTCTTGTCAGTATAAATATAATATTTAATATAAACATATATACACACCTTTATAAACATTTAAAATGGAAAAATGTGTGGTTTAAAGAAAATTTATTGGAGTTTGATTGCTCTGATTTTATAAGCATGAAAGATATATTTACATAAATTTATTAAAAGTGTTTCATTATTTGTTAATAACAGGGACTTAAATTTATAGTAGTTTGGTTGTTTCTGATATACATATAGCAAGTATTTTAATCTAAGGGAGTTATATTCAGTACATATAAAAATAAAATGATACTCATCTTCTACACCCAGCTTACACAATGGACAATTACGTTCTGCAACCTCAACATTTAACCATCTTCCCTCATTATACTTTAACCTTAATAGCCCACATCCAAAGAAGAATTAAGGTTGTCCATATTGTTGTCCGGATGCGGACCGGACGTCGGCCGAGCCTAATACTATATCCCCGCTTATCGCTAAATGCATGCGGGGATATAATATTAGGCTCCGTTCATCATCTTGTCTGATCATTGGAATATCTTAAGAACCGTTCACTAGATTCTTTTCATATTTGGTACCTAGGTTCATCACAGTATAAGAAAGGTCCAACTCAGGTTTGGTGACCTTGACCTTCATTTCAAGGTCACAAGGGGACTTTAACATTTTACCTGTATGTTAAGCTATATCAAGAACCGTTCACTGGATTTTCTTCATATTCAATACCAAGCTTTATCTAGGGAAGGTGCAGGGCCCAGTCGATTTTGGTGACCTTCACTTAATTTTCAAGGTCATGGCGACACTTTGAAGATTTCAGTATGTAAACCTGCATGTTAAGCTATCTCAAGAACCGTTCACTGGATTTTCTTCATATTTAACACCAAGTTTTATCTAGGGAAGGCGCAGGGCCCAGTCAATTTTGGTGACCTTCACTTATTTTCAAGGTCACAGAGACACTTTGAAGATTTCAGCATGTTAAATTGCTTGTTAAGATAGTCAGCAAGATATCGCAAAAAATATTCAGTGGCTTTTCTTCCTATTTGACACCAAGCTTCATCTAGGGAAGGCCCAGGGCCCAGTCAATTTTGGTGACCTTCACATACTTTTTTGGGTCACGATGACACTTTGAAGATTTCAGCATGTTAACCTAAATTGTCAGCAAGATATTTTAAGAACGGTTCACTGGTTTAAATTGTTCTCATCGTTTATTTTTGGAGGTTGCTTATACCATGGTGAGGCAAGTAATAAGGAGAACCAAATGTGGTGGCATGTCCGGGTTTTGCTCCCCACAAGCAGGGCTGTGCTGTCCTCAATTGTGTCAACATTTTGACAGTTCTTCAAAATACATAAATATGCACATTTGCATCAAAATATAGATTGAAGAGTAAGGATTATGAGTTTTTTAACAATGAAATGATATTTTTTCCAACTTACGTATAATATTGCATGAACAAGCAACTGACTGAAAACATTCAATGGCAGATTTCTGTCGGTACTTCTTTGGTTTCCCTGCAAAATACCCTCCCTGAATGTCAGTTCAGGGTTTTGTCCAACCCCTTTTTAGGTGAGGCGGGTAGTCTAGTGGTTAAATTTGTTGTCATGCCAAACACCCAGGTTCGAGTCCCCACATCTGGTGTCCCTTGCTGTGATATTGCTGGAATATTGCTAAAAAGGCATAGAACCCAACTCAGTCACTCACTCACACCAGAAATGGGTTTTACACATTGTACTCATGTGGGGAATCAAACTCGGGTCCTTGGCGTGACAAGTGAATGCTTTAACCACTAGGCTACCCCTCCACCCCAAATAAGTAACTAAATATGCTCTTGACACAAAATAGGTTACTGGGTGTTCATGGCTGTTCCTCTCTTTGCACTCCTCCCTCGTAACAAGTAGTGAACTGTGTAAATATTTTGATGATAGTTTGTTAAACAACTTTTTTATTTTTAGGACATAAATTCTGCAAAAATCTCACAGAGCTGGTCTGATGTTTTGATTATGATCAGCGTTGCATTGAGTATTATATGTTTATTAGTTTTGAGATTGCAATTCATTGGTCCGCTTTTGAGCCAAACAGACTGTATGTCTGAACTGGATGAGTATTATGCACACTTTCAACATCTTGATATGTTTACAGGTGAAAAACCATTTTCTTGCAACATCTGCTTCAAGACATTTTCCCAGAGTGGTAGTCGGAAGGTGCACATGAAGAGGCATGAAATGGCGGCAGCTGCTACAGCAGCTGTGACGATGAGGAGGGAGAGGAATGATATGGCTGTCACTGTTGTCCCATCATCTGCATCAGCCATTGCAGTTAAGAGAGAGATAAATGAGGAGGGCATGAAGGAAAGTACAGACAACCAAAAGCTGATCGTCATTCATGAGTTGGCACAGCACTATGAAGGTATATGTAGTTTGATAGAAAGTAATTTGTATGGGAGTAGAACTTCCAACATTATCTCTATGAACAAAGATGTCAGACACAACATTATTTGGTCAGAGGTTAAGACATTTTCACTAAAAATGCAGACTGTTATAGCACTAAGTATCATGATGCAGCAATCATGACACATTACAATGAAAGCTACCTCATTTGATGAGGTTTAATTCATTGTATTGTCTTGTAAACGGTTTTCTTATTTCTTCCTTGCCAGCAGATACACATGAACCTGTTGTGTTGACACAAGGCCTGACGGACCATGTTGTGACAGTAACCACACAACCAGCAGAAGGTGATGCCGAGAAGATACATCTACCTGATAACATTCTGGAGGCACAAGGTGAGCTGTGTTCATTCACAGTATATCATTCAAATGGTTGGTGTTTTAAAATATATTTAAGGCAAACGAGTGAGTTTAGTTTTACGCCACACTCAGCAATATTCCAGCTATATGGCAGCGGTCTGTAAATAATCGAGTTTGGAGAAAACAATCCAGTGATCAACAGCATGAGCATTGATCTACGAAATTGGGATGCGATGACATGTGTCAACCAAGTCAGCGAGGCTGACCACCGATCCCGTTAGTCGACTCTTACGAGAAGCATGGGTTGCTCAAGTATCTTCAGAGTCCAGTCTTCAATAAGGACATACTCTTGAATTCTGTTGGATGATACTTTTCTGTGATATGACTTACAATCCCTAAATTAAGTTATTTCTACACTTAGCAATTACAATCTCACACCCCTCAGCTCAAGTGAAACACATGCTCATGGACTCAATATCTATGATCAGATAATCAGACTTGAAGAGTAGGCTTTAATTGTTACTTAAATATTGGCATTTTTCCCCCTAAAAAAAACATTCATCATGTTTTTGCAAGTTTTTAATTTGTTGTAAAAGGCTTATATAGAGAGAATCTCACCAAAGTATCTACTGATATCAAATATAATAACACAAGTTGATAAAGTTACAAACAAATGAGGCTTGCCGAGGATATTTGTAACTCTATCAACAAGTGTTGATATAATTGATATCAGTAGACACGAGGGTGGGATTCTATTTATCATAAAAAAATCACTCTTCGTTAGTTTTCAATGAAAATGTACATCTCTGAACACTGTACTACCATTAGACTTGCAGTGCAGCTATGTCATAGCATTGTGATGTCATCAAGTTCATGACGTCATAGCATTGTCAGGGCATTGACAAAATCTGCTGTCAAAACGATATCTCCTAGGAGATATCGTCTGATCTCACACAAACAATATCTCCCGTGGAACCCAGTTTTGGATGATAAAAGTGTGCCTAGCCCAGCACAATACACACTATCCCTTTTAGACCTTTAGAGATCCAGGTTAGAATTGGTCTTAGCGACCTATGCCTGTTGTAAGAGGTGACTAACAGGATCGGGTTGTCAGGCTCGCTGACTTTGTGGATGCATGTCATCGTTTCCCAATTGTATGGATCAAAGCTTATGATGTCTATCACTGGATTGTCTGGTTGGATATTTACTTACAGCCATTAAACTGAATATTGCTGAGTGTGGCATTGAACAACAAACAAACAAACCTGCCACAAAGTGGGATGAGACAGATGTTTTCAAAACAAACAAGTGGACATTGATCATGTGCTTATATGTCATCAAATGTATTCTGTTTCCAGGTTTACATGGTGACCCAATCCACACTGAAGCTCTCCAGACTGGGGACAAAGGCATGAATGTAGTGGTCCTCTCACAACCACAGGAGATTGTCAGTCTGACATCACCATACCACCAACCACACATTCCTGGGCGAGAGGAGATCATATACGAAACAGACCTCCTACATACAGACCTCGACCATGAAGAAATTGCTCATTCTGAATTCAGTCTTCAGTCCTTGACCCAGGGGTCTCAGGGCTCAGGAGACATGGGGGGATGGCATCATGGCTGCTGACCAAGGTCTAACGGAACATGGTGATATTTCTAGTTCCTCCCAAACCGGGAGGGAGATGGCCTTGGATCCTATGATGGAGTCAGATGATGACACTGACCATGTGGAGGATTTAGTGACAAATAAACAGCAGCAGGAGAAGGTCTGACACTGGGAAACATAGTGATGTTGTTTAATGTGTGATAACCCAAGTTTGAATGGCAATTCAAGTATTACTTTAAATTTTAATGCTCAGTATGTGTGACCACCTTGCCAGTTGCAGATATTACAAGTTTTGATTTGTTCACTAAGCATCTACTGGTAATATTTGAAACTTTGTTTCATCCAAGTGATGTCCAACTCTTGTACTTCATAATGCCATTGTGCTCCACATATCAGTAGCAAACAACCATGACACTGGCTCCGGGGATATTTGCCATTTTTGTGCCACAAAAGCACATAGTCATGATATAGTGTAAAAGCCAGTGCATATAGATTACTGAGAATCAATTTGTATCTGAATATGCCTTGCTTTTACTCTCATTTCTTTTTATATATAGGTTTTGGGGCCATGGGGTAGCCTAGTGGTTAAAGCGTTTGCTCACACCGAAGACCTGGGTTCAATTCCCCACATCGGTACAATGTGTGAAGCCCACTTCTGGTGTCCCCTGCCATGATGTTGCTGGAAAATTGCTAAAAGCGGCATAAAACCATACTCACTCACTTACTTTTATAGGTTTCAATTTATATAGTTTCCACTAGTTTGAAAAGTGGAATCATGACAAGTCATATTGTACTTCAGTAAAGTGTTGTCCCAATTCCTGTTTTGGGTCAAGTTTAACTTATTTATGTTTTTTTTAAACCAGTACGAAGATAAAAAAATTGGCAACATTTGCTTAGTTCAGCACACATACTCAAGTGAATATAGTAAGAATTAAATCATTGTTTTAAAGTATGATAGAGGTGGAAATGAGTATAACTATGTATTGTGATTAGGTAGCAATTTGTTGGCTGTGATGGAATCCGATGTGATATGTTCGTTTATGATTGTTCATTGTTGATCTCAGTAAGGAGGGGAATAGTATTACCATATCAGGATTCTTCCAAATTGGTTTTAATTATGCTTCAAACAAAATTAAATAGCAAAGATTTGTTTCATTATAACACACACACTGAAAACTGTACAGGTCAACCCTTTTCTGAAGGAAAGCTTAACTGAAAAACTGTTGGTTCTCAGACATGAAAAAGATATTGTTAATGCTGTATGTGAAAATGTTGCATCTTACTGACATGTGCAAAATAGAATGAAATCTGAAGAATCCACAGTGTGTTCTAGTGGTAAATTGGATGTGTGTTAAGTGTATATATCTGAATGCTAATATAATTTTTGTTTGAGCCTAACATGGACACACATTTTCAGTTGTTCAACGTTTGTAAGATATGATTGTGATACCTTGATACCGACACTGAATGTTGTCCTTCTGGTGCTAGGAGTTCTGGTGTACAGTGTTGAAATCTGTGGCATTTGCCCAGTCTCATATTGAATGTAGTATTGATTATAAACCAACTGAAAATCCAAGGCTTAAATTGTGTGCCATGCATTTTTAATGAACATTTTACACAATTATATTATCATTAGCAACCTTGCCAGGCTAGTAATAGATTATGTTATGTCTAAAGGTTAAAAGATTACTTAAATGTGTCCTTGAGAGAGTGATGACATTAATAATTTGTCAAGGGAGTCTTTTGGGTTTGATTTTCTACATTAATATGAAAATTGCTTCCAATGGTGTGATTTAAGTTGACACTGCTGTCATGGTAGCATTTTAAATATTTGTTCTTTTCTTCAAGCTCTTCATTCAACTTCTATATTTATGGAATATTGCTGAAAATGACATACATAATCCACTCTCACTTTCTAAATCATTTTGCCAAAATACAGGGCAGCATAGCTCTTTCTTTTGTACTTTGTGTTTTGTATTTCGACAGTGCTGTTGGATGTTGTTGAAGCTGTAGTCACCATGGCCTCAAACCTAGTCTCCATTTCTTTCAGTGCACAGGTCTAAATGTAGGCATAACCCAGCCTTCTTGGCCCACAACGAATGAATCCAAAACCTTGTTTTCAATTATTTATCTGTATCTGCAAAATGTATGGTTGTGGAAAGCAGCATATTCATTTTGTCCACCAAGGCCAAGATGGGCAGTTTCAATCTACCACATTGTGTTCTACTTTATGTATTTATTTCATATCAATTTTTGTTATTGTCCCTGTTTCATAAGTTGTGTTGTATACATACTAGATATGTATTTTCAAGGTAAATATCCATGTTGATTTTTCTCTGTAATCTAATACTAGTATATATTGTAGTTATTTCCCCGGCCCAGCCACATGTTCAGATTCTATTTTCTGTAATGTGCTGACATCTACAAAGTGAAGTAGTCTCAAGAATTATCTGCTTAATTTAATTGTTAAAATGTGGAGTAATTTTTGTGGAATCAAGATCCGTGGCATACTTCATGTTTATGGGAGATATTACAATGGCATGGCCATAAGATTATATTAAGAATTCCCATTTGGGGTGAACATGAACTTTTCAAGCATTTGAAATATAAGTAACCGTAACTAAAGCAAAGGATACCCAAAGGCAAAGGTAGGGAAGCTACTAAATAGAAACCACAATAACAAAGAGGAGGCATTTCTAGATCATGCTGATGCCATTACATCATCCCAAGCGTGACCATTCAGATTTCTGCCATGAATTAGTCAACAGTTGAAGGGTTTTTAACGGGATATGTTTGCACCTCTATAGAATTATGTTCATGCTGTCCTATATATTTTTTTTATTTCTACATATTTTGTACAGTTTATTTTGTAATGTGATTAAATTACATTCGAAATCTAAGTAAAATTTGTCTTTTTGTTCTGTGTATCATACTGTGTTATCAACAGCTAGTCACAACAAAGCCAAAATGTGTGAGGCTTCAATCCAATGGAGTAAGTGGGTGAATATTCAGCATGTGGAGTCTGTAAGTAAACCAGACTGAGCAAGCAGTAAAGAGAGACAGGATTAATACTCTTGATGCAAACAGTACACATGACGCTTTATCAGACAGGTCACCTAACCAAGTGGAGGGTACACCTTGGAAAGGTATTCATAGCAACACCTGTTCTAAGAGACAGTGGTGCTAGATTGAAGCAGTTGCATTTTAGGATTATCAGGGTGCCATTCCACTAAGCCGATCTTAGCTAAGATCGAGACTAAAATGCGAGGCACAAGTTATCTCCCTTTATGTAATCTAGATATGCTTGACTTAGATATCCCATTAAGATCACCAAATTCAACAAAAAAATTCACCCTTCCCAAGAAATCTTAGGGTAGTGAGCACTTTGGTTTCAGGGGCAAGTGCGTGTGAACGCTGGGTACCTTGCATAGTATGTGGCTGTCGATCAGCATAGACAAGGTGTGACAAGCCATTCTGTACCTTGCCACATGCACAATCATCTGAAAATGTATCTAGAATCTGTGAGTGGTCTCGAAAAACACGCTCACAGTGTAATGCTCGCTCTTCTTCTTCGCATAGAGTAATGAAAGACGCCATTTTGGCTTCTCTATGATTGTTTTTAGCGATCCTAGGACAACAGGCAGTAATGCAGGTATTAAGGACCTTTACCACTTTGGTGAAACCCAGTATTGTGCACACAAAACTATAAATGAAACCAGGGTGACTTAAACCTATGATAAAAGGTTTGTCTCACAACCTGAACCATAGATGACAGGGTCCCTAATGCCTTTTTTTAGATTCTCCTGTTTTGTGTATGCATGACTTGCTGAAGCAGGCCAGGCTACTTTCCACAGGATATTTGCTTTCACAGAAAGTCCCAGTGACAAGTCTGACTAGTTTTATTCATGTCAGCGTGAACACAAGGTTGTTTCCACCCAGGACTTAGTTTTATGATTCTGTAAACAGCCATAACACACTATGTCAAGTGGCAAGCTTCCACCATGAACATTGTGCTTTGTGTTATAAAGAACCTTTCAATCTGGATCTTACAGCTGCTGAAAAAAAGTTCAATTCAACAACTTCCTACAAAAGTAGTTTTATTTCATATGGAACAGAATCGCTAGATCTATTTCCCCTAAAATACAAGTAAAATACATATTGGCCATCAAATTGGCTGTCTTCTGCATTGTACAGACATGTATAAGAGTAGATATCACAGATACAGGAAGTACAAAACAGGATTAAAAGCACTTGACACTACAACAGGAATAAAAGCACTTGACGCAGACAAACAGGAGGTAAAATTGATAACGAACAGCGTCAACTTTTCAAACAAAATCAGATCTTTTGTATTTACATGTGGTCAGCCATGTCATAATTAAACTGAAATATGTCACACTGAACTGCTCCATACCTCTAGTTACTGGTACCTAAACAATACAATTTTAATGCTATAAAGTTACAAATACTCAAACTTTAGATCTCGTGCAGTACTCCCAATGTTCTCTGTGCTGAGTAGGGATTAAAAAGGGAATTACAGTTTCTACAACACAAATGAATAAAATGAGGAATGTGCCAGCAATTCTAACCTGCAAACCTATGGCTATGGAGCAAACATTGTATTAACAGTGAGGTAGATAGATATTGTCATCTGCATATACTGACCACTAAACAATTGCGGCAACGCAAGGCCTGATCAGTGTCTCAAGTCGCCCATTACAATGGCACCTATTAATAAGGGCCAAATGTTTTATTCCACAGGAAGAACAGAATTCCAGAGGCAATTATGGCGCTAACATCATAAGTGTTTGCAAGGAAAGAGTTCTCTGATGAGAAAGGTGTAACAGGAAATATGACAACACTGTTATTGAAGGCACTGTTATATAATGGTACTTTACTTATGCAGGGAACTATTTCCTAAAGATAAATGAAGGTCAAGTTATGTGATAACATATACTTTATACTATTTACAGTGAATGTGTTAACTAAATACTGTCGAGTGTATAACAATATGGACGGACTGTGAAACACATAATGACATCAATTCATAACAAATATAATAATAAATAGTCTATATTAATAAATATACTTTCTGAAGAATATGCTGTGAATATTGAAATAAACAAAACAATCAAATGATAGGTAAGAAAGTAGTCAGAATTTAATCATTCTAAAAATTTCGGAATGTGCCAGGAATTTCTATAGACAGGTACAGCAAAATTGCCTTCATTCACAAAATGCAATATTCACTGAAGTTGTTATTTCTAACATATTTTCCCTTTGACTTTGCAGTAGTAAAACAGTGAATATGTCATTCAATCATCATCCATCTCTGTAGACTTGAGGGCAGTGTCTTCAAAACTGTCGTCATCGTAGTTGTCACCATCCACAACCTGACTGTTATACACGGAACTGTGACTGTGAGTCGCCGAACTACGGCTGTGTAGGAAATCTTCATCTAGTCCAACACTTTTCAAAGTGTTGGAGAATTTCTTCTCTGCTACTTTTCTGGCATTTACCTACAATAAAGTCTACAGTTTAGTGTGTGCACAAGCTTTGCATTGAGTAAATAGAGATTATGGATACAATCTGTGATATATAATACATATATACCACTGTATACCGTGAAATTTTCAAGATACTAAAATTTCAAGGTTTGAGACCCCCAGAGCTTTCGAGGTGATTTAAATTTCGAGAGTTTGGGGACCTAAAATATATAAATATTTTAGACAATTTTAATTTCGAGGTTAGAAGAAAGTGGCCAGAAACATCACTGAGCTATCGGCAAAACTCCTAGTAGCCAGTGATAACTGCCGTCTGACTGTTATAACTACCGATATACCAGTCCATGGCAGCAATAATAGTAATGAAAACAAACGTTTGATCCTTTGTTGTAATAAATTACCCATGAAACACTCTGTCGGCAGAGTTCAAACATAACGCCATATTTTCTCAGACGATATTGTTTTCTTAACAACTAACTATAAGCATGTATGCATGGGTCTCTGCTGAAACTATGTTGTTGTTAGAAAGTTGAGAAGTTGAACTCTTCACATGTAAGACACTGATTGAATTACCTAATTTTTGTAATGCATGTTATTCTGGACCAACAATTACAAATAAATAGTCTCGACACCGCATTTCTGTTGTTTGTTTATTCAGGCCCTTCAGGGTCACGGAACGTTAAGATTAGTTGTAGACAGGCATTACAGAGTTAATGCACATGTCAGGAAGTCATTGGTTGCCAGTAGTTGAAATGCTTATCGATAGGAAATCTAACCCAAAGGTTTGAAGTTCGGAAAAATTCACGGATACAATATTTTCGAAGCTGCGTTTCTAACCTTGAAAACCTCGAAAATTTCCCGGTATACGGTAGATGGTAAGGTTGCAATGTGATACACACTTTTGTGGGTAGTGTTTTGTATTCATAGAAAACAATTAAGCAGGTAACAAGGAAAACTTCAGTAAATTTATGGTTATGAAAATCTCCAGTACCAAGGTTAAAATCTGTGATACATATTTGGAGTCATCCTGTACTGAACCAGAACAAATTCAATCCAAATGCATAATGATCCCTGTGGTGTGATCATTAAATCAAATCCAAATTTGATACACCTACAAATACCAAGGTACTGATGTGCCTATCTTATTAGGGATTTCATGGAATATAAACTTTCTACATAAAGCTATACACATATTATACCTGTGATTGTCGTTCAAACAACATTGGTCTTTGTTGTACTTTCTCCTGCATTTTCTGCAGCTCTCTTTCATATTCTTCTTGACGAGATCTCTCCCCCTCTCTGAAATATCATTGTCCTGGAGTTAAGCATAATTCACCAATCTCCAATGACAGACATAAAGGAACATTCACAATTCATGTCTAGGGGGGGTGGGTGATGGTGATTTGTATTGAGAAGCATGCACAATGTGAATGACTCCCCCACTATAAAATATGTACAAAGTAAAAGACCACCCTGCATGTCATGTACAAAATCAATGACCCCCCACCCCTAATCTTTAAGCATAATTTTTTCATATTGTTATTTACAAAATTACTGACCCCTCCAGTACATGTGTACAAAATTGATGACCCCCTATCTCCCAAGAACAAAATAGGTGACAACTCCTCCCCACAAAGCATGAAGTTTGGTACAGATGTCTCCAAAGTCTTGAAGACAGGCATCCCTCTACATCTTTTACATGCAAGCATTACTTTTAGTTTACCTACAGTGCCAGCAGTTTCAAGAAGTTACAAAGTTTGTATTTCTAGTTTGTCATATGCTATTGTGTAATAGCCGAGGAATTAAGATTTAACATCAGATCAGAATTGTTTGTAGCCAAATACTGACAAATCCTAGCAGGTCGTGCTCCAAGATAAGCAGGGTATCACTGTAACAGCTAATTAAAGCCCAATGACAGAATGAGCCTGCTGATGACCCTATGGCAAATCTGATACACTGACATGATAAACAAAAAAGAGGGTCTCCGCTTGATTCGAAGTATTTCAGAACAGAAATCAATGAAAGTCTAAAATAACAAACTAAGATTAAGAATATTCTTGGTATTAAACAATAACACCCATACACAGAACTGAAATATTATTTAGTTTTGAATATTTTTCAGATGAACTCTTTTGACATCATTGTGCCTTACTTGTGTTTCCTCAACCTTTCAACGACTGTTTCACGTCGGCTTCCTGCACCATCTACAGATGATCTCTCAGAGATTGTCTTCCTCAGTCTCATTTCTCGTATTCTTCTTCTTCTCTCTTCTTCCAGTTCTTCTTGTTCTCGCTGTGTCAGCTTCTGGCGATGATTTCTGTAAACAGGTTCTCAGATAAGCATAGTCCCACTCTGACAAAGACCTATTCAATCGCTGTCTTACCTCAAATGCAAAATTACTTTGTTGGAGTATTACAGTCCCAGTCAGTGTGCAATACAGTAAAATACCTTTATAACGAACTCCAAGGGACCACTGAAATTAGTTTGTTATATTCGTAGTTCGCTGTTCACTTTTTTATATGATAATATAAGGTTTATTCAGGACTTTTAAAACAGTTCGCTATAGCCGTCAGTTCGTTACATCCGTGTGCGGTATAAAAGTATTCTACTGTATATGAAAAAAAAGACATATTTTAACCAAAAACAGAGTTCAATTAATTGATAACAATGACCAAGGACATAACACTGACACATACATGAACCCCGAATTTCAGCTCTTTATTATATACCCATGTACACTTAGGATAGTAGTACAGGGGTGCAATATGGATGATGTGGTCAAATTCCGTACTGCACCCCAGATTCCATATTGAACCCCTGCCGGTTCAACTTATTAAGTAACAGATTAATGCAAGATGAAAGGGTATATAATAAATATAGAATGTCATACTAGTGCATTTGGACGTTTTGTATTGAACAAGAAGATGTCACAGGAGCAGAGAAACAACGAGTTCGAAGACGTTCTATATATTTATTAAATGTACTGACCTAGTCACACTTTCTCTTAGTTGACTGCTGTAGGTAGTCTTTGCAGGAATGGAATCCATAGATGTTGAGAGAATCCCTGAGGAAATGAAATGCGATTTTTCAGTTCAGAAATACATATCACATTACAGATCATGTTTGATGTACTGTTACAACTGCTGAACATGTGATGGAGTAGCAACAACAAAACATTTGCTGCCTAAATTCTGTTTCTTTTTCAATAGAACTTTTTTGTTGGCACAAACATGGCCTAACATTTTGTTAGCTACATAAACTAATGAATGAAAGCAGTAGATAAAAAACTGACATCCTTAGCACTAGTGGTGTTCCGATGATAAAAAATAATGGAAATCAATCGAAAGGATTAAAAATGATTATCAATTGTATAAAACATATTTTCAATTAATCATAATTTTGTTTGTTTTAGTATAACAAACTTGAATGAAGTAAACTAACCATTAAATTTGACGCATATTCACGAACAAACATGCACTCAAAAGCATAAAGCTATGTGCATTGTAAAATTTTAACCACTTTCTTGCATGTGTGCATTTCATTGCATGACAGTATTAGTTATAAAAAACATTAATTAGAAAAAACCTGGGGAAAAACCCTTAAAATTGGTGATAACATTAAAAATGTATATATTTCGATTATAAGCGATAATCGTCCTCCGAATAATTGATAGTGGATTTGGTTTCCGATTCCCAACACCACTTAACACTGTGGTAAACAATCTAAAACACCATTTAATCATAATCTCATCTGATACATGATAAATTGGAAATGGTTTCCAAAGACCACATGAATGGAGACATGAAAGTGTACGACCACTGAGGGGTACTGCTGTATTGTACTCTGTGCACATTTAAATATATCGACATCACATATACTTATATAAGTTTGTTTGGTGTTTCATGAATCCAGCTCACATCAAACTGAACCCAGTTGTCAGCATCTATGCTATGGCAAATCTGATCAAGAAGCATTTTTGTTCGTTGTTGAGAGGAATCAGTTGAAATAAATTACCACAATTACCATTTTTAGAAGCATAGTATTTTAAAGTTGCTGACAGTTCTGACCTAAAATTTAAAGAAATGATCAAATTCACATGCTCTTTTTGTGCTGCCCACATTATCACTGATCAAATACAATACCTGTTGATCTTGGTGTCATGCGTCCAGATCTGTATGGCCACCTGTTTTCCCTCCGTAACTGTTCATCCCGCTCAATTTCCCTTAAAATCCTCTCTCTCCTTGATGGAATTCTCTCAGTTTCCAAATCAAAAGGTTCCATAATAGTTGCATCTCTCTGTCGCTTCCGCCTGGCAAGCTCCCTCTGGAACTGGTTAAATAATGCATCATAATCTGGTACATGACGGTTGATTTTAGGTTTAAAATGTCGCTTCTTAGATTTCAAGGCCTTCGCTTTCAGTTTCTCCTCCTTCATCATTTGCCTAGCTGCCATGTTTGGAGGTAGAGATGATTCACGTAATAATTCCTCTGACCTCATCTGAATGCGAATTTTCCTGTATTCTTCCTCTTCCGTTAACTTTTCATTAACTGAGTCATCATAGAGATACTCTGGCACTGGTTTCGCCTTGAAAACTGGCTTCTGCTTTACTGGTTTGACCACTGGTGCTGGCGCGGGTTTCGACCTTTTTTTTTCTTCCTCTCGAGTCATGAAGTTAAATGGTTTCTCTTGAGATTTTAGCATTTCTGTGCAGTACTGTCTCACGTATCTGCGTCGTGCTTCATTCTTCTCCTGTATCTCATCATACAGTGGCAGGTAGATGTGGGCCGGAGCAGGAGATGCTTTAAATTTTTTCTGACATTCCACCTCATCCTGTTTCTCTCTTTCTAATCTCTTAATTTCTAACTCAATTTGTGCGGAAGTTTTCTTTTTTTTCTTTCATTTCATCTCTTAATGTCATTTTAAAAGGCTGTGGTATGGTAAGCCTATGTCTCCAGTTATCTTCAGGCTTGTTACTTTTCTTTTGTTTCACAAGAGATGCAGATGAATGTCTTCTTTCCCTTTTCACATAATCATCAATAGAAAAATTGTCCCACATGTCTTCAATCCTACTAAGAGCAGTGGATAATTCTTCAGATGATTTATTCTGTGATCTCTCAAGAAGTTCTTCATTACCACTTTCGTCTGCTGATTGTCGTAGATCTTCTTGCCAGTCATCTCCATCCAAACTTTTTGAGTAATGTCTCCCAGCGGCTGGGGCTGAACTTGGCCGTTCTTTAAAAACTCGTGATCTGACCGGGAGGGTTTGAGACATGACTGCTTGTGATCTTTCTCCCTGTCTTAAGGCGTGTTTGACCAATGGGGATATGGGTGGTTTCCTAGTCATATCTCTTACTTGATCTGTGTGGTGTGTGTGGAGAAATCCAGTGATGGCCAGAGAATCTTCTGAGTCTGAGACATGTCCATTCACGGTTGGCCTGACTTCATTCCGGTGAAAGATGTCATCAACTGCATCTTGTGTTGTCAAGCCTTGTTCCATCAGTAGTTTCTGTCGGTACATATCTTCACATCTCTGAAGGGTTTTCTTCTGTTCTTCCTTTAAGGTCAAGAGTCTGTCATAAAATTCGTCGTCAGACAGTAAATGCAAGTGCGAAGCAACATCGTCCAAAGGGACGTTTGAGAGTATGCGCCCGACATTGCCGCCGTTGCTATTTTGGAGCTCAAAATCGTTAATTTCGGCAATGTCAACATTTTCTTGATACCTGTAACAACCCTCTGGTCGTTTATCATAAGTAGACGAGAGTCCTGAATCTGGATTAACGGGTGGTTTGATGCAAGAATTGGTTAAAACCGACAGCCCATGACTTGTTGCCATTGTTGCCATGTTAAACTGAACTATGCAAACGAGTTGTGTCGATCCGCAGCAAATTTGAATATTTTAAATAGAAATATTTAGCGGATTTTAATATTTTATTCATTGTATTACAAGTTCAAAGTGTAAGTAAAACTATAAATATATTTAATTTTTAAAAAATAAACATGATAAGACATGTATGCGAAACTATTGTCAACAAAGGGAGGTTACTCTAATTATTACAGCCAGTATGGTGTTCACAGCGTTAAGAAGAATACTTCTACCGTCCCGCTCCTACAGTGCTATTACACGAATTAGGAGAACATTCAGCGCTAGTGCAAGTCTTTTAAATGACAATGAAGAAACGTCCGATATTGTCATATCCGGAGGTGGTATGGTTGGAGCAGCAATGGCCTGTGCTTTGGGTGTGTTGAGTGAAATTCTTGAACGCTTGTGTTTATGGAGATGTTTTATTGTCGTTCAGTCATATGATAGCAACGGATGTCTGAAAATCCATAATACAAGGATATATGCATAATGATGACTTAACTTGTGTAAATGTCAGTTCCTTTTTACCAATACAATATGATTTTCTGTTCATCCACTTTCTTTTGATGAGTTATGGTTTTTAGCACATGAAATTGTTGCCAATAGTTGATTCGACAATAAAACATCTGGATTACTGATTGCGCGTTGACAGGCTGCATGTGTTTTTGGGCTCTCTCACATTTTCAAAATAAGTCAGTTTCTAATTGGACTACTATCACAAGTTTCTGTCAGTATTGAAACAGTATTATCAGAATCATCATGTGGAAGTTTCGGAGCACCTTTAGTATACAGCACCACAACTTCTCGTGAGGACGATCTCTGCTGTAGGTCACCTGTCATTAAGACAAGCAACCAGTTTGTGACAACCCGTCGGACGCAGAACCCGCGACCTTCGGATTGTTAGCTTGACAGCTAACCGACTGAGCTACGTCCACACTGTTGCACAATGTGCAAATTTATCAAGTCATTCCTGTGACGTCACGGAAATGAACGGAAAGAGTCGAATAGGTCACGGACAATTACGAATGCTACGGGTAGACTTGGTGTCTCGTGATTTTATTCTACGGACAATTAGCGAATGGATCCGATGCCATTTGGCACACTCGTCCCATTCCGTAATCTACAAATTAACGTGTGGCGTGGAATGAGCCGATATGCCTCAAACTGAAAAGGGTTGTTGGCGTCAGACGTCAGAAGTAGATTTCACGGTGCATGCATGAATGACACGAGCTTTTATATGATTGGTGATTTTGTGACAGAAAAGTGATGTAGGGAACACTGTAAGGATAATGTGGATCGCACTAAGGAACGAGGGAGACATGAGCATGTGTAGTGACGGCACGAGGGTGAGTTAGCCTTCGAATCATTACTTTACAAAATTTCTGTTGCGTGTGAAAGAGGCTTGAGTGCAAATTCCAGGCCAATTTCCATTAGCCCAAAATTTCTACATTAACCCATTTCATAATGTACTTTCGACGTTTTTGGTTTCCCGTTTTTGTGTGAAAAAAAAGTATTAAAATGCAAAAAGGAAAAACAACAAATGGTACTCAAACAAGCCTAACCCTAGCCCTACGCCCTAGCCCTAAACCCAACCCTAACCCTAACCCTAACCCTAACCCTAGCCCTAGCCCTAGCCCTAATCCTTTGAATTAATCCTAATAAATAGAATGCATTGACCGAACCGGCACAAACACGACTGACGTGTCTAGTGTAATGCATTATTACCGCTTCGAAAAATAAAATACTAATAAAACACTTTTCTATGTAATGGTGCAAATTACTGAATGACAAAATATATATGTAAATTTAAAAATTACAAAATACAAAATACACAAAACATAACACCTCAGCAGCCCGTAATACAAATAAATATGAGCGTATTAGTAAGAAAAGAAAAATATTTCAAACTGGTGCTTGCAAAATATTGAGCATCCGCCGGTATACAACTACTGGAAACTCTCAACATCGTTGGGCTTATGCAATGACATAGCTCGTAGAGATGAAACACCAGTGAGCGGAGCTTAAACGCACTCGTTGAGCCAGACAACCGTGTTGCCATGCAGGCGTCATAGGGCATTGTTTCGAGAACGTGCTTTCGAACAAAATCACATTACATTACGTAAAAGAGTATTATGACGTATTTTTAAAGTTTGTGGTGCTGTATTCTAAAGGTAGGCCGAAGTTTCATGTGTGGATTATATCTAAAATGCTGACTTTTGAACGTTTAAACTTCATATATTTTGTGATTTTCACATTTGTGCTTGTGAATGGTGAGTTTGTACTCACTCCCAGGTCACTGACAAACCCAGAGCAATCAGCGATGACAATCACCTATACAAAAGACCAGCTTCTCAGCCTAGTCAGGCCTGGTGTCCCTGACAAGATTCTGTTACAATTATTGCGTAATCTTTGTCGAGCTGGTATATGCAGTACAAAGGCTACCAAGCGAAGTGGGAAAAGGAAACAAAGAAAAACAAGACTTAATACTGATGATTTTTCAGCTGATGATAACAAAGAAAACAGCAAACCAAGTGCCACTACTAAAAAGAAAAATATCAAACCTGTTCACCAGAAGCCAAAGTACTTGAAAGCTGCACTGTGGAATGCCCAGTCTGTCAGGAACAAGGCGTTGGAAACCTCAGATACTGTGCTTGACGACGACTTGGACCTCTTTGTTTCTGACAGAAACCTGGTTAAAACCAGCAGGTGATGAAACTGTCTTAGATGATCTAGTGCCAAAGGGCTACAAACTCAAACAGGTACCACGGCTATTAGCCATGGAAGGAGGTATTGCAGTTATAGCTAGACAGAATCTGAATATTGAACTCTATACTCCTTCCACCGTTTTAAGTTCATTTGAACAGATAGAGATGGTTATTACAGCTGAAAGCAGATCTATTACAGACCCCCACCATGGCTTACCATGCCAGTTCCATAATGACTTTTCACTTCTAAAAGAGACATTGGTTCAATCATTGTATTCTAATAAGCCCGTTTCAACTCTTCAGGCAAATGGCTTTAAAGCTTGTGACTCATAAAAGTGGTCACAATATTGATTGGATTAAACTGACTCTGACACAATATTGGAAAATATACAGTTGAAAATATCATGTGACCATTTCTGGATTGGATTTAATGTTTGTTTAATGCAACCCCAGCATTAAGGAAATCTGTACTGCCCGTAATGTCAAGGCTATTAACATGGACAGGATCTCCGTGACATGCACCTCCCAGTCATGACAGACCTGGACAAACATGCACCTCCAGTCATGAAGGTCCAGTAACCCATGGTACTGTGAGGAAATATGAGAAGCTAAACAGTCACGGCGGATCGCTGAAAGAAGATGGCGAAAGTCAAGACTCAGTGTTCACAGAGAACTATACAAGCAGGAGCGTGATGATGTAAATAGAGCAAAAGCAAAAGTATCACAATGAAACCATTCTGTCAAATCTGAACAAGCCAAAAGCTCTGTGGACTCTTATGAAAGAAAAAGACTTTACACTTCCTGATGCCGATAGTGATGAATCCTTGGCAGAGGATTTCAACGAATTTTTCACTGAGAAGGTAACTACTATTAGAAAAGCCTTCGTTCCAAGTGATCAGAATATATCGGGAAAGCAGATATCTACAGGATGTGCAAATTTCAACCCTTAAGTGAAAACCAGGTTCTGAGTCTAATAACAGACTCCAAGAAAACTACTTGCGAGTTGGACCCAGTCCCGACAAATGTGCTCCAGGGGCTCATGGATGTCCTCCTCCCTGTCATTACCAGGATCATAAACATTAGTCTTGCTAGTGGTGAGGTGCCAAATGCTTTTAAACAGGCAGCAGTGAAACCTCTGATTAAAAATCTAACCTGGACAAAAATATTTTAAAACATCATCGACCAGTTTCCAATTTGTCCTTCCTGTCGAAAATCCTCGAAAAAGCTGTGAATGCACTGCTTTTGGATTTCCTGGAGCAGAACAATCTTATGGCAAAGTTTCAGTCAGCCTATCGAAAAGCCGACAGCACGGAAACTGCCCTTCGCAGAGTACTGGATGATCTTCAACAAGCAGTGGATAACGGCAAAGTTGCAGTATTAGTCCTGCTAGATCTCTCAGCAGCATTTGATACTGTTGATCACCAGAAACTGCTACAGCGGCTATCAGATGAGTATGGAATTGGAGAGACTGTTTTGTCCTGGCTTCGGTCCTATGTGAATGACCGAAAACAGTCAGTAGTCATCAAGACGTCTCATTCCTCCACCGTTACAGTTGACTACGGAGTACCGCAGGGCTCTGTGCTGGGACCGTTACTCTTCACCCTGTATACCAGGCAGCTAGAGCAGGTTATCAGCAATCACCAGGTACTGCATCATCTATATGCTGATGACACCCAGATGGTTGACAGCTTTCTCCCAGCTAGTGACACATCACCATTGACCAATCTTGAGGACTGCTGCTCTTCAGTAAAGTCATGGATGAATGACAATATGCTTAAACTAAATGAGGACAAGACAGAGGCTATGCTTGTAGGCCCTAAAGCCTGTGTGTCAAACGTGAACATCAGCCATTTCACTATTGGGGAAACAGAAATTTGCTTCTCAACTTCTGTAAAAGATCTAGGAGTATACTAACAGTCAGACCTTTCAATGGAAAGACAAGTATCGGATATCTGCAAGTCATGTTATCATCATATCCAGACCATCGGAAAAATATGCCATCTGCTGACTGAATGTTCTACAGCTGCCCTTGTTCATTCCCTCGTTCTTTCCAGAATAGACTATTGTAATAGCTTGCTTTTAAACATCCCACAAGAGCTCTTAAACCATCTGCAATGCATAGAAAATATCACTGCACGTATTGTGAGCAAAGCACCAAAGTTCTCAAGCATGACGCCTATTCTAAAACAGTTACACTGGTTGCCCATAAGAGCTAGAGTGAACTTTAAATTCTTTTTCATAGAGATCGTCCTTGGGGTACATATATACATTTTCTGTGGCTGAAAATGTCATGTGACAGTTGTATCAATGTTTTAATAAAAATATTGTACAATAAATAAAAATCTTTTTTATCTATTATACGGCCCCCACTACGTGGAGTTGCCTCCCTGCTACGCATGCGCAGCCAACCAGGGAAGCACCTAGGCCCGTATCATCATTCCTTCTGCTATCACTCTAGCTTTCACACGTATTTACTCAAGAGTACTAGCTGATTTACTTCTTGTAGAAGAATGTCTGAGACTTCAACAACTGTATGTATGGTCTTTATTCGTTTTGAGAAACGTTTTATGGACTTTGCAGTCTGTTGTTTCTCATTTATGTGACTTTGTATTCAACGTTTACGCTTGCTTTCCCGTGGTTTTACGCACGTGTTGCTATTCCATGGCGGGAAG